CGAAACGCGCTCGCGCGCACGGAGTCCGCGCCGCGACGTCGACGGTCCGGGGACGCGACCGGGGACCGTCGGCGAGTACGGGNTGGTGGCTGGANATGGCGGTCGGGGGACGCGTCCCCGAGGACAAAGGGAAGGAGGACGGCGAGAAGAGCGCCGAAGAGAAAGCGCCGGCCCAGAGCGAAACAGAAAACAGGCTTTCCGACTCCCGGATCCGGGCAAGCTCCGAACCTGTTCCGCCGCTGCGGCAAGAAGTGGATAAGAGGCCCCCGGTGCAGGATCCCGGGACTCAGCCAAGCTCCAAACTCGCGGCCGATGAGCCGCCGGGGGTGTCCCCGGTCGCGGACGCGTCCGCCCGGGCGCGCTTCACGAGCCTGCGCATCACTCCCCCGGGGGGGCCGCTCCACCCGGCGTCCCCACGCATCCGCTCCCCCCTCTCGCGCAGCTACTCGTCCCCCGACCTGAAAGTGCTCATCAACCGGGAGGCGTTCCAAGCGGCGTACCCCGAGTCCAGCCCCTCCCTGGAGGGGATGTCTCCGGCACCCGCAAACGGGACGCCGAGCCCGAAGCCGAGCGTGCGGTCCACGTCGGCAGGGGGATCCCTGGGGTCGACGCCCGTAAGTGAGAGCGAGCGGCGCGTGAGCGACGGCAGCCCGAAGCTGGAGCTCCACAGCACCAAGTTCGTGCAGGTCGGCAAGACGGCCTGGGTGTTAAAGCGCCCGCCCTCCATATCCGGTGCGAAAGGCGACCCCGCTGCCCCGATTGTCGGCTTCGGGGTCGCCGGAAAGGCGGCCGCACCGCCGGCCGCCAAGGACACCCGGATGGAGCACCTGAAGATGATGCTGGGCAGCGACCCGGGGAGCTACGTCCGGCGGCTGTCGGACACCAGCATCATATCCGATTTGGACGGTCCGCACGAGGACGGGGGGCCGCCGGAGAGAGGCACGGCGCCCGCGGGTGTGCCGGCAGCGGACGGAAGCCGGACGAAGGCGGAATCTGAACGTGCTGGGCGCCCGGCGGAGACGTCTCTCGCCAAGGAAACGCCAAGTGCAAAGGACTCGGAAGTCAAAGCACACACGACGAAACCAACGGCTGAGAAGAGTCCACCGTCGACTGATGACGTCAGCCGCGGGGCACCCAAGCGGGAGGAGAAGCGAAAGGAGGAACAAGCAACGGAGAAGGTATATCCGCCGTGTTTGGTTTATTAGGTTTGATATCAAAGAACCTGCGGGCGGCAGATGCGGCGCCATGCTACCCTTCAGCATCGCCTGTTTTAGCAAACATCGTACGATAATAGTGCGCACCTTCGTGCGCCCGAAACGGTGTCTCTTCCAATGTCTTCTTGGTGCGCTTGAATCTTCCGATCTCCGTACCTTTCCAGTTTCGCTGTGACTCACTTCTGTCTCACTTCGTTCCTCGTCCAATGGCTCCATTTATTAGTCACTTCTCTGCTGACTGTGTTGGGAAGGACACACCCCTCAGAGCCTCTCTGCTGCCATGCCAGCCGCTGACGTCAGCCTGTCGGCACCTTGTCCGCGCAGGCCCCCCCGCGCAGCCTGCCCGTGATGGTGCAACGCAACCTGGCGGCGGCCCTCGAGGGCCCCGCGGCTGGCGGCGGCGGCGTGTTGGGCGCGTCCGGAAGTCTCCGCCAGTACTCGCGCGTGTCGCGCACGGAGCTGGTGTGCCTGGCCGCCTCCTCTTGCGGCTTCTCGGACCCGCACAGCCGTGACGTCAGCAACTCGGGCACTCCCGAGGGCTCCAAGCGGCCGTCTTTCGAGACGCCGGAAGGGTCCAAGCGGTCGTCTTTGGAGGAGAGGGATCCCCCGGTCGGGGGCCCTGTTGCAGACCCGGCACATGACAAGGGGTTCTCGCACCTGCGCCCGGGGCAGGACGACCGAGCACCCCCCGGCGTGGAGCAGCAAGTTTGTGGGAGAGTAGGAGAGCCCGGTAGAAAGCCCCGGTGGTCAGGGCGGGATCCGAGCCCGCTGAAGCCGCGCCCGGACATTGCGGGGATCCCCCTGAACTTAACCCGGTTGGAAGAGGAGGTCAAGCCACTGGCGTTGCCATTAGCTGACAGGAGCATGGCGAACGTCGAAGAAGAGTTCCCTGTGGTTACTAAGCCGAGTCTCGAGAACGGAACCGGAACCGAAGCGAACGGAACGCTGTCGAACGACCAAGGCGTGAGTAGCGACGACGAGCAGGTTGCTCCCCTCACAGCGAAAAAAGACGGCAGCAGGAGCCCAGAGAGGTCGCCCCGTAGGTACACAGACTTCGCTCCAGCTCCGCTGCGCGTCGCAACGAGTTCCGCCCACGCAGCGCATCGCCGCAGCGTCAGCCAGTGGCTGCCCGAGCGGAACAGCCCCCCAGGCGCGCCGCCTCCCCAACCGACGGGCTCACCGGCGCAGCGGACTAAGGCCGAGGCGCTCGCCCAACAGCCGGGACAACGGCGCAAGACGTCGGTAGTCTCCCCCGGGGGGTCCAGCCAAGACCGCTCTCCTGAGCATCGCGCCCCCGAGCGCCCGGTTCCGGACCCGCTCAGCTCGCAAACGCGCGCGGCCGCGGCCGCCGTGGCGGCCGCGCGCGGCATCAAGGTCCCTGCCAAGCCGCGCCTGGCGGAGGGAGTCGAACTAGACGCGGCGACGCTGGAGCGGCTGACGGAGGCGATCACCGAGCAGGTGCTGAGTCACCTGGGGACGCCGCGCGGCTCCACGTCCTCAATCTCGTCCTCGCGGGGGAGCCCCTCCGGGCAGGACCGCGCGCAACGCTCACTGTCGGCCAGCCCCCTGCGCGGAGCGGGGTGGGGTCCCTGGAGAGTGCCCGCGCGGGGGATTCCCCTGGACGAGGCTTCGCGGGACTCGTCCGGGAAGACGTCCCCCGGGGGGTCGCGCTCGCCCCGGGGCAGGATGGCTTTCACGGAGTTTGCCGCGCACGACGACGGCTGGGCGAGAGAGGAGTCGCGGTTCGCATCGGACCCCGCATACCCCGGCGCAGCGGCTTCCAGCCTTCCAATCCAGGGCCGACACGTGGCCGGCTTCCCGTGGCAGCTCGAGCTTACGCGCAGCTACTCCGAGGACGGCGTCGCTGCGCGGTACGAGAGGGACCGCTCGGAAGCCCGGGCCCCGCCCGGTGGCTGGGCTGACGTGGCCAGTGACGTGAGCAGCGGGAGCTGGTCCAGCTTCGAATCCACGTACACCGGCGGCGCGCCCGGGTTCGACCGCTATCGGCCCGAGGTGACGTCAGCAGAGGGCGACGACCTGCAAGCGCGGGGCGCGAACGGTGCCAGGCTGGCGGACGCGTCCGGAAATGGACACTTGGCCGGCGGCAGGGACGCGCCCGGCGAGATTGCGCGGTTCTTGACGGGACTCGGGCTCGGACATTACCTGGACACGCTGGAGCAGGTGAGAGCGATGAAAGCCAACAATAATAAAGTTGGCCCGATTATCTTAAAGTGGTTCCGTCTCGCTACAGCGGAACCCCGGTCTGTCGGCCCCTTGGTAACATCTCAGCCCCCCTCGTAAGTTGCTTAGAAGTGGAAAAGAAGCTGTCGAAAAGGTGCGATTGCAAGTATGTGCCCCTGAGATGGGAGATCATTATAGCACTCTGTTAAGGCTGCCTTCTTCTGGGGCGACCTTGCTCCCAGTGGCCATGCTTCGTGAAACTGCACGGTTGCTGTCTGATCATCTGCCACCAGTATCTCGAGTCGGTCTTTCGGATGTTTCTTTTGAGCTGGCGGAGATCAGATACATGGCTCGTCTCGCTAACAACTTACCCTGAGCAGCATACTTCTGTTTGAAGCCTCGCCGTAGAAATTCATTGAAGGATGTACCTAAGATCATTTCCATTATATCTCCGGCCTCCACCGGCTTTTCAGTTCTACCACGGCAAATAGGAAGTGTCACACGAGGCCTATCATGACCACCGTTGATTATCACTTCAGATCGTGTTGCCAACCTTGCTGACCGGCATCGTTCGCGGCGCTGCCAGAACGAGGTCCGCACGCGAGACTGTTTTGCTCTTCGCTGACGTCATTCTGCCGTCACGCTGGCAGGAGGAGGTGACGTTGGCGGTGCTGTCGCGCCTGACGTTGCAGCAGCTCAAGGAGGTGGGCGTGCACCCCCTCGGCGCGCGGATGCGGATCTTGGAAGCATTCAAGGCCCGCACGCCGCACTAGTTGCCACGCCAGGCACGATACTGATTTTACGTTGAAACCCGCTACGTCGATTCGGATGGGATGGGGGTTTCGGGTGGGTACGGTACGGAGCATGTTGCCGTTGGGTTAAGGATGTTGTTTATATGAGCCCGGGGAACTGATGCAGTGTAACGTAGCCTAACCCAACACTAAATTGAGAGTTATTCCGCGCCAGCAGACTCTGAAAATGGCGTCAGCAGACTTAGGAAACAGCGGTTAGCGTTGTGTACTCTACCTTTGCCGATCGGAAGGGCGCCTGTTTCGTCTTGATTAGCTGACGTCAGTGTTGCCATAGAGGTAGAGCCGTCCTGTTGCGACGTCAAAGGCTTTCGGCGTCAAAGCTTGAGCTCGTGCGGGGAGGCAGTGGTTGCAGAGCTTCGGCGAGCATAGGTAACAGTGTGTTTTGTAGTACGGTATGATCAGAAAGCTTGGGTAGGTGGAGTTTCTATATTAGAGAACGGTCGTAGTGACCGGCAATACCGGAGTGTGCTGGCCATGTGGTCATCCATGCCATCCTTGAGATCAGGAGTTCGTGAGAGGGGCTCAACTTGGTGAGCCTCCACTTTGGTTGATGACTTATATTGGTGGACTTTACAGACCGTATTTGGGGCGGTCAGATGAATTCCAGGAGCTTATTCTCTGCTGCAGCTCGACATCTCACCAAGAATCCACTTGGACATTGCATTATCATAGGCTGCGGTTGCATACGCGGTGCTGACCATCCCCAGAGCGCCCGGCGCCGGGCCATGCTAATCCAGTGAACGCGCCTAGCCGCATATGTAGGCTTGATTCGCGGATGCTCTCACGATCTTGAAGAAGTGATAGCTGTCTCTCAAATAAGGAGCAGTCTAGCGTGCATACACTGAAAATAGAGAATCTGACAGATAGAACAATTTGATTGGCCTTCTCATGTCGACTGTTTAAGTGGAATATAATCCCTAGCTTGCGCGGTGAATGTGAGGCTGCCGGCATCTGCATCTCTATATCCTAATAGGGTAGGTAGTGTAATCATCGATTTTAGCTGGCGTACTAACTCACTTGAACACTCCAAAACATTTGTGTGCCATGAGAAGCGCCTATATGGCCTTATTGGCTATAAGGCGTATTTGAGAGAAACTGCATCATGCAGCACACGTGTATGCCTCGAGCCAGACCGGACTTGTAGGATGTCGATCTTAGCACCAGACATATTTACAACATTATCACCTCATGCAGCTTGACATATATGAAGTGACCGGCGCGTGCCGCCTTAAATTATTGCATGCCGACCACTGGACTCAGTGCGCAAATGGCCTGAGGTTGGACGGCTAGCTCGAGCTCGGTGCATGATCTAAGCTCAGAGTCATAGTTCAAGGGATTCGTCATGCCATTCATTTGCAGAGTCCATACCGTAACCCATACCGTAACCCGCGCGCTTTCAACCTGAGTCGACATAACTACCAAAAGCTTGAAAGTTGAGTAGTTAAGCTCTAGCAACGTCACTTGGCACAAGCTGAACACCAAATCATGCAATTGCATTGACCGGCATGTTCAAAGTTGAGACCCCTTAAGCATGATTTCATTGTCCTGCAATTGTTGTCTAGTGAGCATACGTATGCACGACGTGGAGATGATCATCTAGCCGTTATTGAGCGCTGCAACAAACTTGAACGATCATAGCTTTCCTATGACTGGCCATGCCACAGGAAACCTAGCAAATCACTCTGAGTTCTTCGTGTCGCGCACACCGTCGGATCGGTGGCAGTCATACCAACCGATGATATGCAATATCAGCCGCATGTCTGGAATCACACAAGATGTTTGGCTTTGAAAGGAGATGGGTAATAATAAAGCTTTACAAAAGCATAGAAAAACGTCTTTATACAAGAAGAAACACTAACAGCAGGTCCGTCAAAGACAGCCCCACTTCGAAGGACCCATTCGGACGACCCGTCTTCTCTACAAGTGGGCCTTCTTTGAATCCACCGATCGTCCCCCACGAGGTGTGGTAGCCGCAGCTTACTACGAAGGGCACACAGCCGATGCGTGTGCGGCCCCAAGACCAGACTGGCAACATCTCCCGATCTCAAGCGCTTGATCAACATAAGGTACCCCAAGTGCATTTCTGACGCCAAGACTCTTTGCAGTGAGAAGCTATAGTGCCATCTCCGCTTGAAGGGCTGCTAATTCGTCGTCCTCTTCGGTTCGTACGGGCTGCGCTTTGCCGGCCTGAAAAGCAAATAGGGTTGCCGTCAGAAAGCATCTGTATTAGCACACACGATGCTCTTCTATGGGAGGCTGAGACCTTCACTCCTGAGAATGTCATTGACGCAAGACCGTTGCTCCAAGTATGGGCGCGCAAGGTCGTGTAAACCTGGTACCTACTTCAAACCGACCCTTTCTCAAGTCACCGCCTCGTCTTCACTTTCAACTTTCAGAGCCATCAGAACAAAATCCAACTTTCCCGTTGGAAAAGTTTCAAAAAGGAGGCGCTCAATGTAGAGGACTGAACTCAAGATCAAAACACAGATATGGTGGCCTTTCTCAATTTCATTATCGAGGATTGCTCACTTGGTCGGATCAGAAACACCTTTTTGACTGTTCCTACGGTACCAGTGCGCCAATATCTGTCCGCCCCTCGTCGCTTTCAAAGCGCTTCTGAGAGAGGCGGGAATCGAGAAAAGCTCCGGTCCTTCCTTCTGGGGGACCGCTTTGCCGCCCTAGATCGGTGGTTCCACGAGCCGGTCCCACGGATTTTATCGTTAACCGAGTAGCCAATTTGTCTCTATCCCGACAGCCAACGCAGAAGTACACACTCCAACCATGGAGTCTGACAGATACTGTGGTGGGTCAGTTGGCTGGTACTGTACGCAGAACGAAAGAGCGTGTATCGACGGGGCGGCTCACTTGTGCGGGCACCCTGGCGGTGGGCACGGAGGGGAGGTGCGTGGCGGGCGCGGCGGTCGAGGGCGCTAGCAGCTGCTCGTCCAGCTCCTGGCCCTCCAACTCCTCCAGCTCGGTCAACAGGTCGTCCTGCGGGGGGACACAAACCAACGTCAGCGATTGAATCGTCTGTCAATGACAAGGTCGGCTTGGACGAACAGTTCGTTCATACTCAAAAGAAGAGAGGGTGTGTTGTTGGCAAGCTCAGGCCAGAGTTGAGAGAGCTTCATTTGAAGCAGGGAATCCAGCAAACAGGCAATTAATCGAAAATGAGCAGCAGCTCAGCTGCTGCCCTTCGACCGGGCTGGTATGCTTCAAAGACGGTTAGCTGCCCGCTTACCAAGCATAAGAAAGGAGCGAAAACTCCCGTGTGGAACCAACGAAAGGCAGGGAGAGGAGTCCAGAGTGTTTAAACACAAAGCCAAACCCACTGATCACCCATGCGGCATTTCCGACATTTCTAACACCCCTCCGAAAAGAACATGTGCTTCTGAAATGGCTCTGGACAAGCCATGCATGCCCATCGCCCTCGGATCTGCAATTTGTGGGTTTGTAAAATGCTCCGGAGAAAAGTCGACTGTTTGCACGATACACGGTGGCCCCGGGTATTCGAGAAACCACAAGCTAGTAGAAACCCGACTCAGGGCATAATACTGTCAAACAATCCAGGACACGACCCAGCACACATAAAATTCAGGACTGAATAAACGACACCCTGAGTGAATCCTCCCAGCTCACACGAAAAAAAACCCTGAACATCCACACGCTCTTCTGTCGCAACACACTAAGGATGGGATGCTAAACGGGTGCGCGCGCTCACGTCATCAAACTCGGCCATGCCGCCCACAGGATTCGCCAGCGCTTCCTGGATGGCCTTCATGTCCTCAGTCGACTCGTTAATTTCGTCCATGGTCTTGTCCACGTCATCAATCTTGGTCGTCTTGAGCTGCGCCCGCATCGCCTGCGCCCCACTCCGCAGCGCATCCACCGTCTCCGTCGTCACCTTGGCGCTCTCCAACATGATCATCTGGGCACAGGCGCCAACGGGGACGACTTCACGAGCCGACAAAAACCAGGCTGTACCTCAGGTGCTGTTCTTTTGAACCAGACTAGCCTGTCTGATTAACGGCTTCCATTTCACATGAGGCAGATTGTGGACAGTAGATCCGAGTAGTGCACAGTAAATCTGCATTTGTGGACGGTGAATCTGACAAACACAAAAGATTCCGGACAACGTCCCAGGAGTCTACAGTTTGCACCGATGAATCTAAACATGTAAGACGAGGAAGACTAGGCGGACCTGGAAATTCCCAACTTGCATTCACAAAGACGAGGTTGAGAACCTCGTAGATGCGGCTCAACCACATGTCAACCCGACAAAGAAAGCAATCTTCCACAGCTGTCCTTGGCGCACACGGTCCAGCGACTACATAACATACCAATTCCAGAAAATTTAAATTGCAGAAAGGGACAGCTTGATGGGGCAAGAGCGCCTCACCTGATCTTGAATCCGAAGCTGGTTGTTTGCTAGCTGCTCTACTTGTTGCTCATACAGTTTCTTCCTCTTCAGACATTGTATAGCCGCTGCAACAAAACCAGGCACCGTCAATACCGATGGTGGGACCAGAACTGGCTATTAACTTCGCCAAAAAACGCAGGCTCAATATCGTTGCCCTCCGACCTGGTCCCATGATCATAGTCATAATCAAATGATGTACGCGCCGGACAGCAACAACTCTTGGAACCGGAAAGTGACGGGGGCGTTAACATAGGAGTGTTTGTAGTGTACCCACTTCAAACTACTACGGTTGTCTCCGGGTCGTTCTCGTGTCAGTGTCTGATCTTAGAACTCTTCTTTAAAAGGTACACATAACGGGGTCACAGGTACCTCATGACACAGACAAATGTTCTATTGAGTGGGCAGGTAGGAGGGACACAGGTCTTTCAGGCTCACATAACTTGCTGGCTGAGATGATCGGAGTTGAGTAACCGAAAGTAACATGAAAAATGTGACAAGGGCGCAAAAGATGTCCTCGTTAAACAAACGCAGTCACAGTGGCTTATGCAAGTCAAAGAGATGTAACAAGGTTACTTCTAAAAGCTGGCCTTGGCTATCCATCTCATGAGCAGAAGTTTTTCCATCAGCGCATGCATAAAGGCCTTGCGTACACTGCTGAGCTAATATTCAAGCTTCGACAGATTGATAACTTCACGTAAAAAGAAACAGAATTCTACAGCTCAAAGCTGAGCAGCCTGTATACACAATTGCAAGTATTGACCCCAGATAGCAATGAACCACTTGACTCTGAGCAGAAATCAGTGCTCAGAACTCTGCACTGTCTGAGCACAGGACTTCCAACCATCGAGCAGGCGCAGCATTCTCACCCCTCTTATTCTTCGCCCGTGTGAACTCCTTTGCCTTCTCCATCTCCTGTGCAATCTTTTTCTGCATCAGGTTCTCCTTCTTTTCCAGCATCTCTAATGTCTGCAAGTAATAGCAAATAAAAGTCAGCAGAGTCCCGCTTGAGACCACAATACTTACAGCCAAGCAACAAGGACACATTGTAAATGGAGCTGCAGTCTGAACATATCAACTCGATCTATCTTTACACGTTTTATCACGATTCAATTGCAACATAGTTTCTCAACACGAGGAACATTAACATACAGACAGGCATACTTAGAACAAATTCGTCTCCTGTGTCATCTGCATAAACTGAGTGGGGCTTCTGAATCACAGCAAGGCTTGGACAAACCCTAAAACCAAAATGACATACAACAATGAAGCAATTCAGAGACTGCCCTGCATGGCCTCAACTGCGAAATCTGGCCACCAAGAAGCATCTGGCTCTTGTCAAAGGCACAATCTGAAAGTAGCACGTGCATGAGCTGGCTGGTGCAACAAAAATGTTCTGAGCAAACGTGCAGAACAAAACAACCTCTTCGGACTTCCCAACACTCTGCCCCAAACCACCAAAATCTCAGAGCTTATGGAGTCAGCCTGCCAGAACACTTTGCCATTTCCCAAGACGGAGGATCAGCCTTTCTGGATGGGCCAACCAAATCTATGAGCATTTATAATGAGGGGTGTTCGTGACCTCTTTTGGGACTACGAGCAAACATAAGTGGGTGCACCTTCTTTCTGAAATGAAATGCCTTCTCAAAGTCCATCCTAAGAAGACTCGACCACAGACCAACTGATGACCTAGGTTGATCAAGGCACAGAGTCGTTAAATCCGAAGACGGCAAGTGTTCACCACAAGCCATCGCCTACAAACTCGTCATGCTCACCTCGTTGAGTTTTTCTAGAGTACTCAAAGGAGAAACCTCCTCCTTGGGTTTTCCAAACAACCGGCCAAACATGTTTCCAGCCATCTGTACTCTATTTGCCCTTGTTCGCCTTTTAACAGAGTGAAAATTGATTGCAGACTATGTACTGATCAGATGAACCAAAGAATCCGCTGAATGAGTTGGCTGCCGCAGGTATGAGCCCCCAGATCCCTTGGTTGCTCGTCTGCTTGTTTGTGCGTCTAAACCAATCGCCGCCTAAACTGCAAGCCCTCTGGAAGATTTCTCCAAACAAAGATTTTGTAGGAGTCAGAAAGAAGCAAGACGTGACGTGCTATTCATGAAGTTGAGGCGCCAGTGAGAGGCTGAGGCTTTACTCCCACGTTTTAGTAGACGCTGGGGGCTTTCCTCCCTTCCGTTCAAGGTACTACCGTACTGCTTTTTAATATCGGCACCTTCGACGCAAAATAGTTAATTATGAAACGTTTGAGACTTTCGGCAGACCCAGCGTTACCTGCTAAAAACAACCGTTATCGACCATTATCGCCCTTGGATAATTATTCAAAATTTTCAGCAGGCCAAATAATTATTATTTATTTTTCGCCGAAATTAAAAAGCAGTACGGTACTACAATTTTACAGAGCTCCGAGTCCTAGTGACTCTCGAGTGTTGCGGCAGAACAACACCGAATCCAGGTCACTCCACCACCATGCATTGAACTCGGAGAGCGTCAGGGCTAACCGTGGTTGCGCGAGGCTGGTTATGTAGTGCATCCGCAGGTATTAAACCGAGCTTTAATACGACAAGCCAAGGAGACAGTATTTCTCCGCGTTTCGTGCATGGTTTCGTGAGGGGTTTTCGAGAACAAGCGGGTTTAAGAATCAGGTTGATATGAAAGTTTGGCAGACAAGCTCCTCCCCTCTGTTGTCGTTGACAGTCACGCACGGGACTCGGAGTCGAGTTGTCCGAGTCTCTGAGTCTCAAGAGCTTCCTATTAGGCTACAGCAAGGGGCGCTGGCACCGCTCTGTGGGGCTTTGACATGCTTGCTGTGTTGTATTTGTAATCAAGTAGGTAGCAGGGGGGGCTCTCCCGAGTCGGTGCTGTGAAATAGGCCCGATACTGCCTAAAGGATACCCGGGCTTTTCGGAGCGATTGTGAGGGATTGCTTAGAACGACTGCTCACGAGCAAGAGAAAAGCATTTTGCCGGGGGCAGTGGTCGCGGTTTCTTGGTCAAAAGCAATTGCTGGGAGTCATTTGCAATTCAAGCAGTCAAGTGCAGAGAAGCTTGATCGAAGTAGTTAGAGATCGTGACAGGAGTGCAGTCGATTATTTTAGATCGGATTGCTTTCTGCCATTTTGTCAGGGCAAGGGCTGAGGGCAGCCATGCCATCGGAGTTGCTCAACATCCAGCCTGGGGAGCTCAAATTTCCATGTGAGTATTACCGAACCAAGTCCTTGTCATGCACTGCAGGCAGCTTGGATGCTGAGATTGAATTCTTCAGGGTCGCAAGGCTGATGGATGCAGCCGGATCTATGCTGGTAAGGTGGAAGCGTCTGCTTTACTAGTCAGTTTGAAATCATCTATCGTGAGCATCTCTTCTGCAAGCACTCAGTTTGCCTTCGCAGATTCATGTTGCTTGGAAGTGATTCATTATGTTGTAATTCTCTAGTTCCCGTTCTCAGCTCATATCGCCTTAAAGACTGGTGCCTTACACGTATGGGATAGAATGATGGTGATGGCTGCTCTGCCTTTGCTGATTATGATTATGCTTTGCCTTGCCTTGTAGATGCATGTGTTTGTCCCTTGTATCATTTCGATCTGCTAGTTTCAATCCCAATTTATTAGTCAATGCATGTCCTCAATCTGGAATGACATAAATAAGTTCCCTTTGAAGCATGTCCAGATTCTTAGTCGCGATCAGAAACTGGGTCGTATCTTCTGTATGCAAATCTATACTAGCTGTGCATGCAGTGCCCTTTTATGAGCCGTCTTCGATGACACCCTCAAGTTTTTGTTGCCTTTATTGGCCTTTTCCTGCATTTGAGATCTCAGGGGAGAGCACGGGCTTGGGCTTTGTAGAAGTCATGTGTATAGGCCGACAAACTCTTGGGTACCGATGAATGTGTCTTGTTGCCCGTGGAGTTACGAGTTGGTAATGGTGTGGAGCCAATCCAACCTTGTCATGCTATCCAACACTCTCTCTTTTGGTGCAATTAGGGTTTGGTAGCTGTCAGGGGGCAGATAGCTACCGCATAAAGTCAATCTGCTGATGTGGAACTCCTCTGAACCCGGTGATTCATCTCTGCAGTTGAGCTGAAGAAGCAGGTTTCTGCAAGCCTCCGGCTGCAAAATCAGACCTCAAAGAATGTCGCATTCAAGGTGAGCCCATCCTTCTTGAGGTATGTGCACCTCAGCATGCTTGTGAGGCACTTTGTGGAGGAAGCATCATCCTCAAGATTTATCAAGTTGACTGCCGGAAGCATTGTAAGTCCTGTTGAAATTGTCAGGAGGACAATCAATCCAGCTTCTGATTCCGTAGCACTCCAGCAGAAGATCAATCTAGATATTCTCACCAGAAGGTTACAGGGTGGACAAGGACGTCAAGTCCCTAGCCAAGGCAGATGCGGTGCATTCGTTGTCTACATTTCAAGAGATAGTTTGATGAGGCAGCTCACTGATCAGCTATGAATGTTGTTTTAGCTGCGCCCCTGACGCACGTATGGTGCTCTCTGTTGCAGGTCAAGACGACCTCCCCCAAGAAGTACTGTGTGCGGCCCAACACCGGGATTGTGCCCCCCAACGCCACAATCGAGGTCACTGGTAAGCTTTTGATTCTGTGTGATGCGCTGTGATTAGTGCTAAGAAGCGCAAGTGCTGTGGTGTTCAGAACGGCTGGGGTCCTGACATTTCTTATCGACCGCGCAGTGGTTGGCATGGAAAACTGTGTCTGTGCTTAGTGCAAACCGGATGGATCAAGTCATCATTGCAATCCAACTTTGTTTGTTTCTTAGGACTTGCAAGTTTGAGCGAGCTCTTTCTCGTGTCCAGTTGCACTTCACTCCAAAACTTCTCTTGAAGTTTCCAGACTCTGTTCGTTGCAGTGACGATGCAGGCGCAGCGCGAGTACCCCCCCGACATGCAGTGCAAGGACAAGTTCCTGGTGCAGAGTGTCTTCGCTGACATCGCTTCCCCAAAAGATATCACCCCAGAGCTGGTGAGGCCTTATTCACAGGCGCTTCCGCCGTGAGCTTGCTGTATGTATCACGAAGCCTGGAGCGCTATCATGTGGTTAAGTGCGGAATGCTCTGATGAATCTGATTCGTTTATCAGGCACAAAGGCAAATGTGCAAAAATGCATCGCTTTGCTCTTTGAAGGCGGCCACGCTTGGTTTGAGCAGAGGTGTAGCAAGGCTTCTAACAGAATGTAATTGCTTGAAACTCGATCGTATAACACGTTGTACAAGAGCGTCCAGCCGAGCACGCATGAATTGAAGTACTGTGCGTTCAGGCAACCTACTGGAGGAGCAGGTGCATGCTTCTTGTCCAGCCTTGGACACTTCATAGATTGCCAGAGCTAGACATAGATACGGATTGTGCGCACATTGAATCGAACATCTCTTCCGCCCGCTGCAGTTCTCCAAGGAGTCCGGGCGCGAGATCACTGAGACCAAGCTGCGCGTGGTGTACGTGTCCCCCCCGCCCCCCCCTCCCCCCATCAATGAGTCAGCAGAGGAGGGCCTCTCTCCCAAGGCCGTGGAGCCAGAAAGCCACAGCAACGCGCACTTCTTCGCAGAAGTAAGCCTCGCAATTGCAATGCAAGACTGGCCCCGTCTCTGATTCGGCTCACTGTGAACTGTTGGTGGTGAATGAGGCCGCCACTGGAAAGGCATCCCTTTGGTCTCAATCATACTCCTCCTCTGCATATTGCATGTTGAGGTGAGACGTATGCAGCCGAAGCTTAACTGGCTTCTGTTGGTGTCTCTGGTTGCCTGGTTTAATATAGTGCTGTTGCTGAGGCTTTACGTCTGGGAGGTTCAGTCAATCTGGTACTCTCCCCTTACTGACGATGCTTTTCACGTCACAGAAGGCTACCACACCAGCGGAGTCAGTGGATCATCAGGTCAAGGCACGACAGGTGGGTCCTTCAATCTGAAGCTTCTGCCCCCCTAACTATATCTGCGCGCTTACGCTCCATGGAAGCCTGTGAATTGCAACCTCTTGCTGTGCTTCTTAGTAGAATGCACTGACTTTAAGAAGGAACGGAGGGTTGTGCATTGCTTTCAAGGGCCCTTTCATCATTATAGCTACAGCATCCTTTGGGATTCTCCATTTCGGTTCAGAGGGCTAGCTCTGCCTGTTTGGAGTCGATATTCTGTTCTTGGAGACTATGCTCTTGACGACCATAGCGGTTGACTCATTGAGCTCTGTTGGCACACGGATTTGACCATCTTCTTCGTTTTGCCTTGGAATTGCATTGTTAGGTCGACTCTTATGGTGGTTGATCCTTTCCTGCCCATTTTGCAGGCGAACGAGCATCAGTATCTGGAAAAGAAGGCGCCATCATCGGGCGGCACAACGACAGTTCCTGCCAGGACGGGGGGAGGCATTTCGTGGATGCTGGTGCTGCTTATTGCCGTCATCGCTCTAATCATTGGTTTTGCGCTTCCAAGGAAGTCTTAGGTGGATCCTTTTGTCGTACATAACGTGGACACTTTGGGGTACGCCTGTCGCAAAAGTGCTGGTCAGCGATGCAGGCACAGACCTGTGAATGGTACTAGAAAGCGAGGGGCAATAAACTTGATAATTTGTAGAATGATGTTTCCTGAGAGGCCATTTCTTTTATAGGATGTGAGGTTTTTGGTTCAAGCGTTATCTGCATAGTCAGCATATGCGAAGTTATGTTGTTTAGTCATTCTTTCCAGTCGATTCAGGCACGGATGCATGAAGGACCCTAGAAGCTAAGTACTTCCAGAATGCGTTTTATAGTAGGATTTGGATGCGCGTCTAGTTGTCCAAACAAAGATGAATGTATCACTGTAGGACTCGGTTGTTGTTACATGTTTTTGACGGAATAAGCATTGGACACCGAGTTAGTGGGTTATAGCACTTGCAGTTGCATGGTGCTCGCCCTAGGACTTCGAGCAGAATAATGATTCACAACTGATTGTTGCACATCGAGCGGGTCACAAGCTTTTGAATCAGCGCTGCCGTTATTTAAAGTTGCGAGTAAAAGTGATCTCATACCATGATGCATGTAACGGCTGCATGGCTGCATGGCCGCCTAGCTGCAGCAGCATGACCCAGGATACTGCACACAAAGGTTGTTAGAGATATATGTGCATCATGGTCAAGCGATCATCCAACTAGGCATCGATCCCGTCAGCAGATTATGATACATTGCATGTGGATAGATGATGAATTATATACTCAGATTAGGCTTACATTCGACAAACCGCCATATCGAGAGCTCTTCGCTTCATCATTTGTGAAGGTGCATCCCATCCAAATTTTTGAGTAAGGGTGGCAAGCGGACGCCAGGACAATTTACAGCAGAAGACTTGGGTTGTACTGCAACTCATTCTGAAAATTTGACACGAATCTGTACATAGTAAATAAAGGAGACTTTGTTCTTTCTAAGTCGATTTGGTTGCACATCATACGAGGTCCACTGCACTACCTTTTGGTTGCTGCTGCTTTCGCCTCCCGAGCTGAAAAGGAAAAGGAGACTCGTCAGCGTAGGCGAAGGGCACAACCAATTCTAAGCCGCTGCGGCCAGGCGGGTCCAGCCCTGACGAATGGCACCGTCATTGGGCGACTGTCATGCGTAACACAGACTTTCGATCCTAAGAAAGTCCACCGATTGGCTCTTCGTTTCCTCACAAGATCCGACAAGCAGGAACACAGCCACAGCGGCTGATTTAAATATGCTGATTCTGTAAGAAGGCCTTCGTGGCACTGCACCTTGATACACAACCCAAGAAGCGAAGAAAGGACATCATCTGTGAGTCCATAACAAAGGGTACGTTGAACCCTACTCACCCGCTTTCTCCTCTTCCCTTTTCTTGGCGGCCTCCTCTCGTTGCTGCCGGATGATAGCCAAGCGCTCTGTAAAAGAACCGGCAGCATGTTTTCAGAAGACTTCATTCAAGAATGCCCCACGGTTCCCTGCTGTGCCACACCCGCATACGAGGAACGGTTCACAGGGGTCTTCCTTGCTAAACAACCCAATGAGCAGAAGCGAGGCGCTGCCCCACAACCTGAACGCCTACATACCAGCAACTTTCTTTGCCACTTGCGAAGGCGTGACGTCATCTCTGTAGAGGACTGTCAAAGGAAGATTTTAACATGGTCTCCTGAGACACAACTAGCAAAGGAACGGAGTGCTCTTCCCGCTGGCTACCTTAACAACGGCATCTTTCCCGTCAACAACTACCCCATGAAGAAATCCCCGACCAGTTTTCTTCGTGGCTCTCTTAAAAAGTACTTTTACCAAAACACACTCACCGAGGTCCTTCCTGGCCTCTTCCGTCTTGCCCTGCTCGTGCAGCTTCCAGTAGCGCTCCTTGGCGCGCTGCTTCTCTAGCTCCTCCCTGCACCAGGGGCGGGCTTGTGAGACTGGAGTACCGAAGAACTCAATGTCCCGGGATCTGGTCCTTCCCCGTACTCTCATTAATCTTGAGGAGCTTCCCGCTGTCTTCTTGGAAGGAGGAGGCCCCTGAAGGACCTCATGTGAGTATACGCCGGGAGATTTGGCCAGTCTCAATTGGGCCACTTTGCGGGACTTGAAGAAGAAAAGCGCTTTCGTTGCGTCCTCTTCGGACTCAACTGCTTGTCTCGACCAGCGAAGTAACATGAGCACACGCACCCCTTACCCTTGGTAACTCGCAGATCGTGACTCGTGATTTCCGGCTTGAAAAAAATCCTCAAATCAGGGTCTGCTCAAGCTGTGCGTGACGATTCAAACAAACGTCAGTTCCCAGAAGGCTGACACTCTTAAAACCCTCTGAAACTAAGTCATTCTGACTTTGTAATTCTCACTCTGTGCGATTTCGCTTATTTCACCCGCATCCAAAAACCAGGTTTCAGAAACCTTTCGCAGGACACCCGATCGGATTCAATTAAATCATGGTCTACACCGCGATGAGAAAACAAGGGACAACTAAGCATGGCCCACCTTTCCCTTCGTGAGAGCTCGGGCCCCTTCGACGTGGCAAGGTCAATGTCCTTCGCCTTGACGGTCGTCTTCTTGGCCGCGTTCGGGTTGTCGGTGGCTATCAAGTTCTGGACGCCCTTGCCCTTTTTCTGCACGAAAAAGGGGACAGGAGTTCGTCTGCTAAAGGCCCATAAAAAAGGCGAAACAATCCGCCGATCTCGCACAACCACAAATGTATATTCTTTTCCATAACCCCTCGTTGGTAAATCATCCACCATCGGCATCGGCTCATGAAGCTGACGAACTGTGATGAACTCTGCAGATTGCAAGCGTGTGGAATGCACCTTGGAGGAAAGCTAGATCGACAGTGAATCCAATTTGAGATAGCTTAGAATGACTTGGCTCCCGTATTCGGAATTCCAGTGATGCGAAACACGATACTTTGCGAGTGACCTCAATGTAAGTTGACAATCTGTCCAGAAACAATTCGTTGATCACGGCCAGAAGGCTCATGAACACAGCTGGCAGATTCGCGACGTCATCTTGGGCTCCAAAGGACCTCGCAGCCAACAAGAAGCTCAGGAAAGACACCAGATTGAAAGCGGTAGCACCAGGATGCGCCAGCGAAAAACAGCGGACAGATCCTAGCATCTGACCAAGCCTGGCCCTTTGCCTTACTCGAAGCAGTAGTCTCTTGCAACCAGACTTCGAGAAACTAGATGCTTGCTCGAAGAGCTTCAGTTGCCGGCTAGCGCCTGAATACTCCAAAGTCACAACCATCGTTTCTTTGTCAACCAGAATCACGAGACATTGATGCCGTGCCAGAGCGCAGCCGCGCCTCACCTCTTTTTGGTCATCGTCTTCCTCTTCACTGGACTCCTCTTCGCTCGATTCCTCCTCCTCCTCTTCAGCATCCTCTACCTCTTCCTGAGAAGCAAACAGGCGTCGACTTTGCAAAGAGCAAGAGAGGCAGGTATTCGAAGTATGGTACATATAGAGTGATTCGATTGAGGGGAATCAGATAAGCGTGTATCAAAAATCAATCAAACGGCTCAGCGTGTTTGGCTTTCTATCTAGACTGGGCACCAGGGCAATCACCCCCCCCAACGAGCATTGCTGTGTGAGAAGAGGGCACCCGATCTCGGCAGTCCAAAACCTTGAATGACTGGGATTGCTTGTAGCCAAAACCACATCTACCACCGATGCTCGTGCTCCACTTGTGCTCCACCTGACTGTCAAAATCCCGCTGCAACATGAGGAGCGCCAGGACTATACAGCAAGCGCAGCGCTAAAACAAGGGAGCGGGATGCGCAGTACCGTCATCTTTACACTTACCGGGTCCTTCTTTCTAAACCCGCTTCGAGGCCCGTCGGCACCGGCCGCTGCAGAGAAATACTGGCACGGGTCAGCACGATCAGGGGCTTGCAATTGCAGCGTAATGATTTCAGAACGAGTCCCAGAGACAAAGACGGGCAGTTAAGTCCTCGTTTTTCCGCCTTCCATGCTGAAACATGTTGGCCTCTTCCTTACCTCGCAGTTGAAGCATAAGGGGTGGCAGACCTCGTTTTGCCACCTAACAAGGACGTGCCAGAACGGGCGCCAACAAAATGCTACAACCTTCGTGCACGATCAAAAGGACCCTCTCAAAAAGAGGCTATGCAAATTCCCGGGAAGCCTGCAAGTGCCTGATTCTTGTGCGCATAAAACTCAGGTGCGCGCAGTCTTTCATAAAGAGCAACCAAAATGGAGCTTTTTGGCGACAGACGCACGAATTCTTGGTGAGAAACTCTACTGGCCCAGACATTGCCTTGAAAGTACAATGAAGGAGAAATGGATGTGCACAAGCGCTTGTGGCCTTCCCCTGCCCGAGTTGGTCCAGCAATGAAGGCCAGCTTCTTGCGCTCTTTTGCACCCCACAAACAATCAGAAAGAAACAGACAATCATGTTTGAGCTGGCAATTGCCTTGACAAGACCCAGTCATTGCGGTCAGTCAGACTTGTCTTCTGGTTCTGTTGAACTCAAACAAAGCCTAAACAAAAAGCTGCGGAACAGACTACCATTACCAATATTGATGCAGAAGTGCGCTCTAAGAGCTTGGCATACCAAGCTCTGCATCCTTTTCAAAAGTGCGGATACCCAAGTTCCACAAACAACTCCAATAGGTTCTGAACCCATGAAAAGATCATCCCGTAAGCAGACAAAGACTGCAACATTGCAGAATTACAGTATTTGGGTTTTTGATTGCGGACGCAAATGGCATAGAGCTAAGGGCATGGCCTGGGCACCTATTTCCTCTGGCGTCGAGAAATTCTTCCTCCCCGTGGGGCCCTTCTTAAACTTGCCGCGGCCTGCCCCGCTCCCCATCTTTTCAACGCAAAGCAGTAACGATTGCTAAGCTCCAGGGGCCCACAACGAACCCACAGATCAGGACAAGTCTGATCTATCCTGCAGTCGCCTGCTGGGCTCTTCACGTTCTAACTTCCTTTCAACTTCTTAGTTCAACTTCAAGTTTCATTTCCTGCTCGGGCTTTTCTGGAGCTGACAGTCAGGGCCATGATTGCCGGCCGCGAGCTACACATGAGATGCTGCAGCGCGGCCGCGGCGATGCTTTTACGCGCGACGCACCATGTCATATGGCATATGCTGCGCGTTAGCGCGCGCACAGGAAGCGGCGGCCTTTCTTACGTTTACAAGAGCGTCGAAAATGGATCACCGATCGCAGGGGCCAAATTATCTCGACGGAAGATGTCCCATAACAACCGTTGATTTGTCTCAAGGCACACTATCGGCGGCAGCGATCTGGCCCCTTATCCGCCATCCTTCGTCCAATAAGAAGGCGCAGAATCTGAATCAGATTGCGCTTTACCTTTCCAACCAGCCTTCAGAAGCCCCGAGGAATGGTCGGAAGATCTAACCGACCTCCAGTTAACCAGTTTGCCCGCAAACTGAGTCCTTGGTACGAACCTGGGAGCGCCTGGGAAGTGAATTAGCTATCGGTTGACGCCACATGGAGGAACGGTCGTCCTTGTCATTTGAGCAGTGTGATGAACAGACAGTCAGACTGAACTCTGGAGTGAAGAATCAGGAAGAAGGAAAAGCACACGAAAGACGCCATTGAGAAGTGCTTTGATCTTTCCTGACCACCTTTGTTTCCCCTCTGCAATCAGCAGGCGCAATGGCTTCCTCTCTTGCCCGTGCTTCGACCAGTGTGGCCGCCACCTCGGTGGCTGGGTCGGCAGCGGCCAGCCAGACTGTGCAGGTCAGGAGCTTTGTGTCTGGCATCCCAATGAGGGGCAGCGCTTTCAGGGGCCAGAGGCTGGCTGCGGTGCAGTCTGGGCACAGGACAGTAATGGAGGAGAAGAGCACCGCTGTTAAGCCGCCAGAGGGAAAGGCTGAGAAGAAGCCTTTCACCCCCCCCACCTTGGACTCATCTATCCCTTCTCCCATCTTCGGTGAGTGCAGATTTCAAGGACAAACTGTCTCCTTTGGTTCGCAGATTGATGAGCAGAGTTGTAAGGTCCTAGCTTGGTTCTGGATACTTAGTCCTCATAAGCAATGCAGAATTACGGCAAGTCTGAGCCTCGGAGACAGGTTTTCAGGGAGAATGAGAGACACCGGCCACTGCCTTTAGCTTTAGTTGGCAATAAACCAAGATCAGGTCACGCTGTATGCAATCGTCCTGCTGACCTGCAAATGCATTGGCTGTGATCAATATGGATAAAAGCTCAAAAAGGACTGTGCTAGAATGTTAGCTGATAATCGCTCTTCCTAGTTTGTCTCAAGCATCTCGGTGAGGTGTCAGCTTTCAGGGGTTGGATTCTGCCAAGTGCATACCTCCTGATTAGCTTGCGGGATTTGGTTCGTTATGACGGGTGTGTTTCTGGTGGTCTGAAAGAGAGCGTTGCACGACAAAAGGATGGTGACAATGTTGCATCTGGCATCTGAATGGCACAAATTAAGAAGGTATTGTATATTTGAGAAGACCCGGCAATGGTCTTGACCAAGGGTGGTTAACAAGCAGTCCTGTGCAAATTCCGGCTGCGCTGTAGCATGAACAGCTGCATTCACCTCAACCTCAAGACTACTCTGTTTGCAGCAAGCTTTCCAGTAACAGTGTTTGCCAATGTCACTTTTCTCCTGATTATCTATTGGAAGTTGCTGCCCGTATTCAGACCAGGCACCCCATTCTAGCTAGGGTGCCATGATAGGATAAGAACGATTGCAAATAGTATGCCAAGGGCAGCACAGAATGCAATAGCATATGCAGCTTGTATTGGGCAATCGCCACCAGGGTTTCCAAATTCTTGTAAGGGAAGGGAAGGCAAGTAATGGGAAGGGAATTCTACATCCTAGCAAACACTTTCACTTTCAGGTTGCGCTTGCGCATACTCATGGCGGCCTTGTTTCTGAATGCAGGCGGGTCCACCGGCGGTCTGCTTAGAAAGGCTCAGGTTGAGGAGTTCTATGTCATCACTTTCGAGTCACCCAAGGAGCAGATCTTTGAGTTGCCAACCGGGGGCGCTGCCATCGCTCGCAAGGGACCCAACCTTTTGAAACTTGCCAGGAAGGAGCAGTGCCTGGCTCTAGGAACGCAGCTTAGGAACAAGTTCAAGATCAACTACCAATTCTACAGGGTGTTCCCCAGGTATGTCACTTCTTGGTGCCTTGTTCTTCGTCATTCAGCGGTTCCCTAGGGCCGGTTGAAGCTCTTTATTGTGAGATGTAGTGGCATCTGGTTGTTTTTCGAGAACGTGCAAGGTGGCAGTACAATTGTTCAGTGTTTCTCTGTTTCTCGCGCAACCCTTACCGCAGCTGCAGTTTTGTCTCCACAGCATCAGTTTTGCGCTTGTCTTGCTTGAGGGTGAGAAGATTTCTTAGTGTTGCTTGTTAGAGTTGTTTAAAATAAAAGACTAGTTGATCATTTTTCTGCAGCGGTGAGGTCCAATACTTGCACCCTAAGGACGGAGTGTACCCTGAGAAGGTCAACGCTGGCAGGAAGGGCGAGAACATGAACATGAGGAACATTGGGTCAAACGCAAACCCTGCCGATCTCAAGTTCACAGGCAAGACACCATATGGCGAGCCTGCTGATATGATGGGCTCAGCATAGGCAGCACGTCTGTGATCTGTGCTACAAGAGCGTAATGAGCAATAACAGAACAGAACAGCAAGCCTACATTGATACAGGCAAGTCAGCCACCCTCGAATGCAGACCAGCAAGTAGCGGTGACATCACATTGAGTTTTTCGGGCGAGCTGGGGCCTCATCCTCCCTGTCGGGATGATTGCGGCCTTGTGCTATTGGTCGGGCTTCAGATACGGATGTTTGTGTACATAGAATTCAACGTAAGCAGCAATGGTTCTCGAGATCTTGAGAGCCTGGTGTCAACGTTTTTCATATTCCCTTCAAGAACTCATTGACGCATGTCGGCTGCCATCTTGATTCAACACCATCTGCGCTTGCAATGCGAATCAAGGATAAATTCACCTTTTGAGGCTTTTGCATGCCTGTATTTTGTGCTGTTAACATCGGAATGGGCCACAGCACTGGGTGCTGTGCATAAACGGAGTATTCTATGTTTCTTGCTTTGAATAGCCGCGAGAACAGAACCTGTCATTCAAAGCACTTCGATAACTGAGGATCCCACTGAGTCAGAATTGGACAATGAAGTGCATGACAGAGCTCTCTACGAATATAGGTACACATTCACATGTATATTTAATTCATGAAGGGCGTACGTACCCCGACGCATGATAGATATGGCTCATGCAAGAAGTACCCTATGTGCAACACAGACACAGGGCCTGCATTAATCTGCCCTGATGCACAGCAGGTAATCAGATATGCAATCTCCCCATATAAAGTGCCAAAGGCGCATGATTGTCGAGGAGCTGATCATTGCATGTGCGCTTGTATTAGGAACTCGCACACTAGACAAGCATGAAGTATTCAGTACTTAACAATAGGTGCCTACATGGTTTCCATAATTTGGGCTCTCGGCTATAGCTAGTCAAATGAAGGCAGCCGGAACTATCTGATCCATTGCATGGGTGTTAATTTTGTTTGCTTAGCTCTGGCTGGGTGGTCGATTTCGACCACCCGGCTCCACTTCCGGAGGCAAAGTCAAAGCTTACAAAGCCGGAGAACGGCTTATAACACCCAACCTTCGCTTAAGCGCACATGCTGGTTGCTGCGGAACCATTGCAGTTGGCTCTGCTGCATCGCCTCCGGCGTGAAAGCGCCCTACTCGAGCAGGCGGGGCATCTCATTCATACATGGGTACATCGGGTAATCTTCGAGCGGCAGGTGATAGTGCTCATACAAATCCCGCGGGCATCGCACAGCTGTCGCGTCCGGCAAGCCCTCCGGCACGAAGTCTTGCAGCGCCGCGTATTGCCGAAACAGCTCCACCACATACGCCGACACCGCGCGTGAGCCCATGCCCTGCGCAAACTCCGCCCCATTCCGCCCGATCCGCTTCGCCTCCCGTTCGTTCCGTTTGAGCTCCCGGATGACCGCGGGGAGGTCCCCAACGGTTGGTACCGGGACGTAATGCACCCACGGTTGTAAGAGCGGCTCGAAGAACTCCTGCCACGGGTACTCTACGTATAGAACCACGGAGCCGCACAGCAACAAGTCCTTCAACCGATTCGAGTCTGGAAAACGCAGGAGGGAAACGTTAGCTGAGCGGTGTGAAGAGAGAATGAAAACAGTGCAGATGGTGCGCAAAGTAGATCAACTGGGAGCTTGCTCTGAAAAGCGTCAGCAGAACGTCACTGCCGAGGTTGAACGAGCCAACACCGACAAAGGTAATTGCCGCACAAGAATGAGAATGAAGGAGACGTTCTTGGGAAAACTCGTCCGGGCATTGCAGCCCAAAAAGAGCCGTGAATCAAACCGAAGCACGCAAATCAACAAGGGGCTTGAAGAGTTTATCCTGCAGAACTTTCAATAAAGTGCTTCAAAGCTAGGCACGTGCTGAACGCAAAGCTCAACCTTGAATGTCAAAACCGTTTCGGGTCCCATCAGAAGGCCCTGCTTTTAGTGGCATGGCCGGAAAGGCGAGATAAAGCGATTTGTGTAAATCAAGGGGCGGAGCGCAAGTAGGATAACGTGGCTCACACGTCATCCCCCCGACGCCCCCCCGTATGTGCACTAGGTACTTGAACTTGCACAGGTCGTGGAAGTCCATCTGGCACGCGTTCGTGCTGCTGCCCATGCCCCGCCCCACCGTCAGCTCCCCTGCCACGTCAGCAAGACATACGTCAGCACGGCGTAGCAAGTGGTGTTCATACGTGCAAGGTGCCCGGTCGTTGCAGCGAGTTCCCAAGGACGCCACCGTGTGTCGAACAACGTGCCGACTCATTGGTAGAAAGCGCGTCCTTTGCCGTATGCCCGGGAAAAGAAGGTGAAGTGCAAAGAAACTGTGAACGACAGCCTCGCCAAGAATGCCTGGTTGACGAGCCGGTCTTCACCCTCCTGAAGACGGATCTGCCTTGTCCTAGTCTTGTCCAAGAAAAGTCTGCAACTCTTCTCATCGGTCGTCCCTGAATGAGGACCAAGAAACTCACGGTGCAACCGAGACCAAATGGGCCTATGCGCCAAAAATGGTTGTCCGTTTTGGCGTGAAGCGGACGTCCGAGGCTTTCAAGGGCACATTTCTGACGTACATTCAGCAAGCTGACTCTAAACTGTAGTTAGAGTCTTTCGTAGGGTGAAGGTGCAACCAGGAAGGGGAGTGCAAACGCAGCAAGCGGAAGAACACAATCAGAACCCAAAACATCGATGAGGCCCAGAATCATACGTACCACAGGTTGACCCGTCCCATCTTACGGAGCAGTGCCTCCGAAACGTGTCCCTATTAGACGTAGGGGTTTGGCACGGTCGACCGAAATTCGACGGTGTCACACTTTTTCCCGAACACGCCCCTGAACAGGGTTTTGGGGCACTTTGAGCCGTCCAGTCACGGATGCAAGCGAGCTTACAACAATCAATTTTGAAATCGGAACAGTGACGTGTGCAGTGTCCTCACCCGGCATCGTGACGTGGCACTTGCGCACCGCCCTAACCCTGCTGATGTACACGTCGAAGTCGTTCACAAACAGAAGCTCGGGATTTGCCTCTGCCACCGCTTTCAGCTCCTGCAGGCCAATCGCACTCTGTTGTCAAATGAAACGCCCTCGAATCTGCTGGTTGCTGAATAGCACACTCCGAAGCGAGTCCCGAAAAGCTCTAAATGGCTTGTTGCGAGGGGCTCACAGGTCGAAAGAACCCCTATCAGCGTTCGAGCTTGTCAGCTCGACAAGAAAACAACCTTGACGAATCCTAGACTCTTCCGTACAAGTATAGCCGCACGTTGAATCAATTCTGATAAAGCAGTGGAACAAACAAAGGGCTTTCCGGTCAGCAAAGGCCCAGTAGCACACAAGTGCTTTTCGAGGTATTTTGGGCAATTGTCGGATCCGTATTTGAAGAGATCATCCGTTTCGCAATTTTCGTCAACAGCGGATTGTGATTTCAGCAGCCTCTGGTTGACCACAGAAGGAGAACTGGCCTTCTTCCCCGTCAGCTTCGAAGCAACCTCGAATTCAAATGTCCGAGCTGCCAAAGAAACTGGTGCTTGGCGGTAAAGGTCAGCCGCTGGAGTTGACAGGTTACCTAGGGCGTGCATGGCTCAAACAATGAAGCGAAGCCTTTCGAGAGAAGGCTGACACAAATAGGCAATCTTCTAAACCGAAGCCAGGAAGAAGCAAGAGGTACTGGACTTTTTATGTCCAATAGCGTTTCTTGTCAATTGGCTGTAGAATAGCCTACCGTCAGGAGAAATGAAAGAAAAGCTGCAGAAGATAAAGAAGAAGAAGGGAAGAAGACGAGAATAAGACGAGAAGAAGGGAAACGTGGACTCAGACTCGCCTGCCGCTGCGACCCCTCCTTCCCGACGCTGCCGCTCCAGATGGCGAGGCTGCTGCGCGCCTCCCACGGGATACGCGACGCAATCTCCGCCACCATCCGACGGCGGTAGTCCCAGGGGGGCGTCTTGAACTCGTTGTTGGGGCCCAGCATGAATGAGAAGTCTGGCCAAAAGGGGAGAAACGGATCGTCACGGTCTATCTTGTGGAGGGATTCGGATCGCGATTTCTCGAGCTCGTTCGGACCGTTGTGGTGTCGTGTGCTGAGGCCCAGCGTAGACGAAGAATACGGACAGAAGTTGGGGTCTTCTTCGGAAGGAGATTGTGTAAGAGGCTTCCCAAGCACTCTCGAAATCCTCTCAAACTCGCCTTGGGGCCCAACGTGCACAAGAAGTCTTGGCAATAGTGGCGATCGGGGTCCGGCTTATTTGCCTTGCGACATAAACTGAACGTGAGGGCAATAAGTTACCTTTGCGGTGGATATCGAGACAATTTGCAACGTGATTGCGGCCAAAACGGATCGAATCTCAAGCACGACTTGCGCCATTGTCAGTCGATGCTGACGGGGCGTTGTTTTGAAAGGCGAACAGCCGTTGATCGACTAGGTCAATCGGGATCTGTAATAGATGCGTAGCAGATCCAGAACCGAGACGACTTCAACAGCGACGCAATGCGCAAGGACTCGATTTTACGACGGTGTTTGTTCGGGGGAGCAAGTCCAATGTCGGTCAGGGGACGGGGCCATGCGTGAAGTACCGACAGCCGCCAGTCTTCACAAAATATTCTTTTTTCGTTGCCAACCGAAGGTCTCAAAAAGAAGAGACGAGGACGAGGTGGAACGGAAAGAAATCCAAAAGATCCATATGGAATGTGTTCGACAGTCCCAACGAATTGCGGCGGAGGCATCGACGACCTCGAAAGCGGGGTACCTGGTGATCGGTTACGATAAAAATTACAGATCACGAAAGGAATACATGGAAATACTCGAAAGTTCCAGTAGGGTTGGCAAGACAGCCCCGCAGCCCACAAGAAGGTTTAAGCTATTCTTCGCAGTTAACAAACAGAAAAAGAAAGTATTTCACGCTTTGTCGATTCCACACGCTTCTCAAGAAATAAAAAACCCATCCGTTCTTTCTCGGCTTACAAATTTTACAGATCTTTTGCCAGCCGACCCGCAATTGGTGTCTATTAACCGCCCGCCCCTTGACACCGAGAGAAGGCGATGCTTCATGCGAACGAACACCGAAAATACCAACCAGTCCAAGCCACTCCGCTTTCAGATTTCACAATCGAGCGCCGCGCTCCTTACCTGGGAACGGCACGTCCACTGTTTTCCCCGGTTGCTGCACCGGGCTAAAGATCGGAAGCGGCGCCCACTTCAGCCCGATGGAGTCATTTTCAATGGCGGACGTGTTCAGCCCTTTTATTGACACCAGGTCGTTGTCCCACTGGTTCCCGGTGAAGTCCACCGGAGGGAAAGCGTGCGGGCCGAATTGCCGGATGGCTTCGAGAATGACCATTTTGGTGTTGGCGATCGTGGGCTGCCAGTTGGGCAGAGACCAGCACTCTGACAGGAACAGGGTGCCGTTTACCACCTGGGGGGAGCGGGGCAAATCCAGGTGGTGGGAATGCATTCCTGGGGTGCTGGAGCTGGTAGATCTTCGAGGATGCATCGAGGTCGGCCTCGCTGACGTGTCGACGTTTCTTCACAGAGATAGGTGTTCTGAACAGTCAGGACCTTCTAACACCCGTCAATCAGAGAATCGGCTTTTTGTGAAATGATGACCCCGCGACCATGTCAATCTGGCAAAAATTCTCAAACTCTGCTCATCAATTGTGATTTCCTGATGTCTGTTTACCCCCAGTTTCACGTTCGACCGATGACTTTTAAGATTGCCGCAACAAGACTGAAAAGACCAGCATTTACAATCCGTTCTTGACCTCTTCTGCTCATTGGGTGTGATTCCTGGTGATTATTGGCCCAAATTTCGCTCATTACTCCGCCCCTAAACTGCCACGTCACACGAAACTGTCAAGAGAATGACATTCGCAAAAGTCGACTCCCCCCGGGGCCGTCCCCCACCTGTGCTCGGAAGGACTGGTATTCGGTGTGCAGTCGCTGGCAGGCATAGTCTAGCAGGGGGTTCGTGATCCGTTTTTGCGGAGTGTCGGAGGCGCGGAGGATTGCGGCCGCCGAGCAGGCTGGGGAGGAGTCGATGTGGTGGCACACTTTCTGCTGCAGGTGGGACCAAGGGGACAAATAGTAGGCCACGACGGGGCGCCAAAAGTCTGCAAAAACAAAGGGAATAGAAAAGGCGATCTGGGCCTCAACTCGTGGAATTGGCCTGAGAAGGTGATAGATGTTGTTATAGATGATAGGCCACGACGGGGCGCCAGAAGTCTGCAAGGAACAAAGGGGAAAGAAATGCGTTTCAGAAAGGTGATTTGGGCCTCGAAATTTGGGCGGCACGGGAAGGTGATACAGTGTCAAAGCAGATAGTAGGCCACGTCCGGCGGCTTCAAATCTACGGAAAGAAAGATGGGAAGGAAAGCTTCTCGTGTGTGTAGCTTGGACGTAGAAACTATGGAATGGGAGGCTGTTGACTATGATGGCAGTTCAGAGGCTACAACGGGGCGCCAAAAACTGCGCGCAAGTGCGGATGCGAAGAGCATGATACTCTTCTAAGTAAAGCATGAGATCTTGGTAATGTGCATGGGCACGAGATTGACGAGCTTCAAGTGACAATGAGAACGGAAAAACCACGGTGTCCCTTGTCGGCGGGAGGGGAATGCGCTGTTCCCTATCTGAGATAAGGCAAACCGCAACAATAGCTCAAGCAACGCAACACGGCTTCCTTCCGCATATCCTGCTTGGGCTCCCTCTGTCAGAATAGACAGACCTTAACGAGGGAGGAAGTCCTGACGACCCCTCTTTGTCTTGGACGCAGGCCCCCTGAGCTTACCTGGTTCATTCATCGGGCTCTCCGGCACAGGGTCCCGGAACCACATTGGGTCGTCCACCCAACTAGGCGCGGACGCCAGGACTTGCTCCGCATCTTGTTGGATCCTGGCGTAGTTGATATTGTACCCCAGGGACAGCTCTGTGATCGTGCATCGGGGGCTGCTCGAGAGGCCCAATCGGAGCATGACACCTGTCACGAACACGAGCGCCACGGCCGCCACGCAGCGCGGATCGGGGCGCACCATTATGGCTTTCAGGCCCCCGAACTTGACCTTGCCTGAGAAGAGGGATCCCCGGGGGAGGCTCATTGCTCAGGGGCCCTCTCGCTGACTATGTGTCACTTCTTCTCTGACGATCGCCCATGTTTACGTAAGTGAGTGATCGTCTATGCTGGGCAGGTTTCTCTTCCTAGCTTCTGACTGTGTGCGGTGATATTTGGAAACTGGCAGAGCGTTGGTGGACCTGCAGCCACACCCTTCCCCGAGCACTCCTCTCAGGCTTGACACTTTCTATCGGCTGGGCCTTTGCGGCAGCTCTGCCTCACTGGCTAGTGTCAGACGTCCGTAAGAAACTGATATTGGCTGGCACGGACAAGGGCTGGGACCTGGCTCCTGTGTGCACACCGTTGAGAACTGATGATGCCCACGCCTTAATTGCCCCTTTATATGTTGTATGTGACTTTTTTTGTGACTGCTGCGAGCGGCCGGGGTCTACCACAAAACTTTCAACAGGGGTGCGGTCCGTGCTGAGGTTGGGGCAGTCCCTAAGGAAAGCTGGCACGGTGTCCTGCAACACAGGGGGTGCCCCAGAATCAAACGATGTGACAGGTTTTTTCCATCCATTTGATCTTACAACCGTCATTTTATCGATTCAAAGAGCTGTCATTGCGCCCTTGAATATAACGCCACATGTATTGAAGGTGCTTAAAAGTTGGATTTAAAAAAGAGAAGAGCAGACGATCCTGAGAAAGTGCTGTCATCGTGTTGATTTACTGTAGGCCATACTTGAGCATGCCTTGAGGTCAGAAGGAGTTGCCCACAAATGGTAGAGATCAAAGATCTTTCTTGAATGCTGATGTAAGTCTTGCCCACTGATTTAAAATCTCCACCACAGATTTATTAGCCAGCACACATAGTATCACACTAGTTTCAACAAGAAGTTGTGAACCTCTTTTGCGAAAGAAGGTTCTAGAACAACCAGCTAATGTGAGACTATTGAAACTCATCTCAGATCTTTTGCAGAGTGCTACCAGGTTTTGAGGAAAGTTTCTCGACCCCTTCGGCGTCCTGACCAACTTTCAGGTCCATGTTGTCATTTTCCCTTTTGTACTCCTCTTCTACTGAGCTTCATAAGTTGCTTTCAAGCAGATGAGAATGATTGCAAGCCCATCATCTCTTCACGTCCAGTGAGTATTAGCTGAACCAAGCGAGCAGAAATACACGCAAAGAAGAAGATCTGGATGCGTACCTGCGGCCAAAATAATAAAAACCCAATCTTGTTATGCAAGATCTCCATCATCAAGGCTCACCTGAAGCCTGCAGGTGCTGTCACAGCAAACAACGGCAGCTCGGAGCTGATCTTTCCTTTGCCCTCTGGGCTATTACTTACTGAAAGAAACCACCTCCAAAGTCCAGCATCAACAACAAATCCAATGCAACGTTGCAAAAGTGGCAATTGCCCATGGCGAGCAAGCTGGCCCAGGAAGAACTAGAAACTGGAGTAAAAAGTAAAGTGTCAAATCCACTTCGCGCGACATTAATGATTACGTAGTGACAACAACCATTGCCGCAGAAGTGCCGGTGACTCAAGTGTCAGTGTGACCAATGAGCACGCAGCATTTGTCAGCTTGCTAAGCTCGCTTAGCCTAGAGACTTAGAGTGGACATGCACACACGAGGGAACCATTGTCGACTTTGTGGCGGCCGCCCTGGTTTACCCGCCTCTCGTTGCATCACATGTCTAGGGCGCCCTCTCGCCACTCGAGATTTAAATTTATGCAACTTGTGAAGTTGGATTTTGAAGTTTAACAGGGCTGTACATCACGTCATTGTGCTTCGTCTCTGGCATTGCATTGAGCATCCACAACCAGGGGTTCTAGCAAATTTTTCCCGGCCGTGCATTCTGCACGGCGGGCTCCGCCCGGCCGTGCAACGGCCTTGCCGGCCGTGACGGTGCAGCTGAGAGCCCCGAGCCGATGACTCTGCCCGGGCTTTTCCCCCCTGACGCTGCAAACCATGCACGGCCTGCTATATATTCTCAATGGCATTGATATTTGCGCGTTTACACACCATATGACCGATATCAAACCGTATACGACGTTATGATGCTGCAACCAGGACCCAGGTTTCTTTTACAAACCCCCGAGGAGAAAATCGAAGATGCATATTAGAAGATCCAAACCGTTCAAAAGGTTCCATCGACCGCCACATACGAAAGTATAGTTGCGAGAGTGATTCAAGGGATACCTACTGGTAACTCCGGGGTGACTTAACGGGTGAGTGACTTAAGATTCACAATCCCCGACCAAACAAACTAAAAAATCTAACCCAGATACTCACCCGCTCCGCACCCGAACCCACCCTAACCACCATGCTAACCCCACCCGTCTCCCGGGTGCCTATCTCAAGTCACCCCGCTGTGAAGTCACTCTTTAGTTACCAGACTATTCAAGGGGGCTTAGGTTTTGTAAAGCCGGGCCGGGCCGGGCCGGGTCGGTCTTTCCGGAAAGTCTAATATAGCCGGACAAACGTGCCCTGAATATAGCTAGCTTACTCGAATTATTAGGTGTTCCGAGACTCTTGAGTACTTGCCGTCGACGGAGAGTGCCCGGCCAGCGGGATACCTGGCCGGAACAAGGGCACCGGGCCTGCACGGCAATCTGCACGGCGGGCTTCGCCCGGCCGTGCAGAAATTCCCCCGGCCGTGCTATGCACGGCGATCTGCACGGCGCCAGAACCCCTGTCCACAACGACATCCTTCTCCATTTGACTTAGGCACCTGCAACGATGGCGCTTGTCCACGCGGGGTGCCGATCAATGTTGACAAGCGGGCTGGCAGTGTCCCCCGCCAGCGGAATGCAGGGGGCACTCAAACCAAGGCCCAGTTCCTTCATCGGAATCAAGAGCTTTCTGGCGGGGCCGCAGGGGTGGACGCAGAGGCAACCGCACATGAGACCGAGTCGCCTGCCGGAAAGGCGCCCGATCAGTAAGTTGTGCAAGCGTCAATACTGAGGAGCTTCTTTGGTTGCACGCAATGTGGGAGTCTGATGATTAGTAGAGAGCCCGACTTAAGAGTTGTAGTGGCTGAGCTTTACGTATACCATTTACCAGTCCGCACTTTGAGGGTCGCTCAACGGTGGCACAGTTGATCGGGACCACTCAAAATGCCACTAGATGTAGATATGCATATCAGCACCCAATGCATCGCGGCTCTATCAGCTTGGATTCCTGAATGCACTACACGTCTATCTTGCTAAGAATGGGCTATTTAGCGTTGTCCCCATGTTCCTGTGAGTTACCACCGACCATCGTACCGGTTCCTCCAGATTCCTAGAGTCTCCTCCGATGCGTTCTCTAAAAACACTTGCTCCCCGCACATAATCCATCACAGCGCTTACCAGGCTTGGGCAGTCGCCTGCCACCTTCGGTATGAGCATGCTGTGCAGTGTTCTTGTACTGCACTGATTGTTGCATTCGTTGATGGGTCTGGTGTCGCTATTCCTACGTTCACGGTCTAGTCGCGGAACAGTGTCTGGATATCAAGTTGCAGCTCAACTGTTGCGCCTGCGGTCAGAATCAGCAGAATCCTGTCCTCTTCTATCGTTGTTGACAACCTCATAGAATCTGTTGGCGCCTCAACGCTTTGGCATCACCCAGAAGACTTTCATGCCCGCTGACTGGTGTCTGCTCACAAGACAATTCACTTGACGTTTTATGGCACTTTAGAGAGCTTGGAAGGTTATCACTCTGACAATATTATCTACGCTTTACACCTTAGCTAGTTTGATTGACAATGCTACCAGGGTGAAATTGATGATACATTTTCAAAGCTCTAGGATTTCGTATCCAATGAAAAGTCGTCAGACTGGCCCAAAATCAAACTTCCATTGTAATCCCTGCCACCTATTGAATCAGAAGCATGTAAGGAGTTACACCTTTGAAGCTGACGCTGCGGCTAAGCCTAAAACCTCGAATCACTCAAACCACAAGCTTGCCCCTGTTGCAGGTATACGAGCGGCCACCGTCTCTAGCAATGACTTCAAGACGGGTCTGAACATCGTAGTTGATGGCGCGCCATACAGGGTGCAAGGTACGTGCATTCTGCACCAAGCCTACACCTAGACAAAGACCCTGTTCGGTCTCTTAAGATGGGTACATAAGCTGTGGGATAAGGAATGCGTTTTTCGATCTAATGTTGTCCACGATTCCGACAGCCGCTATTTTCAGATGTCACTCTTTGACAAAGCTCTCCGAGATGGAAGCGATGCTTAGGTGCAGATAAGCCCGTTCCAACGAGATGTGATAAAAGCTGCGCGTCGCCGTGACACTCCATCCAATGAAGTCTCGAGTTTCAGAATCGCACAAGCCAGCGCCCTGAAGTATTGCAAGCCCGATCAACGATTGCCCTCTGCCATCCGGCTTCACAGAAAGGACAGATCAACTTCCAAGCGATCGTCACTTTTCTGACGTCACCCTGGAGCTTCTCGCAGAGTTTTTGCACGTCAAGCCTGGCAAGGGCTCCGCGTTTGTGCGCTCCAAGCTCAAGAACTACATCACCAACAACACGGTCGAAAAGACGTTCCGGGCGGGCGAAAGCGTGGAGGCTGCGGAGGTCGACAAGCGGACGAAGCAGTACACGTACAATGACGGGGACCAACTAGTGTTTATGGATATGGTGAGAGCTGAACGTTTCGATGCTCTACAAACTTTTCAGTCTTAGCAATCCCACTCCAGGATGATCCACGTCTTTTCCCAGGCTCTATAAGTGCTCGACACGAGCTCCTTATAGTTTTCGGCTTTTGTGGATTGGTGATCCCCGTGAAACGCCACCGCCAGGAAACGTACGAGGAGCTCTTGTGACTGAGGAGAAGTACAGCCATCTGCAGCGTTCGCGACATCTGTTTCCTCTCGTTAGAAGATATTTTAGTCTCCGTTGTCCTCCACTTCCGCATCCATTCCGTGTCGCCAGGAAACTCATGGGGAGCCTCGTCCTACGAAAGGACACGTAGAGCTATGTACAAAGCTCGCGGTCTTTGATCCCCTTTCCTTTGAAGAGACTCTGTCTCTTTCCGTCCTTGCGCTCATGCCTCCGTTTCTGTGTCGCCAGGAAACGTACGAGGAGATCCGAGTGACGAAGGAGAACGTGGGCGACATGAACAAGTGGCTCAAGGAAGGCTCCGAGTGCGAAGTGGTGATATGGAACGGCCGCGTGCTGGCTGTCGAGTTGCCGTCGTCGGTCGTGCTCAAAGTCACGGACACGGACCCGGGGGTCAGAGGCGACACTGCGCAGGGTGAGCTTGCTTATGTTCTTCTTTCTTATAGTTCCCTTTTTCTTTACTCATTTTTTAGCGAGTTTCCGAACTTACGAGCGCATCAGCTGACACCGCGCAAGGTCAATGGCGCAGTGGCAAATAGCGGCAGTGATGAGAGCGTCCCATCGATTCACGATGAAACTCGTCGAAGTTAGTCGCTTGACGAAAGCAAGATTTCTTCGGCGGGGCAGCAACCTGTGCAGAATCTGCATTGAGCGGACGAGTAACTTCAAAGCTTACGAGAAAGTTTGCGGTTGCGGCAGTGGTCTGCAGGGGGCCACCGGTCATATCGAAACGGGCGGAAGCCAATTGGCTCTTGATGTAAGGGCGAAAAGATTTGGATGCTCATGCCCGCCTGACCTCCACCTCATCTAAACCTAGGTTGTCGAAGTATGGGTTAGGAGCTCTAACCAAACTTAAGTAACGTGAGTCCTCCGTTCCCAACTGGATACTGGGGGCGTCCCCGTAATCACAATGCATAGTCCTGCGCAGAACGGTCGCTCTCTGAAAGCAGGTCGCTGATATTTCACGCTTTCCGGAAACGTCCTTCCGTTCGCTTGGAGCTGGTTAATAATGGAGCACATCCTCCGGCTGCTTTCAGGTGGATCCAAGCCTTGTACGGTGGAGACTGGAGGCACACTTCAGGTTCCGCTCTTTGTAAATATTGGCGACGACATCATTATAGATACAAAAGCAGGTAGTTACATCAGCAGAGCCAAGGATAAGAAGTAAGACCGTCTTCAACTCCTTGGGAGCTAGATTTTGCTGCGAATACATGCCCGCGAATCTCCTTCTTCAGACGAACTAAACTGGGAGGCTGGTTGAGAGACATTGCAGGTTTATGAAGCTTTGAAGAGGTGCTGAAGGATTTTTCTCCGGAGCTGATTATGTTGACCCACCAGGTCCATTGAAACAGAGGTTACACGCATCATCACTTTTCCCCCAAGCGCTTGTTTTCTGTTCTTCGCTTCTTGGATGTAGTAGCCCGTTGAATCACTGATAAGCTAGTGCCTGATGGAATCATGGTTGATTGCGACGGACACGCATGCCTGACTAATGCCGTATGCACCTGGGTGTGCACGCGTTCATTAATACGGAGTGACCATCAAGCAGCCATGGGCCGCAGCTCTTACCAAGCACTTAATCAAGGACAGTTATGTTGCTGGGACCATATACATCATATTTAAAACGAAGGCCAAGTTTTCATAGAGCTGGGCTCTAACACGATTTGATGTAGATTACAAGAAGCGGCTCTAGTGAATGTTGCAAGGTGATCATTGTACTGATGGTCACTCGATAAGTTTGCGCCATAATATGCCAAATCCATGTACGAATCTCTGGAGAACCAAATCAAGATCACTTTTTGAAGTGGAGAACCAGATCAAGGTCACTTTTTGAAGTCGGCACGTAGTCTACTACTCGACTTCTGTCATGACCTGTACCTGAGATGGTGATTGCAAGCTTTGTCCGCTGTATAACATATTCTTGACACATTCTGGACCATCACTGGCCTTCAGAAGGCTTCCATGTGGACCTACTGGCAATAGCATGAACCCAAGAGCTGTGAAGTAGAGCTCTGACTGACACTGTGTACGAGTGCTGATACATTCTGACAGAATTCATTATGGCATGAACTCAGAACTGTGCACAATCCAACAATCCGGCAAACATGCACGTCATGCATGGGGAGCAATCCTTTCGCGTTCCGGATGATTATCTGATGGAGGCAGGGGCGGAAAACTCAACAACGGAACGGGACAACGTCGACGGGCTTGCAAGAACCAGGGCGAGGCCGGGCGCCTGCACGCTGCAGACTGCAGTGCCACTGCAGTACTGTGCACAGGACTCGCCGCTCGGCAACTTGAACTTGAAGTTGAAAGCGCAAATTGAAAGCGCGGAGTTGGCCGCAACAAATAAGAGGCGAGTCCGGCTGGTGCCAGTGGTGGTAGGGACGGTGGCAGTGGGGATCAGTTGGTGGTGCAGAACCGAGGCGTGAAGGCTTTGTGTATCTTCTGTCCGGAAGCAGTGGGTGGTCGCCAATTTGCTGATCTGTCTGTTGGCCAAAGGGAGGGCAACATATGCTTGTTAAATCGTAGCGCACTCTCTGAAATCAAGAGGGCGGAATGCGTGAGAGTGCTTTGAGGTATCAAAAACTCAACATTACTCCTCAAGGATTTGAGGATTTGAGTTCCTGTCTTCCGCTTGCGGTCTGCTCCACATCCTGTTACAAGTAGACAGAGGTGGTACTTAATGAGTCAGCACTCAGGGATCCCTCCGCTTGCGGCCATGGATTGGAGGAGGAACAGCGGGTTGGGAAACCTCCGAGTCCTGACAGATGACATCATCTGCCGCATACTGGGCGGGCTACACATGCAAGAGGTGGAAAGGCTGGCGTGTGTGAGCAGGTGAATTGGCGCTTCCTTTACAATCTGTTGAGAAGCACTCCCAGACTTTATGTATGCTATGGCATTTGCTAGGGCAAATCCTGTTGTCTGCAGAGGACTTGAGCTCCCATTTGCGACTCTTGGCAAAACTGGACTAGATTCTGAGACCTGTTGGTGTAAGGAGCTTTGTCAACCAGGCTTTTAAAAATCTGCACCTAAGAGGAGCCGTTGTGTTGGCGTTTGAAGACTCACAAATGGTTTGTCTACATGTGCCACAGGAGAGATGCTGATGCACTTGTCATTCTGAAAAACCATCGCCTGATAAGTTTGTCGCTTTTAAGATTTTGGCGCATGCTTCAGCTTCTATCTTGTCATCACTTCCAGTCACCTTCAATTGGTCCGCAATGTCAAAGTCCAGCTGGCTTCATGTAAAATTCACTGAAGCATTTGGGGCCACCGCAGGGGCAGAAGCATCCTTGCTGACTCTTGTATGTGCGCTTTCGCCAGTGTGTTTTACATATTCTGCAACGACGAGCCTCTGTGGATGCGGTTGTGCCTGGGCACTCCCTCTGACAAGCCGATGGTGTACCATGGGACTTGGAAGCAGACTGCGCTCGCAAGGTGCGCCAATTTTTCCGAGAGTTGCAGACTTCACCCCCCAAGAGAATTCCCAGTCGCAGCTTAATCGTCACACATCTAGAAAGCGCAGTAAACTCACACAGGATGTTGGTTTTTGATTGTACTCTCTCTCTGGGTTTGAACTTGACTTCCGAGGTCCGCAGGTTTGTATCCTTCGGCGAGGTTCAGCTAGAACCCAATGTATCCAAGTGCCCCACTCAAGGCTACCGGCAAGACGACAGCAAACCTGCCTCGTACTCCTTGTTTGAACCACTCAAACATATGGAAGACATTCACAGGACTGCCGCCTTCCACTCTGTGACCAGGCATCGTCGCCTCTTCTCCAGCAAATATGAGGCGGAATTGTCAGCTTTGTGTGCATAGCCATATTTTAGGGACAGCTTTTGAACCGGAGGCGGAACAATTTGTCATCTGACGGCCAGGCTAAGAACGCTCGGTGCCTTGATACTTGCAGGCGAGCCGAGGAGATGAAGATTGCACTGCCAAGCCCACACCCTCTGCGAAGGTTCGAAGGTGAGGGCGTCTTGTCTCAGAGCAGCCGGACCCTGTGTCTTATCTTGGTCACCACTTTCGAACAAAAGTCGACTAGCCGTTCTCAATTGAGTTTGACTGCTTACGAGGTGAGCATGTTGCAACTGCAAATATGGATTGGAATTTGGGCGTAGTTTCAAGGAATTTGCTGCGTCATATTTTGATAATATGACGGACAGAGTATGCAACTTATAGCTTAGAAGGGACAGCCAGGTTGGATCAGTGGGGCCAAATTGCTTCCCAGAATCCACTCTTTCTGGCGGTCTGCTGCAAGTCCCACTCCTCTATCACGAATAGAAATTGTCATTAGAGTGACAAATACCTACATTCGACAACACGAAGAACCTCGTTCAACACTCATGTCGATTGCCACCAATTTCTCAAAGGAATTCTGGGTTCCATTTGTTGAGGATATTGAGCGTCCTTTGCCTCAACCAGAGTGTTCAGTGTTTTAGAGCAGAACAAACCCAATTCCCTCCAGGGTTTTCCTCGCTGCACCTGTACCGCCAGTGGTACCGCTGCCACATCGACCTGCACACCTTCTCCTTTGACACCGGCCACGTCGAGCGACGGGGCAACATCTCGCAACAGGAGTTTGCTGCGGAGTTTGACGGAAAGAAGCCGGTTCTTCTGACGGACATTGTGGGGCGTTGGCCAGCCAGCCAGGAGTGGACCCTGCCTAAGTTGGTGGACCGATTCGGGGACGCCAAGTTCAAAGTCTCGCAAGCGCACGGGAAAGCGGTGAGGATGTGTTCTTGTTATTTGTCAGCACGTGTCCAGGCTGTGAAGCTTTCTTCTGATCTGTTGGGTATTAGAGGCGCACAGGAACCAAGCCTTTGCTAAGGTGAAGTGAGAGAACAAATCTTGTGACCTTCTCGTCTTGGTATTGCAATTGATCCGTGATATTCCGGTCTGCGAATAAAGTTAAGATAAGAGCAGCCTTTGTCGTTGCTAGCCTCTCAGTGCGGACTTCTGTGACTACTATCACTGCCTTTCCAATCAGGAGTGTTCTTCTCTACCTCGACGTTCCAAGTCACGTCTGACGTTGATTGTTTTCAAATTTCGGTTCCTCGATTTGCAGGCTCGTGAGATTGAAATTCATCAGGGGATCATGCCCTAGAACCGAAAGCTTCAAGGCTGTTTGAAAGCTAGTACTCTTTTAATGGTGGACGGACGTACCGACTGGGCCAACGAAACGACTTCTGGTGAACGCCACAGGCAGTTTCGAAGTGCCAGAAATTCAACAAGGTCGGAAACGCAAGCTTGAGAATACCGGTATGCTTGATCTTCGGATCAATGTCACGACTTTGAGGCCTTCAAGCCAGCAACCGGAGCCTTTTAATGGCGTTTCTGACCCAGCTTCGAAAACTCCGCAGGTCAAGATGACGCTGCGCGACTACGCAGCTTACACACGCGTCCAGCATGACGAAGAACCCCTGTACATTTTCGACCCCACATACGGCGAGACGGCCCCCCCCCTCCTGAGCGACTACTCCGTTCCCCCCCTTTTCGGGGACGATTTTCTAGAGCTTCTCGAGGGGGAGTTGAAGCCCCCCTTCCGGTGGCTGGTTCTGGGACCCCCCCGGTCCGGGGCGGCCTGGCACGTGGACCCAAATCTGACGAGCGCCTGGAACGCGCTTGTGAGGGGGAAGAAACGCTGGGCGTTGTACCCCCCCGGAAGAGTGCCGCCTGGCGTGACGCTCAGGGTGAGTTGATGCGGGACTCAAAATCCATTCATGCACAGATATCAAGTAACTGGCCAAGCATTGCGTGTAAGAGGGTCTTCGAGGAGCTTCACTAAACCATACCAGTTTTGTTGAGTCGCTGGTCTGCGCAGTCCTTGTGCGCATTCAAATGCGAATCAAGAACACGTGACTTTGAATACATTGGGCCTCAAGCTCATGGTTACTTTCGTCATCCTTTACGCCTTCCCTCGGTGAGCACGAAAGCTTGCAATAAATTCGTCAGAATCCTCTAATGTGGCCACATAGACGAAAGCTTCGGCCAAACGACAGTTCCTAAAAATGGGTTTTCTCTCATCATTCTATTTTGGTTCTCACCCTTCTTTGGCAGGTGAGCGAAGACGACGGCGATCTATCTTTCGACGGCCCCCCCAGTTTGCAGTGGTGGCTGGACGTATATCCCCACATACCCCCGGATGAGCGGCCCCTCGAGTGCACACAGCTCCCTGGAGAAACCATATTCGTTCCGGGGGGGTGGTGGCACTGCGTGCTCAACATCGAGAACTCGATCGCGGTTACGCACAACTTCCTGAACGAGGCCAACTTCGAGACGGTGATTCCCGAGACTCGATTTAAGGAGTGCTCAGTCGAGAAATTGTCGTGTGCAAGGGCCGCTTCAACAAGAAGGGTAGATCCTGTTATCTTTTTCCCAGCTGGACGGCTCGGGAAACTGACAGAAGAAGGAAGTACTGGGTGCCAAAAATAGGGTACGGGATTAGCAAACACAAGCCTTTGAAAGCGAGGGAATCACCCAAACCCATTAGCAGGCAGCTAGCCTATGGTGAAAGCTTGGTTTGAAAGTTTCTGCCAAGGCGAAGTTTGGGATCGTAACTCTTCAGCTTGGCTGCCAGGCAGCGTGTCAGATCGTCTTGATTGCGGTTGCTCTGAAAGTAAAGGCTTAATTTGAGTTCAGGTTTACCAGTTGACAATAAACTGGCTTCTTTGCAGGTCTTCTCTGATTTGGCCCCGGGTTTCGCCCACAGGGGCCTGTCCCGGGCCGGCCGCCTCGCCCAAAACCGCTCGGTTGATGCATCCCCCGAGCACTCGTCCCCCGCCGACATTGCCTGGTCACACTTCACCGACCTAACAGATGACTACGTCAACCGGCCGGCCCTTCGAGAGCTTCTCCGGAAGATGTGGGCGGCTCGCCCTGACCTGCGAAGTCGGATCTGGGACTGCGCCTGCAAAACCGTCGGCGCAGAGCACTGGCGGCAAGTGCTGGCGCTTGTGTGTGCGGCGCACGAGAAGCCCTCCCCCAGCAGAGGGGAGAGCCTCCCAGTGAGTGGGGGGAGGAATGCGGTGTTCCGGGTTGGGGGGAGGGTGGTCAAGGTGTTTTTGGGGGGCGGTTTGGAAGAAGATGAGGCGGGGGTGGTTCCTGAGGTGAGTGCGGGACATGGGGACGATGGGAAGATCGAGCACGGAAATGGGCAGTGTTTGCAAAACGGTAGAGCATTGTCAAATGGCGCGGGCGATGTGCAAAGCAGGAGGGATCACACTTGCCAAGCGCGGGATGCAGAAGACGAGGACGAGGAGAACGGGGGAAGGGAGCAGGAGAGAATGTTCCGGACCGAGTTGATGATGCACGAACTCATTCGGACGGCCAAAAGCCCGCTGGTGCGGACGGTGCCCGCCCTTTTGGGTCACGGGGTAATAATCGAAGGAGAGGACGGGAGCCTGGCGCTGGAAGACATGAAATCCGGCGGAAAGAGTGCGACGGAACCGGGCCATGCGAACGGAAAGGTTGTCAAGGTGGGACTACGGGGGCCGGCTGGGGGGTGTTTGGAGGATGGAGCAGGAATAGGAAACGGCGCAAACAGGGTGGAAGGAAAAACTAGAACGAGTGGAAAAGGCAGGGCGGGGGAAGTGGTTGAGGAACGGAATGTCAACGGAACGGTGGAGGAGCCGTCCGGAACGGCTGACGTGAAGAGGAGGTGGATGTACGTCATTATGGCGGAGTGCGAAGGGACGCTATTCAGTGACGTGTAAGCACCTCTGACAGTTGATCTGAACAGACTGTGTCGCATCCATCCTTCGAGTAAACTCGAATCTCAGAAGACGTTTTTGGTTCTGCTGGAGGTGTCTCAACGTCCTTTCTAGCACCGCTCCCCGGATCAGGCATATCGAGCAGGGTTGAGCTTAAGGCTTACCCCTTTGCGCCGAAGGAAACAAAATTTGGTGAACAGCTTCAATTACCGGTGGAGTTCGCCGATGAAGGATTATTATTGATTGTTCCCGTCTTCAAATGTTGCTTGTCTGCTTGCTATCTCTTGCGGTGAGTCGAGCCTCTCCTGACGCCGTCGTATCGAAGGCTAAAGTCTCCCGAACCTGCGTTCGTGACCCCTTTTGAGTGTTGTATGCTGTGATTGAGCGTGAGCAATCTCTGTGACGTGTCCATGTAAAATCAAGTGGTCATCACCACCTATGCATCTTCAGAGCCACCGACGCCAGTCATTCCGCCGGAAGTGATCGTTTGCTTCTGCTCTACTTTGGATGTTCTTAGTAAGTCCTGGACTCTTGCTTTGTTCCCTGATATCGGACGAGTAAAAGAACCGTTTGTCCGTCTCTGAGCTGGCTAGTAACCGGACAAGTGAAGGTGCCGTTTGTCGACCCGCTCTAGTTGGCCAGATTTTGTCGCTCATCTCGCCCCGTTGCCGATCTGTTGCAGATACGACAAGATGTCGAAAGGCGACCTTCTCGCGCTCGCCCGTTTCTTGGGCCGACAAGTCGGCTTCATTCAAGCCCTCCCGCTTCCGCCAGACTGCGCAAATGACGCCCACGAACCGGACCGTCAAGCCGGGCAGCCTCCACAAAAGCGCCGGAAAGTTTTCTCTGCCGCCGAGCCCAGTTTGAAAAACAGCCATCAAGCTCCGGGCGAGGCCACTAAGTCAGACGGGCTCCTCGGAGAAGCGCATGCACGGTCGGCAGTGACGTCAGCACCCCAGGCTCAAAATATGGTCGTCGGGAACTGCGCTTTGAGATCGCAGCAGGGCAACGGCACAAGTTCAAATGGTGTGCATTCGGAGCCCCACGGATCGAATGGGGCATCGGCAAGCACGATTTCGAAGACCAGCAGTGCGCGTCCCCTAGAGACTGAAGTTCCCCTTGGAGCTGACTCTCACCCCGGAACCAATTCACATATCGAAGCGGTTGCCATCCCGGGAAACAAACCGAACCCGGGCGCCAATTTACACCTAGAAGACGAGTCAACCACGGGGACCGAATCACGCGGGGGGGTGGACTTGCCCTCGCTTGAGGCGCTGGGCGTCCCCCCCCGGTGGCGTCCTTTTGCCGCGTTTCTCCGGGCGCAGCGCAAGGATCTGCCGGACCGGCTGAAGGACTTCGGGCTCCCCGACCGGTTGCTGACGTCAGCGGAGGGGTACGTACCGGAGGACCCGGTGGAGCTGCTCGAGTTCGACGGGGGGGACCCGGTGTGGCTGCACACGGACCTGCTGGTGGATAATATTCTGATGTCTAAGAGGAGGGGGGCCGAAAATGAGGGAACGGAGGAGGGTGGAGAAGTTAATCCAGCGAACGGGGGTTTTAAGGTGGCAGAAGGGGAAGCGAAGAGGTGTGACGACGAGGAGAAAGGTGTTGGTGGGCAACGTTTGAATGGAGAGGTATGTCGAAGCCCGGTGGAAAAGGAGGTGGGTGAGGGGGTGGTTCGGGAAAAGAGGGAAACAAAGGACACTGGCGGTCGGTATGAGGCGGTGCATATTCTAGACTTCGCAGATGCGCGAACGGGTGAGCCCAGCTCCTCAAATTGGCGTTTCTTGGCCGCCATTTCTGATCGTGTTTGGGCATTGCCGTTGCCTATTTGGATCCTGCATGACATCCCTAGCGACTGCAAGCGGATTCGTTCACCATCTTAAGGTTGGTCCGATCTGAGCACCATGATTTTAAAAGTCTCCCAAACGGAAAGGCGCTAACCTCCCAAGGGAGGTTAGCGCCTGCCAATCTGCACGTCTCGATTCTAAAGCAACGAGCCAAAATCTGTTGTAGCCTTCTTGCTAAGACGTGTATAAAACCTCTGCCCGACTTCAAAACCCTGAATCTCCAGAGCAAGTTGTGTTCCGGCCGTGACGACTTATGTCGCATTTGACAAACCATAATGCTGTCCCGTTCCCCGTCCGTTGGTGATTCATAATTAGCGAGCTGCAACACTTGCAAATCAGCGAACCACGTGGCAGTCAATCATTTGACGACTCTTTTCGATTGCAGGGGACCCCCTGTACGAGATTGCATCGCTGCACATTGGAACTTTCCGGGGGAGCCCCGAGCTGCTGTCAGCATTCCTTGGCGCTTCCCAACCCTCCACGAATTCCGGAGATAAGCGCTTGTCCCCAGATGGCTCCCCTCCGAGCGGCGCTGCGCAGAAGTCCCCCCAACACGCACGCTCGTTCCGCGCCATGTAAGTGTCCTCTTCTGACAAACGGTTCGAATTGAATGGCGCGTTTAGCTGTCTTCCTCACGATAAGCTGCTGGTCCAGAACGTGCTTCTTCGCAGCTTCAAAGTAGCTTTGTAGAGTCATCAAAGGCTTGAGGTGAACGTGTGGTCATACTTCACACCAGCTTTTATCGCCGTGTCCTCAGTGTCGCTCTGACGCAAGCTCACGTTAAGTTGCACGCGACCTCCTTCACTACAGGTGTTTCGCCGTGCTTCACGAGATAAATTTGCTCAACCTGCTGTCTCGCCACCGCCATGTGGCGCTATCGGAGTCGCTTACATGGGAACAGATGAGCAGTATGTTGTTCGGGGTGTTAGACAAGAACTGATGAGATGGCTCGAAATGAGCTGTTTTTTTTGGGAGGCTGTCCCTGGAGAACAGGTTGCGCTTTTCTCCTGCATAAAAGAGGGAGTTCTTTGAGTGCGATGAAACCCGTTGGCTGCAGATTTAAGTGGACTTTATGCTCGAAGGCACCCGCAGCCGAGTTGCTTATGATATGAGCGGGTACATCATTTGGCGTCGAAGTTTAGGCTTCTCTGTGGATCTTGAATGACATCTTGCCCATGGCGCCAAAGTGGCACTTTACCGGAGACGTGCTGTGGCTGACGTTTCTGCGAGACATGTGCGTTCGTAGAGCTTGCGGCGATTTAATCAGGGCACTATAGGACGTATGCTGCAACAGCCTCTGAGATCCATCATCATCAATTTCAGTGGATGTTTGCTTCTTAGCAGTATACCGCTATGAGGTCGCTGTACCGCCATGGCCAAAGTCACCACGACACGGTTCAGATTCACAATGAACTTGACTGCCAGCAGCAGCCATCCCTCTAGCCTGTAGCTAGAATGACTCCGGGGGCCGCTCGAGACATCCATGGCATTGGATCCAGGCCCGTTCAACTGGACCGCCGGTCCAAAGAAAATTTTCTACCATTTGCAATTCGCATCATTGATGCTCGCCGGAGTCGGTTGTCCCATGTTCCACGTGCACCATGTGCCATTTTGCCCAGGGCTTCTAGATCGTTCGATGTGATGCTACGTGGACATCTAAGGGCGCTTGTCAAAAGCGGACGAGATATCCAGATTCCAAAGCCGCCATCTGCGCCGTTACGGCTCACTCACACGTACCACGTCATCGCCGAAGAAGATATCCAACGCGGCAGCCAATCTCGTGGTCTAGCAGTTACTCTGGCGGCAGTTGAATCTCAGAATCTGGTACTGTGGCTGGTGCACACTGCACGCAGCACTCGAGATCCGATTCGAGGCCCTCGGAGAGTTGGTTCAAACCCAGACAGCGATCCCGAAGACCGGTCGTGAGACCCAGAACCAGTAAACCCCCTCCTGTGCATCCTTGCCCAAGTATTAAACTATCTAACCCCCTTGGTAACTCTTTACCTGTAACCCCCGCAACGGGGGCAGGGGCGGCGGGCCCCTGTTCCGAGTCAGACAGTTACCACTTAACCAGCAGGCCCTAAAACAGTCTTTCAGTTCACTGCCCGGCCGTACGGTACATCTTGCACTTGGTACAAGGTGAGTTAGGTACCTACTGGGTGCACACTGCACTGCTCGTGATTGCTCCGATTTGCACTCAATCTCTGACCGCATTCAGCAGATCAGGCGTTCGTCTTCTTCCTGTTCAGTTCACTGTTGACAGGAAGGTGGTGAATGCAGGCATCACCAGGTTCCTCCCCTTCTGCTGGACCAACGCATAAACTACCTACTCATGAGATTGCCCTGTTGTACTGCCCTTGGAGATACGCAACTGCCAACCGTCTCCACCGGTGAGCTTCCAAGCTTCCATGCTTTGTCAGCACCGTTTTATTCGTTCGGTTCGCTTTGTGGTTAATCTCGGTGTGGAGAAGAGCTTTGACTCCAGTTATCTCCTTGAAGAGCCAGTTCAGTTCCACTTTCTTTGATCTGCTTGTCAATTGGTCTCGAGCTGGAAAAAGGCCGACTGCAGTTAGCAGAGAAGGAAGCTTACCCGAGCTTTCGAGGAGGGAACGCCACCTTCACGGCTCCAGCTTGAAGTTTCCAGAGGCACTTGGTCCTGGACTATAAAGGAGGCCTCTGCAGAAACTTTTATACTTTTCTCAAAGTTGCAAAGAGTGGCATACGAAACTTCCTGCAACGGGCGCACATCGACCCCTCCAAAAGTGTTGGTGAGTGCAAATCTGCAATATTGGTTTTCGCGAATGGCATTGCTGCTTCTATTGCGATAGTTTACTACTCCGGTAGGTGTTTCTGCTTATGGTGGTGAGGGTTTGACAGAATGCTGACTCATGTAGAGTTGAGCCGATGTTTTGTTGTTTTTGCTCAGGAGCTAAGTTATGCAGCTTTAGCGAGGCCCTTTCACAAAAGTTAGGTTTTTGAAAATGTGAAGGATCATTTGTGAAAGATTGATAGAACCAGTCAGACTTTTGGATGCTCAATAATCCTCTGCAAGCAAAAAGAAGCGTCTTAATCAAGCACTGTCAAGGGGTTTTCTCTTCTTCATCAAGACCAGCATGATCGATGTCACCCTGAGGCTTCTTAAAGCATGCTGTTCGTATATGTCATAGGACCGCTTGTTTCTTTGGTACAGAGTCCCGGTGGCCCCCAGAAACAAGAGGCACAGGCGGTTGGTGCTGCTGAGTCGGCACCCGCAATGATCAGCACCACCTTCTGATGGCCCTGAGGACGGAAGTGTCAAGGCGTCATCTCGGTCCTCTTATTAGAAGACCCCTCATGACCACCAAGGGCCTAACATCCTGTCCTGCAGTTTCTGCAGCTGGAATCCATTTCCAGGGCTCCCAAGGCCTCAGTTCAGGGACATTCACAGCAAAGAGCCTTTTCCCTAGCTTAGGTAGAAGGTTTACTAGCTCTTTTGCTGACCGACACCTCCACCATTCGCAGAGGCTCCTGAGGTCCCCTCTGGTGAAGCCCGCGGTTGCCGCAGCGCGAACCCTCTCCAGGTTTTCAAACCCCGTTCGGAGCCCTCTCCAAGTTGTGCCTGCGCCCTCTCTGCAATCCCCTGCCTGGAAACCCTCCATTAACCCTGCCTTTAAGTGGCCCCGCCTTCCTGTAGCCAAGGCGGTGTTGAACCCTCCAGCCCTCGATCAAGAACAGGTTGAGTTAGAGAAGCTCCTTAAACCAGCCACCATGGTTGTCCCTCCATCCATTGAGCTGTCCACCGAGCGCGAGCTGGTTGCTCGAGTCGGAGGAGCTCAGCAGACGCTGCTCAAGAACGTCCCTTCGAAGGTTACGGTCAGAGCGGACGGTGGCAGTCACGGTGTCCCTGGTGCTTTCATTGGAGCATTTACAGATAGCCCAAGCAGCCGGCACAAGCTCCCAATTGGGAAGCTCGTAGGGTGAGTTGCTTCTCTTTTGGCTGGTTCCCAGCAGATTATGGCGCATCCATCATAGTGTCTTCTGCAGGTTCCCTGATATAACGAGATTTTTAGATTTCAAAATTATGTGCAACTTGATAGAAGTCATTCCAGGTCCTAGGATTATGATGCCTCTGAGCTTTCCAACGCTGCTCAGCTTTCCTCGTTTCGATAGTTGTCAATGAGAGGCAGCAGCTACTGAAAGTTTCCCTACGCATACCCTTTATTTGCAGCGGAGCAAAGGACTGTGCATGCTACAGGACACTCGGGCGCGTAAGGCATAGAGAATGAGTTTGCAACAAGAGTCAGGCTTGTCAGACCATCCAGCGAACGTCTGATGTCATGCTTTTATTCTGTGCAGCAACTGCAAATTCAACGCCTGCTTCCGCTTCAAGCTGTGGTGGATGTCGCAGTGCATGGGTACGACCGCCTCTGAGATCCCAACGGAGACTCAGTTCCTGTTGGTCCAAACGCCGGGCGATGCAGGCAGCGATGCCCCTGCTTCGAAAGAAACCGTGTACACTGTTTTCCTGCCTGTCCTGGAAGGCGCCTTCCGAGCGTCGCTGGCAGGGAGCCCCTCGGAAGAGCTCAACCTCATTGTGGAGAGTGGTAAGCAAATTTGAGATTTTAGCTTGGTTTATAATAGTGAGGGACCAGAAACCTGGATGTGAGCCGATTGAGTTCTCCTCTAGAGCATCGCGTAGGATGGAGGGCTCGAAATTTGACTAGCAGGGGTCGGCAGTGCTCCTCAAACTTTGAACTGGCAGTGCTTCTAAGAGGCGAGGAGATTGCTTGTTGACCTGATGTAAAGCTTCCTCTGGTTATTACATCATGCGACTCACTGAGGGGTGAAAACTAAGTGGAGGATTGATTGTGATGGCTGACATAGAAACTGGTCTTGCAGGCGATGCGGCTGTACAAACAGACATGGTTTCCAGCGCAGTCTATGTGCACTCTGGGAGCGACCCGTTCGCCGTCATCTCTGATGCAATCAGGTACGTTGAGACCATGCGCGCAGTTTACCTTCTTGGCAGACTTTCTGGATTGAGGATGAAGCTTATCTAGATCCATGACAAAGTGTCTCTTCCACTTTCTCTTTATTGTAGAGGTCGAGTGATTTGCACTGCAATAGGCCCGACTATTCTGGCAGCAAACGGTTTTCTGGTCATGCCCGGAGTAGTCGCCTAAAACGCGGCCTGCACTTTTGGGGAGCATACGTTTGCAAGGGCTTTCTCGTTGACTGTTTTTGAACCTCTCAAGGCTTTGAAGTTTGACGGCAGGGCCAAACGGACTCATACTCATTCTCCCGATGTCGCAGAGCTGTTGAGGAGTCAACTTCAACATTCAAGCGGAGAGAAAAGAAATTGGTAAGTCCATGACATGTATACGAGCCCTTCCTCCTTGACATGAAGCAGCACGATGCTTTACATGACGTACTCTTAGTATTGACTTCCATCCCTATAGCACCTCTACAAAGGAAAAGTGTGACGGGCGAGAAGCGGGCTTTCTATCCCGTGTGAAAAGTTTGCTTAACCCCACTCTCCTCCGCTATGCAGATGCCGAAGTGCATGGATTACTTCGGCTGGTGCACCTGGGATGCTTTCTGTAAGTAACTTCCGCACCGTTTCGGTGCTCTAGACTCCTTTGGGTCGAGAGCTTGCACTCCGCTTGTTTATGAAGAAACCATACCATACTAGCCTTATGTTTTAAGCACACATTCTGTGAAAAACAAGCAATTGAAGCACATTTTTTTGCGGATGTGGTGTTTTTGAGATAGTGAAAGCTTTGCCTGATTTTTCGTGTCTCGTCTGTTTGCAGACACCAAGGTGACGGCCGAGAGCCTGTCAGAAGGTTTGAAGAGGTGAGCACCCGCTTCAACCTGCGAAGCCCAACCCGCTCGCTCTTACTCAAACGTCTCATTACCCATTGCCTGATCACTAATGTCTTGTCCAGATCTAGCAAAAGCCCTTTGCTAAGTGACCTTCTGCTCGGGTCCAAAGCCTGCTCCCCTGTGGCCAATCGTACTAGCTACTTGTGCTCATGTTACGGAGAATGCAAAGAACGCCCTGTGCTCCTGCGAGTTTGAGCAAATCTCTGCGCTTCTCCGTGCAGTTTGGCAGCTGGGGGCACTCCCGCCCGTTTCCTGATCGTCGACGACGGGTGGCAATCCACCGCTGCTGACGCGCCGAGGGAGGGGGAGCCCACCACACAGCTCATCACAGAGGGGACCCAGTAAGTTTCCGCCCGTTTCGACGAGTTTGCTTGATCACTTTAGTCGTGACGCTTGGGTGGTAGCCTCCCTTCTGTTGTGCTGTTTGCAGGCCTGCCTACCTCAGCATGTTAGTTTGCGGTGTCGTCCCCATGAATCAGTGGTGAGCCGGACTTGGTCATTACTGCTGCGAAGTGGGTCGTTGGCAAAGAAAGGTCTATTTGCGTTAGTAATCCGACGCTCTGCGATTTCCTAGCTCGAAACCTGGCGCAAGCACTTTCGTTCAGTATACTCTCAACCATTTTGGAAGAGGCAGCGCACGTCTTCCCAAGCAACGCTCGCACGTTCATCCCCACCAGCTCCGTCTACCTTTCAAACTTAGTTTCGAGTGTCGCAAATCGCATCTAACAATCGTGAAGCTTAAACTCTGCTTCTACCTGCGTCAGGTTCGCGAGCCGGCTGACCTCGATCAAGGAGAACCACAAGTTCAACAAGGTCGTCCCCGTCACCGACGCGACCGAGCCCAAGAGCGAACTGGAGCGGCTCTGGACCCTCGCGGACATCGTCAAGGACGTGAAGTCGCAGCACGACCTCAATTACGTCTACGTCTGGCATGCGCTCGCAGGGTGAGTCCTCTACTCTTTCAAGGCTTGTTATTCAGAAAGCGGCAGATTGTTGTGTTCCGTCCCCCGTGAGTGAATTGGGCTTTCAGATGAGTCCCTTTGCAGACAATCAGGTGCTGGGAAAATGTGACTCGAAGGATGCTCAGTAGCCATGCATCGCAATTCTTCTGAAATCTGCTCTGAAATAGGTATTGTCTAGGCTTGGACAAGGCGGTCAAAACCATACCTTCTTCTTCGACCTCTCCTTCCTAGGTTTTTACTGGGAGAGTTCAGAACGTAGCTTCCAGTTACCTTTTCGCAAGCTACGCTTACAATCACCTGGCGGCTAAGCGTCAAGGGGCTAATTTTCTTGACGCACTATCGTTTCCAACTATGCAGGTACTGGGGAGGTGTCCGTCCGAATCATGATGGCCTGGAACATTACGAGGCTGCTATCAGGTAATCATCTCTTTCCTTCTCTTTGCATTCTCGGAGGATTCCTCCGCCCGATTGATCCTCATTTGTTGATGGTCTTACTGAGCTTTTGAAAGTGATTTCCGACCGGAATTGATGAGTTGCGGGCTGCAGAAGACCATTCTTTGAACGAGGCAACTGGCTGAACTCTCCTGTTCCCTGACCTCTTGCGCAGGTACCCGACCATCTCCCCCGGTGTCCTGGAGAACCAGCCGTGCATGGCCCTCGACAGCCTGGCGCTCCACGGCATCGGGCTTGTCCACCCCGAGAAGGCCTTCAACTTCTTCGACGAGGTGAGCTGCTTCACTGCTTTCAGGCGACGATTTTGCAGTCTTCTCCCCCTCACGTTTTCATACAAATCAAAACGTTTTAATGAGAGCAGGGGTGTCTGGCAGGGATTGTCTTCCGACGTCACTCAACGCGCCTTGCAACAGGAGATTGTCAGCAAACTGACAGTCTGTTGCAGCTTATTGTGCAAATCTGACCTTTGATACCGGTTCAATCACGATCGAAAGTGCCGTCTTTCGGATATCCGAGCCTTCTCGTCACTGAACCCCTTTACACCTTTCGCAGCTGCACGAGTACTTGGCCTCTGCGGGCGTGGACGGAGTCAAGGTCGACGTGCAGAGCATTCTGGAGGCGCTGGGCGAGGGCCTGGGCGGGCGGGTGGCGCTCGCGCGCATGTACCATGGTGCGCTGGAGGCGAGCGTCAAGAAGAACTTTCCGGACAACGGCTGCATCTCGTGCATGAGCCACTCCTCGGACGGCATCTACAGGTCAGCGCCAGACTGCGACGAGAGCCGCGTTACCTTACGAAGATGCGCAAGTATCTCGCTTCGATATCTACTCCAAGAAGAACACAGGCTTTTTACAGAAGGATCTTACAAGTTGCGTGTGCAGATTATAAGCAGGGTCACTAATGTCGGGTCAAAAAAATCGTGCTTCCGCTGCGCCGTGAGTACACTCTGAGCCTTTTGGAAACCGTCGTTTATATATTTTTGGTTTAAAGGGTCAGTCACTAACAATGTCGGACGTTTCTTTGTTGCAGCTCCAAGCAGACTGCCATCGTGCGCGCCTCCGACGACTTCTGGCCCCGCGACCCTGCGTCCCACACCATTCACATTGCCTCGGTAAGAGTTCTGTTCCGTTTCCGCAAGCCATTTTGAATGGAAGGAGAAAGCCTCTACGTGCATGAAAACGCAGGCTTTCAGGCCGTTCAATGTTCGACATGTTTGTTGCATTTGCCGAGACAAAGAACTTGTGTCAATCTGTGTGCCTAGGCCACTCTGGATTCGTTGCAAGTTGATCAGCTCTTGAGCGTTTAGTTCCAGGAGGTTGTGCGTACCGGTGTTTGCCTTGAACCCATTGAATTCACTTCTCCTTGCTGCTCCTTCTCGTTTTCGTCCTGACACAGGTTGCGTACAACTCTCTCTTCCTTGGCGAGTTTGCTCAGCCCGACTGGGACATGTTCCAGGTAGTGACCTACCCTTGTTGATGATTTCACCCTCAAATCTGCACAAGGTGCCTGCTTTCTGAACGTCCCCTTCTATTTGTCTATATCGTGGTCTTGCTTCCTCTCAAGTGTGTTATTGTGCCCAGGTACACTTCTGTGGACATTGCGTTTGTTCCATCACTCACCCTGAGCATGTCACGTGCGCCGTTTTTTCGATCCCTGCACTTGATGCTGTGCCTTCGTCAACCCGAGTTATCTTCCTGACACGTGCCCTCTTTGCTTCTCAGAGCCTTCATACCGCGGGTGCCTACCACGCTGCTGCACGCGCTATCGGCGGATGCGGAGTTTACGTCAGGTAGGTCTACCAACCCTTTTTGAAATTCACAATTTCATTCTCCGCTACCATATGTTCTTCCGCATTTGGCGACTTTTGTTGTGAACTTAGAAAACTTCGGATCTGAAAGTGAGGATGACACCTGCTGGGATGCTTTTCCCGCTGAAGCACTTTGTGGGGGCGGGTCTTCATCCACGGCACTCTTTCGCGACTGCAACTCAAGTTGCAGCTTCCCCGCTTTCTACTCGGTAATGTGGGCGCTTTTTATTTAGGAAAGAAGAGGAGAAAACCACTTTCGAAGAATTACCAAGTGGGGGCCGGCCGCTTCCTAATATTCAGGCCGTTGCTTCTCCGCAGTGACAAGCCGGGCCAGCACGACTTCGAGCTCCTGCGCAAGCTGGTCCTGCCGGACGGCCGTACGCTGCGTGCCCAGCTGCCCGGACGTCCGACCCGCGACTGCCTCTTCAACGACCCCGCTAGAGACGGCGTCAGGTATGGGACTACTTCTCTCACTCCCTTCGCATCAAACCTACTGGCTCGCCTGCCGCTGATACTCGGCAATCTTGCGCTTCGTTAAGTCGCAAACAGCCTATTGGGCTTTACCGAAGAGGCTGTGGACGTGCGGAACTGTGGCTGGGCTGTCTGGAGGTATTTTCCTTGGTCGAAGGCTCCTCGCATGATGATTGTCTCTTAAAAGTGTCGGTACGTTAGCGATTAGGGGGAACGCAACGCTTCATTCTTCGAAAGTTCCGAGGTGGCCTTGCGGCTAGTGCGTTGCTGACTGCATCTCTCTCCATCCTGCAGCATGCTCAAGATCTGGAACAAGAACCTGTACAGCGGCGTCATTGGGGCCTTCAACTGCCAGGTACGTTTGTTCTTCTGCTTCACTCTCGAACGCGCAAAAGCGTCACAACTTGTGGTGCCGTCGCGACTTCGATGTTGCTGCTCTTTCCACTTTCGATTGTGGCGACTGGAGCATTTGTCTACGGGCTTCTCAGTCGCCGAAAGAGGACGAACCGTCTCGTGGAACGGCGTCTCAATTTCGGCGAACCTTCTTTGCAGGGCGCGGCCTGGTGCAAGGACAAGAAGCACAACCGGATTCACGACGAGGCCCCCCAGGCCGTGACGAGCACTGTGCGCCCGACTGACGTGGAAGGCCTGGCGGAGCTGGCCGGAGACACGTGGACCGGTGACGTGGCAGTCTACAAGCACCAAGGAGGTGGGTGCAAAGAGTCCCATTTTACACCCGCAATTGCTATTTGTGAGCTGTTTGTCAATCCAGCTGTTGCCTGAGAAAAGGTACTCAAAGAGCGGTGCGAGTATTTTGAAGGAAATCAGTCTTCTGGATGTCTGGTTGAAGGGTGACCAACCAATCCTATTCAGCTTACGTAGCACCCCGTCTCGGGTTCATGCAAACCCCTTTGGTTACCACTAAACCCTTTCTAGCCCAAAAGTAGCCTACTAGCAAGCAGCAGAACGTGTTCTTGAGTGTATGAAAGTCCCGACATCCTGCAGGAGGTGTTTCTCTGCACGATTGTCTAGACACCGTAACTTTGTCCTTTCCCAGACGAGCTTCTCGCGATCCCGGCCTCAGGCGGCGTGGCCATCACCCTGCCGGTCCTTGACTACGAGCTGTTCACGGTGGCTCCCATTACAGTAAGTCCTGATGACCCTTTTGCTCAGGTTGCTAGATCAACAAGTAGTAACCTCTGGGATTCAAACCTTGAGAGCATGTCAAAATCCGTGCCTGTTTTGCGTGCTGCCTTGCTTGTTGCTGACACCTTGCACAGCAGCCAACGCCTTTTGCCGGTCCGGGAGGCCGCTCCGCCTGGCCAACCCTCCCTCCTGCTTGTCATGTTCCCAGGTCTTCTATGCGCCCTCTATATTTCGACATTTACGCAAATTGTGCACAGAGTACCTCAGTTCCAGAGTACCTCAGTTCCTTAGGCACTGTACATAAACCTTTGCATGCAAAAGTGTCCCCTCGTCAGAAAAATCACCAATGTGTTCACTCAACACAGACGGCTCATCCTCTGTTTTCCTCCTGTTTCAGGAGCTTCCCAGCGGAGTGCGCTTTGCCCCCATTGGGCTTCTTTCCATGTTCAACTCCGGCGGCGCGATTGTTGGGATGAGCGTCTCCGACACGCGCGTTGCCTTGGACGTCCGCGGACGCGGGCGCTTCGGGATGTGGGCGTCCGACGCGCCAGTCAGTTGCGTGCTGGGAGACGGCACCCCGTTGAAGTTCGATTATGACAAGACGGATTCGCGTCTGACCGTGGAGCTGCCGGTGCCGGAGGCCGGCGAGGACTGGAGGTTGGAGGTCACTTTCTAGACGAGGTTGACGATTCTTTCTAGGAGGCAGAGGAATTGGCCCGGCTTTGTGGTTGGGGATATTTAGAGAGTTGGAGCCGCTTATTGAGAAGCGTATTGGATCAGCGATTGGGAGGGATCAAGGAGCCGGAATGGATGAGGATCAGTTGAGGATGGGTGACCATTTGAAAGTTGCACTCTTTTTGTTTGAGTGCATCTCAAAGTAGAGCAACTCTTTCATTGCATGGCCCTACGTTTCTTAGAGACAATCAGATGTCAGCCGCCTACACCGCTTTGTTGCCCGTTAAGACTTTGTTGGACGGTGGGATTTGGGCTTACCAAATTGAGGGCCGAAGAACAATTCCTCGAGTCGCGGTAAAGTTCTTAGGTATATTCTTATCGTTGTAGTCATCAAGCCGTCTTGAGTCACGAGTAAGCAATGTAAAGATGGCTACGATGATATGCACGACAGGTAGAGCGCATCGCATCAGAGGACGGTTCAGCTTAGCTACAGAGGGCCTAGAGAAACAAGCACGTTATCTGTTCAAGACCTTGTTGCTTGCAGTTATCGCTTATCAAGTGTGTAACATTTCCCTTAACACGCGTGCCCTTGTCATGGCAGAACACCCGGCATGGCAGTACACACGGCGTGCATGTACCTAGCTGGCCATGGCCACGCAAAGTCTTTGCAATGTCATTAAAGAACGGTAGTGTGGCGCACCATGCTGCCCGGATTATTGTCTGAACTGCACGCACTGACTCGACATAGTTCTCGAGGTATCGCAAGCAGGATTGAATGAGTGACACTTAACAGCTAGATCCGTATTCCCGTGTTTGTTGCGAGACGCGCTTCTGGAAGTCATATGGAAGATTGTATCGCCATGCGCAATATTTCTTAGGGAAGGTCAAACAAGCTAGCTAGCCTAGCTATATCATGCGCGTGCGCAGCCGGCAGTTGAATTGATAGATCTGACGGGTACTTAACCATCATATCGGTGCGCATGTGCACGCGCGCTACACACACATGCACTTTTAGGTTGGCTTGAGAGTCCAAGATAGGTATCTATATCGCGTATTAATGCGGCCGCCACGTTAAGTTCAGCTAGAACTAGCGCGTGCTATCGCGCGAGCCGTATGTGATTAACGTTGCACATATACATACCTACATACATGCACACTGATAGCAGATGCACCAGCTGTTGAGGTACATATATGCTGAGTACCTGCAGGAGAGCGTAGTATAGCCACTTAGCCCACTTAGTAGCCGTGGCCGCCAATTTTCTTGTGCATGCCCCGGGCCGGCGAGATTATTGTATAGTCGCATGTGTTCCAAACCCGCGAACGAACCACTGGCAGGCATGCATGCCAGCAATTTTACTTACATGCGGCCACACGAGGGTGTATAGAACGCATCCTAACGACGATCCAACAAACAGCAGCTCCCAAGGTCAGCGGTTGGGATTATGCCACGTGTACGAATGGATCAAGTGTCGGGGATAAGAAAGCTTTTTCATCTCAACATAAATGTGATGCAGCGGTCAGCTATGAAAGCTGTCCATCAGATCGACAAATGTCGAATCAGTTCCGCATGCAGATCTTGACGGGCTGAATGCCCCTATGATCCGACTACAGCACATAAACCACACATCACAATGTCGAATTAAGAGCTTACATAACGACACACCACAATGTCAAAGACTCAGCTTCGCCGGGTTTACGGAGGTCATCAAGCTTTGGGCCAGACGAGCTCCTTAAAGCGCCTCCAAACCTCACTGTTTCGGTGTACCCCCTACATATGCCCCTCCATCACCTTCATGCGCGACCGGTTAAACTCCGCCAGGAGGTGTCGGTGGTACTCCCTCCCGGACATCACGATCCCTATCTCGTGCAAACTCCGGCTCTTGTTCAAAATCTGAAACGCCTCCTGCCGCGACGGGTCCACGTGGACGTCCTCCAAGTCCCCGCTCCCGACCCACACCTTCTCGAGCACCGGGAACGACGCGACAGTCTCCGCTGCTGACGTCGTCAGCCACGTGTCGTGCTGTAAGTAGCACGGGCAAAAGTCGTCGATGTCGAGCTCGCGCAGCCGCGGCGCGGTCTGCAGCTCCTGGAGCACCTGCGAGATTTCGGCGTCGGGCCAGCCAGTGTGGCCCTGCAGCTCGAAACATTCGACGGTGGACAGGATGTTCTTCACGAATCCGCTGCCCATCTTGTCCGGCGGAATGGGGTGCTCCTTCTGGCCCTGGCTCGTGTCGCCCACAATCGACTCCCGCGTGTCGGTGTCAATGTCGATCTCGTCGCACGCCTGGAAGCCGAGTGACACTTCCACAAGGTTCGGGCAGTCGGTGAACCAGTCCTCGTTGAAGGCTGCATCGCCAGTCCCGATGAAACACGTGATGCTCATTTTGCGCAGCACGGGCCAGCCCTGCACGGGACGGTGCCACGTGTCAGTGCGGAGGGAAACAGTTGATAGCACTGCTTTTGAGGCTTTACAGTAATCTGTGGCCGCAAGGAGAAAGACTGACCATTTTCGCACCGACGTATCGTAGCACAACGTGTGCTGGAACGGGCGATCCTAATGCCAAACCGATCTGCACTGCTTCGCAACAAAGCCTTGTTTGCCAGCCCACACAGGACTGAGCTGCCTCATATGAAACTATTTGTTCGGCACTAGTAAGTTCGAGCGGCCTTTCTGAAGAACCGATCCGACGAGACGAGGTATCGTGCGACCAAAGGGGTAGCGCAAGGAGAGACGAACACCTGCCCCGCCGCTTAGTCGCACATTCAGCTACGACGAACCAAGGCTGCTCTCTCCGGCCGAGTATTTCCACAAGCACAAGATGCACAGACTGTTGGGCTGAAGTTTTTGGATGGTGATGAGGGCACTCGGGTCAACCAATAGAGAAAGCGCACCTTACTTTACCAAACGTTAAACTTGCAAGTGTGGCAAGAGTGCCAGTAATAGTGCCAAGAGCAACCCTTCAAAGTACACTACAACAATAGTCTATATTTCGCGAAAACATCCGCCTACGCAGCGGAAGCAGCCAGCCAAGCGGTTGCAGGTGGCATTGCTCCATTATCTTAGACGCAGCGAGTGTACAACGAACTAGACCGTTTCAACTTAAGGTCACTGCATGGGTGGGTTTTTTTCTGGGTTTTAGGGTGGGTTCACGCGCGAAGTATGTGAACCCTTGGCCTATTCTTTTGTTTGTGCAAGCCCGAAACTCAAGATACGCCTCACTCAATGCCGAAAGAAAACTTCTCCATTCCTGCTCACCTGCATCGGCGGCGCGAGCGGGCCCTTGCCTCGGTTCGACTGCGCGCAGTGCAAGCGGAGGTTCTCCAGCTTCGGCTTGAGACAGTCGATGCACTCCAAGATCTCCTTGAGCGTCAACTTGTCGTAATAGTGCTCCAAACTGAGGTCGGTCAGCTTCGGCGCTTGCCCGAGAGACGTGACGAGCGACTCGAAGTCGTCGCGGCTCATGCTGTGGATCAGCGACAGCTTCTGGAGCACCGGGCAGCCTGCGCAGGAGGCGCGAGCGAGTGACGTCAGCGAGGCTTGGCCTGATCGTAAGGACGACGTCAGGAGGCAGAGCTTGTTTGGATCGCCAGGATGACGTCAGCAGAGCTTGTCCGAGACGCAAGAATGACGTCAGCAAAGCTTGTTCTGATCGGAAAATTGGAGTCAGCGAACCTTGTCCTGATCGGTGCGGCAAGAAGAGAGCTGGTTGCAAAGTTTGAAGAGGAGCTGCACCATTGATATCAACCAGGCGGAGTGACGTCACCATGTCAAAAGGGGGCTTCCGAGCTAGAGAGGGGGGGCCATGCAACGTGCGGTACGAACCTCGTGTTTCAAGTAAAGAACAGTCAGGGAAGAAGAGGACACCAAAGGTTGACATCAAAACAAAACCCCATGGTATCAAGCATGACGGCGTAAGGGTGTCCCACATTTGTCAAGCTGCGCAAGACATCGCAAGGGGGTGTCTTAACGCTGTGTTTATGAGACGCATCATGTCGATGAAACAAATCAGCATCAGGGGAAATTGAGAGGCCACTGTCTCAGTACAAAAGAGCAACTACTTTGTCGTTTCGTTTCTTCCTGGCTGTCAGAGGTTTATGCATGAGAAAGCCAACTAAGATATCTTTCTAGTGGGAAAGGCGGCGAACCAAAAGTGGAGACATCCAGTTGTTCTAAATTGTCCAAAAGCAACTTCCAACACGAGTTGCAATTGTCTGCTCGAGAGGGTCCAATACTCAGCGCAACTTTCAAGATGATCAAAGGATGCACTCCCCCAACCCAAGGTGCTGAGTGCGTGCATTCAAACAATCGAGTCAACAAGTAGATAATTGGGTGATTCATCCCTTCTCCTTGCATAGCTAGCCGCATTATATTTGAGAAACGGGATCCAGCCGGCATCTTGAAGCTAGAATGTTACTCTGGTCTGCTCCCGACCCTGAGAAGATCAACCATAATGCATAGCTTTTACGAAAGGCAGGGCAATGAAACCTTTGTAGAATACTGCGGTTCTCTTTTACCCCCTTGTCTCTGCCTCACCTTGGTGACTGAGGCAGAATTGCAACCTGCATTCTCTGTGCATTTCAATCCAACTCTAGTGGAAAGGTGACTCATTGCCTTTTTTAAGAATCTGAATCCACCAAGCAAGCAGACTCTGCATCCAGTATTTGAGTGGGAGAAAAGTACGTTCAATTTGACCGCCTTATTAGACCAACCCCAAACCCGAACCCCTCAAAGCCCTCACCTTCAACGACTTGCAACATCGTCTGGTCCGTCCGGCACAAGGTCAGAGTCAGCTCCGTCAGGCTCGTAAACTTCATTACGCGCGGTCCGAGCATATTCCCCTCCCCTTGGCACCGCTTCGTCGACCCGCAGTCCAAGCACAGCGTCCTTACTAGCGGAATCACGCGCTCGGTGTTTGCCAAAACCTCCACCAAACTCTTGTTCAGCGGTTTCCCACAGGAGACTTGCTCAGTAACCTTTAGGGAAGTCATGTTGGGACAGCTTGAAAGAACATCAAAGGCTCCAGACGTGAGGAGAGGTTTGTATCTATCATCTCCGCCCGCATCAAGGCCCAGTCTTTCAAGCTTTGTACAATTGTGGAAGACTGCCGAGAGTTTGTCCACATCAATGCGGAAGTCCTTGGTTGAATGCAGATCAATCCGCCGCAGTTCGCTGCACTTTGGCACAACTTCCAGAAACGTGCTTGCATCGACCACGCATGAGAGCTTCTCGAGACTCTGCCAATTGTAGAAACCAACTTCGCGGCAAGCCGGTAGCAAGTCCGACGGCTGCACTCGGTGGAAGTGCACCTCCTTCAACTCGGGAAACGCTCTCAATACCGCAGCGCACCCGGCCCCCTCCCCTAGTTGCAACCCTGTCACCCACCGCACGTGCGGCCATACTTTACCAAAGTCCAGAACCAACGTCTCGGGAAGCTTCACATCCCCAGGAAGGCTCAGAACCGCCACATTTGGAAAACCGGCCGCTAGCCGCCTCGCAGTCTCCCCACCCAGTCTCAGTTCTTTCACTTCTTCGTCACTTTCGTTGATGCTGCGCAATGGGACCTCAAGCCCCAGCGTCTTGACAGCCCGGAAGCAGCACGGAATGGATTCGAGCTCCTCCCACGAGCACCGGAGTTTTAGCTCTGTTCTAGTTGCGCGCTCCGCCGCTTTCAGAGAGCGGGAGGCGAGCGAGCACGCATTGCGGTCATGCTGAGAGGGTACTAGAGAAACGATCTGAGCCAGGATCTCCGCGGGCAGGGCATCCAGGCGAGTCACCTTCATTGGCGCCATTGCCACGCTAAGATTTTCCTTCATCTCTTGCAACTCAAGCGCTGTAGTCTTCTGGATGGCAGCTCAATTTCGCAGGCGGCCCCCAACAGGGTGTATGTGCCATATGGCAGCCTGGCGCCAAGTGGCACAGTCCGATCCTTTCTGCCATTTGACAAGATCCTCTAAACGAGCCAGCGCCCGGGGCGATCTTCCCCGGGCGGTTTCAAGGGCGACCAACTGCCAAGTTTCAGACATCCAACTGATTGGGTTACCGGTTAGGCCACAATAGCTGTCCAAGAAGGAGACACACTACAGCAAATAGGTACGGTATTTCAAGGCTACTCCAACACATTTGGTAACATTTATGCAAAGCAGCTTTCGATACCAAAAGGGTCCCTTGTGCGCTCTATAAGCCGCCCTTATACTCTTTCAAAGTGCTACTTCTGTTCGATCATGCAACAAAAGGACGGGCGAATGCATCAATATCTCGTGTATGAGTCAACGTGGCAGTAGTGCTAAGATGATGTAGCACAACAGCGCTTGAAACCGGTTTTGCACAACCGATTGAAGAAGATACTGATCTAACTCAGAAATGGTACCGCTCCTTAGCGAGTGGCAATAGATTGTCAATTCCAATGGTTGGGCTTTGCAGATAAGTGATAAGCACTTCTTAACATGGACTTCAATTGCACTGTGCTACGATTCCCAATAAATCAACTTGAACCAGCGGATTCATAAGTATCGGAGCTCTATCTAGATTCGTCATTGACCACCCCAGCTTGGCCCCACGCCATTTCTACCTGCAAAATCGCGTCCAATCGTTGAATCAAAAAAGAAGGTCATCTTTGCCTTATGTACGAGCGGTAATTCACGACTCGCCTGCTTCTACGAACAGAGCTGAACATTCTCTCCCGAAAGTGTCAACAAAGAGCTCAAAGTCTTTCTATGCGGCTATGATAGCCATCGCAAACTACCCAACATTGAAGGCAATATGGTTCGACTCGTGACAAGTAAGAAGTAAGAAGATATGATTGCAATGATGCACGTCCGACGTGCACAAACTTACTGTATGGCGGGTTCTTGTAGGCTCCGATGTTTCCAGTCCCTGGCCGGTAAGGCCGAGCGGGGACGACTTTCACCGGGCGCTCGAGCTCCAAACTGCGTTCTTTTGGTAGCCGCCACAGAGGCGTGTGTGCCGATGGATCTCGAAAAGGATCCCGGACGACAGCAGGCGGCCTACAACAGTACGGGGTAATTAAGTCAGACATCTCAAGAAGATGAACGACGCCCCCAGAGTTCGTTGTTTTATTTAGGCACTTCACTTGGGGGAGTGCTCAAGACCAACGCCTACAGTGCAGGGAGTCCAACATGAACATGTTGCCTGTTCAGACCGTTGCTTGGCAGCTATCCCCTTTCCTTGGAGGAGAAAAGGACGCTCATATGTAAAGCCTTAGGGTTAAACATGAAAAAAGGTGCCAAAGCTTTCCCAGTTCGTAACGATTCCAACTGAAATCAATGAGGCAAAACTGACGATGACGGTTTACTTCGACTGTCTACCAGAAGCTATGCATCTGTCCAACGTAGAGGTACTAAGAAAGAACACCCGTTGACGTCCTTGCAGAGGTGCCAGACGATAAGCGTATAACTCCTGACCAGATTGATCAAGAGCCCTGAGAAAGGTCTTGCACCTAGCAGGAAAAAGAAACTCGAACGACTTTCGTGTTCGGCACACTGGTCTGAAGACTTCTCTCTCTCAAAACAAAATTTAAGCCATCCGCAATGAGCCCCACGCACTACCGCAATATGCGGACCAACTACGTCCTCTGTCACAATCTGTAAAGCAGTCCAAGCGTCACGGCCAAAACCTCGCAGAGCTCCCCACCTGTACACCCCGGTTCTGAACGGCGGGTTAACCTTCACCGCTGCCATGTCCGCTGCCCTTCCGGCAGCTCGCTCCGCTTCCGCTGCAGCGATTGCAACGGACTCCGGGGTTTGCACTGCTGCGTCCTCCCGACCAGGATAAGCGACCGGGGCTGCCCGGGGCACTGCTTGCGGGACGGGCTGAGGGAACGCTTGCGGGACCGCTGGAGGGATGGCTACTCCTGCATATTGGAGAGGGAAAATTTGGACCCCTGTAGCGTGGCGTCTCGGGCTGGGTATAACTGAGATGGTGCAGAAGTATGGGTACGGGAACGACTCAGCGCAGAGGGAAGGACAATTTTCCAAGTCGAAGTGTTCGCTTTGACCGGTCTTCAAACCGAGACGGCCATCCCACAAGAAAAAGCTGTTCTTTTGCAGTCCCTCGGAAGGCTTTTATTCCTGACAACTTGTTAAAACCGTCTTCACCTGGTGAACTGCCGAGCATTTTTCGGGTAAAACGACCAATCAAGTGCGCTTCCTGCACCTTGCATATGGCACAAGAAATCAAGTTCAATTTGGATTCTCAAAGGAGAGACAGTGCCCTTGACAAACTGGTGGGACAAAAATATGTGATTGACGAAAGCCTGTAGAAACAGTCGTCTATCCCGGCTACGACTCAACTACTATCCAATATACGATCCTCAGGATTTCCTGTCAGGGGCGCTGGCAGGAAACGACTGAGAAACCGAGGACAAGAAAAGCGGAATGAGATGCGTATCGAGAACGTTTCTCAAGAAAGCCAACTTACGCATCAGAATTGAACATGAAAGCTTTCTGGTACTGATGGGACAGTCATTTAAGACCAATATCTGCTCGAAAGACGAAGTAAGAATGGAATTCTTCTTCCTTCCGCTCTTTAGCAACCCATGTCCAAAAGGATCTCTGTCTGAGCTCTTGAAAGTAGCTGGTAAGATCACCATCTCCTTGAAACCACCCAACAAAAGGAAATGGAACGAAGTATCTTATTCTTGATCCAGAGTTATATGAGAGCTATGCAATCAGCAAGACAATTCAAATAACTTGAAAGTCGATTCCCTACCTCCAGCCGCGTTTGCCCCCAGCACTTCTTCCACCGCCCTCCTTAGTCGCTCCAGCTCTGCCTTGCAATCATCTAACTCTCTCCGAAGCACTTCGTTTTCCTGCCGGTACGCGCCATCAACTACGACCTGCATGCGGCATAGAGCTTGAGGCAGAGCGCAACTGACATCCGAAGTAACTCATACTAGGTTGGGATGACTGGAGATAGAGAGCGAGGTATTTGGACTCTTCCTACAATGCAAGCAAGGGAGGTGTTCAGAAGATACACTGAGACAGCAATGAGATGTGCATTGATAGCATATTGTACACTTGTGGATGGGGCTGCGCCTTTCTGAAAGACGTCATCAGCAGCAAGGCAGTGTCTCCTTAAGAATCTGGTCGAGCCTCCTCTCTTTTCAATTTGCACTAACACACAGCATGTTGCCAACGCGCGCAGCGATTAACCCGGTTCTGAAGATAGGCCTTGAGCTAAGCAAGAGGTTGCACTGAAACATCTCGACTCCAAGAAGATGTGGCACTAAGTTTACCTCTTCCAAAATCTTACGAGGGTCTGTCCAAATTAGAAGCTGGTCAGTGTGAGTCTTTTACTAGCACTGGCCAGAACCACACACACCTGCTGAGCTGGTTGCGCCATCAGAACCTCTCCCGCCAGGGGCTGCTCTTCCACAGTCACCGAAGGCTCGTCCACATCCCTTCTGAACACCTCCCTCGCTCTCTTCTTCCTGTAAAAGCTGCCATACTCGCCGTTGCTAGTATCCCAATGGCTTGCACCTAGGGGCCTGCTGTTAGCGCCTACTACAGGGACCAGTGCGCGCGTCATGGCTTGCTTTTCCTGTGTTGATCTGCACACCTAATCCTGCAGGTTCTGTATGCTGCCTTAGATTGTCAACTAGCCTGCTCAGGCTACAATTACACGCATATGCTGGTGTGCCACTGGCCTTGCTTGAGCTCTTACTCTTGCCCTTTTGGATTACAAGTCTCCAGTGTCCCAACTCTGGTATCAAACCTCTCAAGTCTGGCAAAGATTTGCCAAAATTTTCAAGACCACAGCTGTAAGTACCTGCTTTCTAGCCCTCTCTCTAATGTTGGAGAACCAGGGGGTCAGGGAAAGATCTGGCTTGATGTCCAGGCGGTCCTGACAGAAAGAGACAGGTTTCGTCAGATGCTGACAAAGGGGGCTTACTATCAATTCTTCAATAAAAGCAAGAGAAAGAGTAGCAAAAGATTTCAGCCCTTCTTACATGCTTTTCAATTGTTTCAAGTGCCTAGTCATGACCTCATGAGTCACACACTTTTGCAATCAGGCTTGCAACTTCTGAATGGGTCCCAAATATGCCTGCACCAATTGACTGCTGAAGGCACAATCTGTGCATGTCACAGGTCAAAGCTCAATGTGCCTCTTGAGGGCTTTGAGGCCCAGTATACCAAGACAGTGCACGGAACCAGCTGAGCAACTGCATGGTGATCTAGACTTTTCTCTGACAGCTTACATGAAGTGCTGATAGTATAAGTCACCTAAATGAATTCTTTCCTGTATGGTCAAGCCTTCCTCTAAGTGGAAGCAGGATTTTCCACACATTTCTTGAGCTGTACCTGGCACTCACAAATGTTTTACTACCATTTTTCTTGTGGTAAAAGTGGAGCAAAAGCACTAGCCAAGCTGCTCAAAGCATAATTGTCTTGGATGAGCAGTCCAGTATGACTCCTAAGGAAATGCATGTCCCTGTAATTGGTCCAAGCAATGCATGGAAGAAACAGTAAACATATTGATCCTCCAGGCTTCCTTGCTGGATGTTAGCAAGTAGTACCAGTCTGCTTGCCTAGCATCTGATGAGCATATGCTAAATCCACTTCTTCCCAAAGTCGATTGAGCAACAGATACAGAGTGCCCTCTTCGTATTGGCTGCGGCTCTGATATGTTTTTGCAGCGAGGTGGTACACTGATTTGGAAAGTAGGCTACGCTTAAGCTCCGACTGATCGATCTCACCTGTTCTTAAGGAACACATTTGATTCTTGACGCCCTCGAACCCAGTCATGCAGCAGCGTTGACAATCCAGCTCCGGCCCTTCTTAACTTGCTATGCATGTAGTGATATGTTACCAGCCTATCCGGAGTGGCCCCGGGGGAAGCTGGCAGATGGCTTCTATGCAATAATGTAGCCGCAACTTTCTTCCTTCAACAGCTTTCATGCAATCAGCTGAAGCTGGGAGCTTCGTCTTCTCTCTCTCATTTTACAGCTCGGATTTTCGCGTCTTGCTCAAAACTCAAGAGCCTCGCGTCGCCTTGCAGGTAGCCGGGTTAGATGGGTTAGCAATACGAAATGATCTGTTAAGATAACCTCTTCGACGGCGATCTTTTGAAACACGTTCGCGAGCCGGGGAATAGCAAGTCAAGTCGACAGGCCTGGATCGGGTTAAAGCATCACTCGACCTCGAGGAAATATGACCGTTTGCTGATCTGCCGTTTCTCTCGTGTCTGACATGACACCATGAATTCAATCTCTCCTCTCAAATTGGTCTGGGCTGGTCCACAGGGAATCAGGTGTCAAGTCACCACGCTCGCCAGGCATGCCAGGGCTCTCGCCGCTCTGGAGCCATTCGCAGAGCATCTCGAAGGGCGGATGTTCATGTGTGTCTGCTAGGGCGCGGCCATAGCTAGGCTGTAGCTTGACAGCCAGCAATCGCCTTTGAAGGTTGCGGGTCTTGGCAGGGGGTGAAGATGTTTTCTAGCGGTGGAAGGCGCAGCTCGCTGCGCGCAAAGACGCCTGGCAGAACAGACTTCAGGACCCCTGGCCCCTCGCGATTCAGTGTAGTTCCAGGTGGGGAAGAGGCGACGCCAGCGGCCGTGCCGAGGCGATTCATGGACTTTGAAAGGCCTTCCTCTGAAGCAAGAGGTGCTTTGAATGAGCAAGCACAGGGAAATGCGGCAGCTGAAAGTTCCAGAGTCCGTCGCACCTTGGATGCCCAGCAAGCGGACAAGGCACAACCCGCACCATTCGATGGAGGAATGAGGAGGGATGGCGGTGCAGTTGATGGTAACGGCCCTGATAGCAATGCAGTCCCACTCCGGCCAGACGATGGGAAGGTTTCAGACACTGGCTTAGCTGGTACTTCCAGAAACTCGGAACGTTCGCAGATGAGGGACAATGCGCCGGGCAGGCGTGCTATGTTTGACTCCCCTGGTACAGCCATCCTTGCAGAGGAATTGCATGCAAGGGAGGCGGCCCGATCGATTCGTGTCTGGACAGCTGTCAACGAGTCTGTCGGAGTGTCTGTGGACCGCAGGGAAGAGAATACAGAGCGTGCTCTCACGGCGGTTAATCCGAGTGGTGAGGAAGAGGTCTGGAGGAGGTTCCGAGGGGCGGGGGCTCTGGACGAGGAGGTGCTTGTAAGAAGGGAGAAGGAAGAGCTGCAACGGCAGCTTGACGATGTGGAAAGAGAGGTAGGGTTCTTTAGCTTTTGAAGCAACCTTTCGTGCATGGTGATATTCCCTGGTTGTGAGTTACGGAGTGTATGGGTTTCTTGAGATCGATGATTATCCAGAGCTTCTGTATCAGACCAGTGGAACCTCTCATCGATTATGGGCAATATTGCTTTTATGAATGGGGCTTCTGATGGAAACAGAGCGAGCAACTCCGTTTGAATGTGCATGCCTTAGCAAAGTCATCGAGTCAGTCTTTCATTGATCATGCAGAGTTTTTAGAGCGTTCGCTACTTACAGATGACGAAATTCTCTGTATGTTGTGTGAGTGGGTTGTTTTGATCTGGCTGATGATGAAGAACTTATCTGTTGCTTATACGTAATTTCAGTAAGAGTTGGGGTCGCTTTGCATCCAGAATCTAGGGTGGTGTGCCCTTATAGCAGCTTTGTAGGCTGTTTGAAGACAATAATCTGTCAGAATCTGCTTATTTTTTAGTAACGAAGCATCAATCAGAATACTGCGTAGTCCAGGGGGGTAATTCTGAGAATAGTTATGGTGATCCGTCCAAATGCAGTGGTGAAAAGAAAAGCCTTTCTCGGTTGTTTCAATCCTGAGCAGATCATGTCGTTTGTTTCCATACAGAGGAGATCTGTGATGTTACCCTTTTTTGAGTCCTTCATTGACCACCAATCCACATGCTGTGGAAAGTCTTTCAGATTGAAACCCTCTGAATCAGTCCGGGAACCTCAGCGTGCAGTAGTGGATTTGTCTTCATCATCACTGTCCCTGAAATCGTTACTTTGGTTGGAACCGGAGTAACCTATTATAGCGTTAACATTGTTGGACCTTCCTTGCTCTGTGCCCTTGAAACAGCAGTCGCATCGGAGCCTTGGTCTGCTTCGCCCCATTGTTTTCAGCGAAAATCCTCGTGGGATTGTGGTCCACAAGAATAGAACGATTTGAATTAGGCGTAGCTCCTCTCATTTGCAGCTGGCAGATTACCGCTACAATCTGGGCGTCCTCATCCTGGAGCACAAGAAATGCAAGCCCCAGATCGATGAGCTGGAAAAAGCGCTGCAAAGGACGAGGGAGGAGCTGCAAAAGGAGGGCCGCAGCCTTCAGCTAGCACTGGATGATGTCACCAGACGAGAGGACGGGCTGCGGGCCAGCCTCAAGGCAGAGCGGACGGTCATTGCTGATGTGCGCATAGCTGCGATACTTCTCATCCTCTCTGTTCTGTTTCTTATGGCTCTAAGGTTGTTTTCTGTTTTGAGTCTGTTGTTGCTTTGCTTTCTTTCGTGGGTTGTTTCTGTGAGTGCTTTGCACTTACGAAGTACTGCCTTTCGTACAATATCCTTACCATGAAGGGCAACATGAGCAGCTTCTGTTTAACATTGGGGAATAGAGGCATGATGCCGGTAACTCTTCATATTCTTTGGGGCGAAGTTGATGCCAATGTGTTGCAAGTGATGTGGTGTCAACATTGTGGAACAAAGGAGTAGTTATCGAGCGGGGATTTTGGGGGGGGTTTTGGGGGGGTTTGGGTTAGTGCGATGAAAAGAGAATGATGTTATGCTCTTAAGGAGCCATCTTGTCACACATGGAGCAAGCTGTGCATAATAGCCCGCAATCCCTGCAGGTCCACGAAGAGAACGGTTGATTGATCCGACTCTTACCACGGGCTTCAGTCGGTCAAAATTTACAAAGTAGACTCGCACTACAGCCAAACGTGATGAAGTATTTCAAAGTCAGGCATTGATGTGTCGTGATCGGTGTGTGCAGCTGAAACAGTCGCTGGAAGAGATGCATGCCAAGCTGCAAGCAGAGGAGAAGAGCTCCCGAGAGCGGTTGGCCCGGGCACAAGAACTAGAGGCGGGAGCCGTTAAGGACCGTGAGCGCTCGGAAGAACTGTTCGAGAAGGCCGCCAGGGATCTGAAGGGGGCACAGCAACTAGAAGAGGGGCTTAAAGTCAGGGAGAGTGAGCTAGACGGGAAACTGCGTGGATTGGCGGAGAGGGAGGATGACGCAGCTAGCCGAGAGAAGGCGCTGAATGAGGGGGAAGCAGCGCTGAATGCTGGCAAGCGGGAACTGACAGAGAAGGGAATCAAGCTTGCGGAGAGGAAGAGAAAGGTGGAGGGAGAACTAGAAGAGGAGAGAAAGAAGCTGGGACGGGAACGAGAAGAGGAGGAACTGAGGGTCGAAGCTCTGCGGCGAAGTGTGGAGGGCGAGCGCGAGCAGATGCAGAAGGAGATGCAGTGAGTGGCCATGCGGATGTTTATGGAGGGGCGACAGACACAATCAAGCTTTGCAACTGCAAAGCAAGGCAACAGAAAGTGAACTCTCAGCAGTTTTCAATCGGTTTTATAATACCATCAGGTTTGGCACTTAGGACGTTTTGAAAGAGTTGAAGATGGTTCGCAGCCCGCGTTTTGATAGTATTAGCGCTGCCCAATAGACATTGGAACCCCGCTTCTTTGACTTCTGCAACCGAGTGCATCAGTTCACAACGGCTTTTTTGTCCCCCTCGCAGAGCAGAGAAGGAGGCTGCCGAACACGACATGTCCACTCGCAAGGCTGAGATCAGCGTGAAGGAGGACAGCTTGGCTGCGCAGGAGAAGGCGCTTCAGATGTCCCAAGATGAGCTGGAAAGAAAGCAGGAGGACGCGAACAAGCGCGACCAAGATCTGGATCAGCGGGAGAAGTTACTGGGGGACGAGAAGCGCGAGATGCTGAGGACGGAGGCAGACCTCCGCGAGCAACAAAAGGTGAGTTTTCTCATGGGAAATTGGTCTTTCAGATCCTTGGGGAGCGACACCTTTTTTGGAGTGTGATAGATTCGGTTCGTAGGCAAGTCATGTTGCATAGTGGAACAGAGCTCGGGGAAGCCCATCAGTCAGGTTCTCACTCCCCCACAATGTCATTGCTTTTTTGATTTGAATTCAGGATTATGGCTTTACGACCAGCACGAAGGATTGAAGTTACATGCTAAAAAATGGAAGTGCCATCTGCACTCAAAAGTGGTCTGTACGTGTTTGTGCCAATGGTTCTCTCTTCTTCCTGTTGAAACACGCTCCCCACCGGGAGAGCTTGCAAAAACGGAAGAAAATAGGGCCCTTGAGGCTTCCAAGTCAAATGCACAAACAAGAGTTGCACGAACTTCAGAGCTCATATTCCTTCTTGCTTCTGTGCCAAGTTGACTTTGTCCAAGCAGATTGCATTCCTTGACCGAGCAGTTCAGGATCTCTGATTCCATCTCTGTCTCAAGAGCTTGCAAATCTCTCTGTGCAGTCTATGAATGAGGAGCGGGCTCGTCTGGCGGAGCAAGAAAGCGAGTGGCAGCGTATTGAGGCGAAGATCGACGCGCGTGTCAAAGAAATAGACGCTAGGGAAGCGGCAGTGCAAGCATTTGAGTCAACAGCCGAGAGCTCTGCAAAGGAACTAGAGGAGGGGGCAAAAGCTCTGCGGGAGAGGCAGGCGGGTCTAGAAGAGAAGGAAGAGGCAGTGCAAAAGAAGGAGGAAGATCTGGGGAAGTTAGAGAAGCAGCTTAAAGGGAGGGCACAGATGCTGGAGAGCGAGAGGGCAGCGCTGGAAAGGCGGAAGGGGGAGGACGTCTTGGAGAGGGAACAGGCTGAGAAGTGCGTTTCTCTTTTTCTTGTGCCCTGAAGGTTGGTCTTATTCTGGTCATGTGTCACAAGTGGTCAACCTACAACGCTTGTTTAGGGCCAGTTCATGGCGAAGTTCTCGCAGTCCACATGGAGAACGGGTGCCGTTTCTTTGGCCTGGTGGAAGGTTCTCAGTATTCTCTTAATTCTGCATTTTACAAGTCTGGTCTTCTTTCGGGGTTGGGAAAGGTATCCGCGATTCACTCTGTGCGGAAATCAGAGGGACCCCTGGATTCAGCGGTGAGGACATTTTCAACAAGAAAAGACGGATTTTTCAACGCGTGAGGAATACAGGGAGGGGACTGGCGTTCAGATTCGTGTCTTGCTTCTCTGCCTGAGGGGCCGTACGTACTTTCAAAACCTGAAGCACACGATTCAGAGATACTATGTCGTAGTGGTCGAGCCCATGTCGTGGTGCCCCATATCTCCCCAACGCTGATGTAAGCGATTTGTTTCGTCATCTTCAGGAAAGCAGCGCAGCTGGAAATGGAGGCAGCGGCACTGCTTGACAAGGAGGCGCAGTTGGAAGAGCAGACTCGCCAGCTGGCCAGCAAAGACAAGGATCTGGCGGCAAGGGAACATGAGGTAAGAAGCAGCAAATGTTGGATTCCCTTCGTTTTGAATGCAGTGGGTTGAGTTCGGGCTATGTTTGTGTGGTGTGACAAACGAAATTTCCTCACTGGTCGAGATCTGATTGTGCCATGGGTTGTTTAGAAAAGCAACCCGCTCCCTTTGTGTGTTCGGTCAGCCCTTCAGTGATCAAACACGCTGCTTGAATGTAAGAGCCAAGTAAGTAACCAACAGAAGTTACCCTTGCGTTCGTAGTTAGGAATCGAATATTCGTTGCAGGCGAAGTCTTCTCTTTGGCTGTGATACTGTAACCATTATCGAGGGCCAAACATGGGCACTGATCCAAGCACTGACTTGCGATGGCCTGTGCAGTGTGCAAAGCCTTGTTTCTTTTCAGTTGACGGCAGGCTAACTTCCAACCACTGAAAAGTTGGCTTCTTTTCGTGCAGCTGTTATTGCGAGAGTCGGGCACGGACGAAAATCTTAGGCAGCAAAAGGAGGAGTTGGAGGCCCAGAGGAGACAAGCGGAGGCAGACGTGGCAAAGCAGTTGCAGCAGGTGGGCCCTTTTGTCCTCTGTTGCGTCTGATTTTGCGGATCCTGGGTCCTAGAGTCGAAGGATTCAGGGGGCGTGAGGGCCTTGTTTTGTACTGTAGTTCTTTCGTGATGAAAGCGAAGGGACTATTCAAGTGGACTTGAACAGCTATAGGGCTTACTTTCTGTCAGTTCGTCTGCACTCGTTCTCGGTCCGTTCACATTGTTGAACTGGAGAATCTACGGTTTCTACATCGGTCGTCAGTATACTTGTTTGTCTTTGGATCTCAATGGAGGCAGGATCTCGACCGTGGCTGGGTACACTCCTTCGGATAGTCACAGGGCCAGCTTGACGCTCTCTTAAAACCTTCTTTCTCTGCCATTGCACCTCAATTTTCTTGACTGCTTTGCTGAATTGCTTCCTTTTCTCTTGACTACTTTGCTGAAAGGCTTCTGTTGATTTGTGCAGCTGCAAGGGGACAGAGCAAAGGGCGAAGCGCTTCTCCAGGCGTCAAGGGCGCAGTTAGATAAGGAGCGAGCCGCGATGCAACTAGAGTTGCAGGAGACGCGAGCTTCTTTGGAGATAGAGTTTCAAACCAAGATGCTCACCGCCGATGCGGCGACGCAACGGGCTGCAAAGTCGGAGGTAGAAAAGCGGGTGAAAGATCTCGAACGCGAGGCTGAGATCAGGGCAGAAGAACGGGCAACGGTGCGGTTACAGGAGCGGTTAGCAGGAGTAGACTTGGAAGTGGAACGGCGCGTTAGCGCGCAGCTTAAGGAGCGGGTTAGTGAGCTGGAGGTGCGAAACAGAGAAGAGGTGGAGAGGCGGGTCAGCGAGGGGTCGAAGAAGGGAGTGGAGAGAGAAGTTAAGGCGCAGGTTAAGGACGCGGTCAAGAAGGCCAAAGAGGAAGCGAAAGCGAAGTACGATCAGGAAAGGGGCGCTGCAATCCAGAAAGCGGTGAGAGATGCGGAACGGAAGGCTGAAGGGGAAAAGCGGGCTGCGATTGACAAGGCGGTGAAAGAAGAGCGGAGCAGAACGGCGGGGCAAGCAAGGGCTGTCAGTGAGGCTGAGGGGGAGAAGAGCTCGCTGCAAAACGGTGAGGGTTTGGAGGGGGTTAGTCAGCTAACCGAGGGGGAGCAAGCAGGGGGTCCGAAGGAGGGGGTTCCAAGGAGGAGCTGGTTTGGTTTAGGGTCCCCAAGGCGAGGGGCTCAGCCCTCAGAAGCCAGAGAGAACGAAGAAGGGGAGAGGCAGATTCTGGTGGACGGAGTGCCGCCTCTTGAGCAGATTGATGGCTTGCTGTCACAGGTGGGAATGGAAACCCCTCCGGTCGCTGTTAACCCCGTCGGGTCAAGCGAGGCTGCCGGGGTAGAAGGCGCAAGTGCTGACGAGGTGGCTGTTCACGCTGAGCCAACGCCAGTTGTCTCTGCTGGTGTGAATGGGGCTCCCTCGCCTAAGCGCCCGAAACTGCAGAGCAAGCGGAAGCAGCCGGAGACCCCCCCTGAGGAGGCCCCTGAAGAGCGCCCCCTGAAACAGCGGAGAATCATAGCGGACGCAGGTCCAGATAAGCCGGTTTTAGAGGAGAAGCACGGAGGCCCTGTTGAAGCGCTGGGCGCCGCGGTGACGGCTGTGGGACGCGCGGCGGATACAATTACGGGGCCTTTCGGCTTTGTTCTGGACGACACAGACCTGGGTTTTGTCCCAGGTCACACTGACAGGAAAGCCCCGCGGGAAGTGAGTGTGAAGAAGCCCCGCTGGAGCCTGTGGCCGGGGTTCCTTTCGCCAAGGAAAGCCAAAGCGGAAGAGGGGGGCCAAGACGGTGCAGGGACGAGCCCCTCAGGAGAGGAAGGGGCGGAGAAAAACCTTCCAGGGGGTCAGGTTGAGGGGCAAAGCAGCCCCCTGCTGGAGAATGCGAGAAACGACGGGGGAGAGGTTGGCCCGGTTTTGATGGACGTGCAACAGGGGCCCCTTCCCACAGAAAACGAAACGCCACCTGAGATGGATCTGAGAGGAGATGAGACGAGAGCGGCGGAAGAGCGGGCCACTCGAGTTGCTAAGACCCCCAACACGAGAGTGGGAAGGGCCGTCCTTCCAACCCCCAAACCTGCGCGAACGCCGAAGCCCCCACTGTCCGCAGTGAGAACGAGCAGCCGGTTGCGGGAGCGGACCTTGTCGTCAGATCTCAAGGGAACCTTAGAGCCGACTTCGGCTACCCAGCTGGCGGGCTCTTCCGGAAAAAGGGGTAAGAGTTCCCCACCCGGAGCGGATGTTGGTCCAGACGCTCAATCGCAAGAACCGCCCAAACAAACCGAAAGGGTTTCCCCGCTTACCGACGGGACTCGGAACCAGGCGCCGGGAAAGAGCGCCGAGATCGCGGGGCGTGAGCAGAGGGATCCCTCTCCGGCAAAGACGCCCGGCACGGGACCGGCGAGACGGTTGCAGAGGGCTCTGACGGCGGAAGAGCAGGCGAAAATAGAGCGGATCATGGCGCGCCTCGAGGCGGAAGAACGCGCGATCGCCGCTGACGAAGCGGCGGTGGGGCCGCTGAATGCGCGTACCTCGCCTGACTTGGCCCCCGAACGTGAATTCTTAAACGCCGGATCTGCGGACGGGGCGAAAACCTCAGTGCCTGAACGCGAGGCTGCGAACGCCGACATTGTGGATGGCGCAACTGTGAAGGGTTTGGAGAAAGTGAGGGGGGCTCCGGAGACTGGGAATTCGGGGCTCAAGAAGGCGAAAGTGGCTGTGAAGAGGAGGAGCGGGGAGAGGGCCGGAGCTTCGGGCAAGACAGGTATGGGCCGGGCACTCAATGGGCAATAGCTCTATTTCGCATGAGAAGCTAACCGCTCGGCAACAAAGATTGGAAAGCTTTGTTTCCTCCGATCGGTTCCCCTTCGGTTACGGATATTGTGCAGGTTCATTCTTTCTCGTGTCCTTTGAGCCCCTGTAATCAGCAGCTTCGAGCTCGAACACCTTTTCCCTCATAATGTGCCCAGCTTTCCGTGCTTCTCACAATGAACAGCGACCCTTGCAGCAGTGGGACAGCACACTCGCGCTTCCTTCTGTCCCTTCATGGCGCCAAGGAGTTATTTCTGAAAGTCCGACTTACTATAGCTCCTGAGCAAAGGTGCATTTTCGAATGCGTTGCAGATGAGACTCTTCTGATCGAAGCAGCAGCCGCAAAAAACCAAGAGCTCCCCAACGACGATCCCCAAGAAGCCCCAGCGCCCAATCCCATGGCGCCAGGTGGCGCGTCCGCAGCCGTCGATGCTGCGGAGCTGCCAACTGTCTCGCCAAGCCCTCCCGGTCCGACATCCACTCTCCCCCCGAAAACGCCAAAGTCCGCCTTTGGGAGAGCGTTCGACGGCTTCCGGGCGGCGTGGGGCTTTGGGGCGGGAAGCTCTAGAGGGCCTGCCAGCGAGGGGGATGAGGAGGGAAGTCTGGAGGGTTCCGGGGGCGTGTATCGGAGCCAAGTCGGGGAGTTGCGGAGCATCGTGGGCGATCTGGTAGAGGCTGCGGATAGAGACGAGGACATGGAGATGGGGGGTCCGGAAAGGCTGGAGTTTGGCACCCCCGAAGGGGTGCCGTTCGATGGGCCAGAGGGGGAGGAGAGAGGGCGAGAGGCGGCGCAGGGAGGGGAGGGGCTCCTAAATACATTCACAGAGACAGTCGTCGAGAAAAGCGAGGCGGCATTGAGAGAAGTGGTTGAGAAGGGGCAAAAAGCGGGGAGCGTGATTGTCAAGAAGGCGAAAACGGCAGCATTTGATCTGAACGAGACAGCAATGGAGCTAGCGGACGCTGCGGTGGGCGTGTCCGCCTCTGACGTGGCAGATGACGTCACGCGCTCTGCTGCTGACCTGGCGGATGACGTCACCGCTCTAGGAGGCGCTGTGGAGGCAACAGTCGGGGGGGTGGCTGACGAACTGACCGGAAACATTGGGGAGGCACTTGCAGACGAGTTGGGGGCTGTTCACACCCGGGACGCTCAAGGGAAAAGCTTGGTGGAAACTGGCTCCGATCTGGTGACTGGAGCCTTGGGAAGTCTACAGGGTGCAGGAGCAGCGGGCAGTTCCGCCTTGGCGGCCGATCCGTCTAGAGGTGCCGAAGGAGGGGCGCGCTCAACGAGAGGGGGGGCAAAAGTCCAGTCGAAAAAGGAGGGGGGAAACGGGGAGGAGCGCAGGGGGAGCAAACGGAAGGCACCTGAGAGCGGAAAGGGGAAGGGGAAGGTGACCGACTCGGAGAACGAAGACGACGTGGGACCCAAACGGGGCAAGGTTAAGAGGCGGGTTAAGCAGGCGGATTCGGAAGACGAGGCTGGGTTGGTGGACCCGCGGGTGGTGGAGTTTGCGACTAAGTTCAGGGGGGAAGTTGAGGGTGAAGATACGCCGAGCGAGGGGGGCGGGAAACGGCACTTGCGGGCGGTAGTCGATCCGAGGGACGGAGAGGATATGAGCGCAGGGCTGCGGCGCTACAATCTGCGGAAGTCGACGCTGTGAGCGGGTCAACCGAGTTCCTCCCTCTGCTAGTTAGTACTTTGCTCCCGCATTCCGTTTTTCTGTCGGCCTCGTTTTATTTGACCTTGGTTCTCCAGGACCGTGGATTCGGGGAAGCAGGGAGAGTGTTGCATTTGCTGACGCCGTACTTGGCGAATGCTGGCATCGATTATCGACTTTGAATCCAGTCGACCTGGTTATTCAACGGAACCTGGTTCGGAATCTTGCAACCTACGTTGAGGACCATAGGTCGTTCGCAATTTGTTTCAGATATGCATGCTGCCTGCTCTCAAAAGCCCAAGGCCTTATCCAAGAATCCCGTTCCCTGCTTCGCTTCAATCAGGTTTTCTCCCAGCATCAGAACTCTTCCCTTGACCCCTTCACCTCAACGGACTGACTTCCTCCACCTTCTCGCCTCATACGGCTTGCAAACGTCAATGCCCCTTGCGCAACCTTTTGCACCCCCCCTCACCACGGTGTTTCGTTCGCAGTGTGAAAATGCACATCTGGGAGCCCCGTGGCGCCGACTTCGGCACCGTCAGCACTGGCAGCGAGGGCATTCACACCAGGGGCGGCGCTTCATCGACTCCACGCAACCTCCAGCGGTCCGTTTTCGGGGGCGACAATCCGTTTCTGGAGGACATTGCCCCTGGAAACCCGCACAGTTTGGAAGAGATCCGGACGCCTCGGAGCGGGAGACATGGGGCGCGAGACGACGAGAAGAGCGGAGGTGCTGCTGGTGAGTCCGCTGCTTGGGTGGTCTCACCTTTGGCTTGCAACTGGTTTTTTATGCCTAAAAACCGTCAGCACAGACATGGACTTTCACTGCAACAGTATATTTCCCAGCAAGAATTTGATCCGAGTCTCTGGGCCTTCCCTTTGCCAGGTTTATTGTTGCACATGATTCGTAAAAACTTTCTAGCTGTTCTGAGGATGGACCAGTATCGAACATACCTACCAGCCCGAGGGCCACTGTAGCACCTTGACTTTGTTGGGCGGTTTTCACGCACGTCCTCTCATCATGCAAGCAAGCTGGTGATCGATGTATGAAAGACTTTGAAGTGACACTGCCACTTGGAGAAGACTTCGGCTGTCCACTGTTTAAAGTATAGGGCTCCTTGACTGTGGCTTCGGCTTCGAGACCCATGTTTGAAATCTGGATTTCCCAGGTGGCACAACCGCTGACGATGAGGAAGCTGATCAAGCGAACGCAGGGTGGCGGTGGCTTGGGTTCTTAGGCTGGTAGACGTCCTTCGATCTGCCAGACGCAACGACTTCACTAGCTTTGTTCGTTATGGGATACTACGGTATGCAGCCCTGCTCAGCTACGGCGAATACTGAAAGGAAACCATGATTATGCACAACATAGCTGAATGATGACAGATTCCTTCTTAGTTCTCTGACCGTCTCGATCATGCATGCACTGAATTCGACGGGGTCAACAGAGTTCAATATATTCACGATGGGAGCTTTTGCATGATCTTCGTTGTTTACTTAATGGCTGTTAGTAGCCGACGGCAGGTGTGACGAGTTTGCACCGCACTGGCACCTTATTTGAAACATTCAACGTGACGTAGTGGCCGAGGTCAGCGTAACTGCATGCAGACTTTCGGATTGATTGGAAATTTATGGTACGAAGTAAGTTGAAGCCTTTCATGATTCCCGCATGACTCAGCCATGGACTGGCTACAGGTGAATGGAAACTTAGACTCAGCTCCAATTAAGAACGTCCTAACTTGAGTGCATGATGCATGTAGGTTGGCAGACGGGAAGAAAAGTACGTCTGAGGTTTGCTCATTGATGTTATGCTAGCTGGCCCGGGCTAGCATGCACTCAAGCTCGGCGCTCAACCCGAGTTCGATCTTGCAGTGGCCGGGCAGGCGCGGCCTGTGGTGTCGACCAGCATTTGATGGCCACTCCTTAATCCATGCAGTCCCTTGAACATGCAACGGGCCCGTTTGTTCAGTGTTTGTCCAAGGCCAGAGAGGCCTCGATCTGTTAACTCATACAGCTGATCTAGGTTCCCTGCATCTCAATAATAGATCGAGCCAAAATTGGATGGGGCCTTACGACCTCGATCGAACCATGGGCCTTCACGAATGTATACTTGATATATCCCTGGTACTGAGTACGCCGGATTGCACATGAAGACATCAATCTGATTCGAACCGTAGAACCTTGTCGACCGAATTTGACTATTGTAGGCAACAGTGAAACACTTGCCGAAGCGACAATGACTTGGCATGGTTTGAGCATGCTTGTTCTCACTCAACATGATTTTCGTTCTTTGACCTTAAAAACTTGAATACCGGCCAAGGTGCTGGCGCAGAACTGTCCATGCAGGTGACATATATCGGAATCTGCTGTTCAAAAAAGGGGACAGCGTGCTATCGTCCCATTGCTGGGTGTAGCATGAAGCTCTTTCTAGCCGCCTTACTGTTGGACAGAGAGTGGTGAAACGGGTCTGGACAGTTCTACCCAGTAGAGTTCCAGATAGTGTGCGGCTTAATTTAATAGGCGGCAACCTCGAGACGCGATTCCTCCAAGGTCGCCTACCAGATCCGAGAAGATGTCGGAAAACGTTCGCTGCTGGTGCTAGATTTGTACACCCAAGCCCGCTTGCCACTGATCAGCTTTGACCTCAGGACAGAAGCCTATGTTACCACGCCAATCCCTATATATATCCCGGTTGCATAGGTTTACCCCTGCATCGGGGCATGTGCAGCTTCACGCTGGTGTTTAAACACCTTACAGCGTTGACGCTCTTTACCCATCCACACAGCCGCAACTTGACGGCCTTTTTCGTGATCACCCCCGTAAACGGCTGCGCCGTTAGCTCAAAAACCCTGCTACACATCCCCTTCCCTGTATCCCTGCTCAGCAGCTTATGGTACGACTTGTTGTGCATGAAAAACGTCTTCCCCACATACCCCGCGCCAATCGCCGAGCACCGCCCCAATGGCAACAACACCTGGTCAACCCAAACCTTGGACTCACACAACGGATCGATGGCCGTCTCCCCCTCTTCTTGAACATGGGTTATGGTCAACTCGATCTTTAACCGGGTCGTGTTGGGCGCGGGGAAGCTCAGCTCGTGCGTCGACGTCCCCTTCAAGTTGACCCCCTTGATCGCCGCAAGCACCGAGTCCTCCGGGAACGGTACTTTGAACCGTTCCGTCGTGTTCGTCAAAAGCCACGGTTCCGTCAACACCTCGTGCGAGTCGAAGTACTTCTCCTCAAACTCCTTGAACGGCCGCAACTTGACGTCATACCGCCCACTGATATCCATACAGTTGATGCTCGTCTCGTCCGCCAACTCCAACGCATCCCCCGGCACCGGCTTGAACTTCTCCATCGGCCCCATTACCGGGATCTTCGCCTCCGCCCAGTTCGCCCCCGCCCGTTTCAACGGCCCCGATTTGAGCATGTTGTGGTGCAGGAAGATTTCGTGGCCGTCCAGATCGAACTGCACCATGGTCGTCCCGCACAGCTCCTTCTTGGAGTCGACCATGCCCGCCGTACCGATCGGTTGCCGCACGAACGAGAAGGGCTGCTTGACCGCCATCCACGCAAAGCGGTACGTGTCTTTGTCGCCGTTCAGAAGCTGCGAGGGGTGAATCAGTACGCTTCAACGCTTTGAGTCTTTTCTGAGCTAAGCTGCAGGGGATTGTTCAAGATAACCACGCAAAAGTGGTAGCTGCCTTCGTCGGCTTTCAAGAGCTGCAGAGGCAAATGAAATGTCCTTCATGTTTTCAGTTGGTTTTGGGTCTTGCTAGCACCGGGTTGCGGAGGTGCTTCGTTACCCCTCGCGCAAAGCGGTACCAGTCCTTGTCGACAATCAAGAGCTGCAGGGATGCCATGGCAATGGTTTGGGTCTTGTTATGGATCTGCGGAGAATTTGTCCGCGGCCGTTCACACGAAAGGATGTGTGTCTCTGCCGTCAGAAATGTACTGCACACAGAGAGAGACCCGGTGTCCCGTGTGCGAAGCTTTGGGAAGAGGATCTATAGAGGAAACATACATCCAAAACGAAAGAACTGTTCAGAAATCAACATTCACGAACTTGGGAACCGTGGGGGCTATTTCGGCCAACCACGCAAAGGGGTAGGTGCCCTTGTCGCCTTCTAATAGCTGCAAGGAGAGACAGCACCAATCCGGGTTTGAAGCTTGGTGGAAATCCGAGCATATAAAGCGCAGAGGGTGCTTCACGTGCAACTGCTATAATGATGCCCCTCAGCTTCGTTCTTCAAGAGCTGCAGTAGAGAGAGTGCGCCGTCATCGCTTTCCACAAGGTGCAAAGTTTCAAATACTCGGAGCTACGGAGGGTGCTCCACGGCTATCCGGGCAAAGCGGGTCGTGTTTTCTGTCTCCATTCAAGGACTGCGAATACTAAATGGCACATCCGACCCTTTTCAGAGACGGTGACTTCTTCGAGCTGCGGAGGGCGCCGCACATCTTTTCACGGAAAGCCAAAGGTCTTTCTTACTCACCAAAAGCTGCAGAAACAATAAAAGGTTCACGCTTGAGGACAAAAGGAACTATGGTGGTAAGAAAGTAATGTCAGGGTCCTTTTCCCGATCAGGCCTCCGGATGGTTGGGATAGGAGAAGCTGCCGGCAAGAGCAGCACACGCTTTCCTTCTCTTGAGTTTTTGAATTTGTGTCGCCGTTTGAGGAACGGAAGAAAGAAGAGTCAGAGCTTTCCCAAAAGTTCCGTGAGACGCAAGGGGTCAGGGAGAGGCGTGCATGCCCGTCGTCATGTTTCGTCAGGTCGTCATGCTGCGTCAGAGTAGATGGACGGGGAAAGCTCAGAGGACGGCGCATCTCGGAATGTGCGTCTCTGGTATTCATTCTATCTGTGAGGTGCTGCTCTCCTACAAATGCTTGTTCGAGGGGGACTGATGAGGTGGCCTGAAGGGGTCGGACGATGATCTAGGAACTCAGATGAGAGTTGTGCATCGGCTACTGATTTTGGGATTTCCAGCGAGGACAAATAGGAGGCAAAAAGGCGGAGACAACGAAGTGCACGAAATGTCAGTGGCCGCTGATGTAAGCAATCCGCTTGGAACACATGCGTATAAGCGGCAGGAATCTCACAAGCCGTCTGCAGTATTCCAAACCTAGGCAGACTCGACAAGGCAGATCGTCTAATGGAGCGGTTGATTGAACGATGGAAAGAAGCAAACGGCACCCCAGAAGACCCTCATCCCATGAAACGCTGAACACAAGAAAGAAGCGAGGACGAGGGAGAACGCTAAAAGGAAGCCTGAACAGCTATTGTTCTTGAGGATGGGCGAATGACGACCTGACCAATCATTACTTGGGAGTTTGTCATGTGCTGTCATCGAAAGGAACTCAAAAGACTCCCGGAAGTCTCAGTCTCATGTCTGACTATCCTGAATCCGAACAACGACGACCCTGCCCCTTACCAGTCTCGGTTCAAACATCCCGGTAGCGAATGTGAGCATTCTAACATTCAAGAATGAAGCGCCGCAGAGAACCACAATCTGACCTTTGCGATTCCTTGCTCTCCGAACATCCATCTTGAATGTCGCACAAGAAGGAAGAGATCACCAACAGCTTGCTTAAGAAAGGCCACAAGCCGTCATACTTCTAGGTTTGTCAACGCCTTGCCAGAAGATAATAACAACTAAATCTGCACTGTACTCAAGAGACAATAGCAACATGGCTCTCGGCAAGCAAGGAACAAAAAAAGACAGAGTGAGTTGCCATCATAAGGAGAGAGAGAAAAAAAGAGAAGGCAGGCTTACCAATCTATAAGGCGCTTGGTTGAACAGCAGTGTCTGCACACAGAAAGCGATGAAGCAGAGTCAGCACGAGGATTAGTGTCAACTTAGTGAAGGCGCTTTTGAGAGCGCTTCTCCTTGTTTGTCGCACAATCCATCTGCTCAAAGTTCCAATGTTTTACTGGCAGTTATGATTCTAGAAGTCGGGAGCCATCGTCCCCCATTGAGACGCAGGTCTGCAAGGTGCCAAGCGTAAAACACAGAGGAATCCTTGCTCAACGTGCCGCAGGATTAGAGATTGCATGCAATGTCCCCCTTGAATGTAGGCAGACGATGTTTAGTGGAAGGGGCCACAAGTTGGCTGGTCACTTGGCTTCCCAGACGCTAGTGCATTGACTTCTTGACTACCATTGACTGGACCGTGACGTTTCACAGATTCGCCTGTTGCTTGTCTGCCCTATCTATTTGGTCTGCCAACAATCTGAAGCCGAATGTCAGCAAAACTCAAGACGGTGAAGGATGAAACAAGATCGATGATTGGAAGAGCAAACCAGAGGCGGGGCGATACCAGCGAGAGGCTTCTTTCGCAGAAGCCGCCACGCATTACACAAGCACCCGAAACGTATTAATAAAGCGGACACAGAAGCAGATTCTGGGTGTGGACAACAAAATCCAATGTAGATCAGACCCCAACAATTGAAACAGTGATGGATCCAATACTGGGTAGTAAGGCTGTGTATAGGCAAATGCAATCAAAAGTTCATCAAGATGTTGCTGACTGAGGCACTGTGGGAGAGAATGAAACACAAGAACTGGTCACTTAGAAAAGCATTAAGATCTGCCAGAAGGGGGCAACTTGAACTCAAGTGAACCGCTCGATCGGATACACAGTGCAACAAAGTCAATCTGCTCAAATCAAGCCTCTGAGCAGGGCCAGTGCATCCTACAAGTCTCTCGTCTCTTGCTTCCGAAAGTTGTCCCATCCAGACTGTTCAGTGGCAAGTGACACCAGCCTAGGCACATACAAGGACCAAACTCGTGAAGCTTGGGAGGGGAAGATCTGAAGATCCTCGGTGCACAGGCAACCAAGATTCCAAGAAATGTCCATTCTCTAATGGACCAGTCTGTTTGCCTTTGTGTTTATGCAAGTACGAGACGAACCAAGGCAGATGTGCAAACACCACACACCGCAAGCAACAATCAGGAAGCCCCACTTCAAACAACAAACAGAACAGCGTCTTGGATCTGATAAACTTGATGTTGTCTTCCCCAAGGGCTATACTGGCTGAGCAAATGCGCCCAATGTTTGTTCAGTCAGGTCCTACGCCCTCTGACCTTTGCTGCTGATTTCTGAACATCAGGTGTCTGAAAATTTAAGGGATCCCTCAGCAAAAGGAGTTGCACAAAATACGACGAGCCCAGCTGTCACATCAATGCCTGCGCTCGTGCATTCCTCAGCCATTGGTGTGCTAGGCAATGTGTCTGATTATGCCGAGCGATCGTTGTCGCCTCATTGACTTCGAGATCTTTTAAACACGACATGACAATGTCAGAATCTGGATGAAAAGTCAGAATGTTCAGAAAATGTTCCCTCGGCAACAAAAAATTGAATGCCCTCCACAAATCGGCCTCCTTGATTCAAAGATAAAGAAAGGGCTGCCCTCCCCTGACGTAATGCAGACTGCTGCCGGCTGTGCGCTGGAAGCAAGAGCTTCCTGGCGCCACGCATTCCAGAAGCTTGACTCTGCACACAGCAAGACACTGGTGCATCCAGCAGAAAAGCTGATCTTGGAACATCTCATATCATATAAGTGCGGGACGGAGAAAAGTTTTCCCAAAAGCTTTGACGTGACGGGACGGTTAAAAACTTGAAGAAGCAAATCGTGCAGAGTGGAAAGCTTCAAGAGAACGGAAAAGAAGATCGCTCACCACAGCAAGCGCGGCCCAGCCCTTCCGTTTGTTCACCAGCAATTGCCCGCTCTCTTGCTCATACCCGTGCGGGTCCACCCCCACGAGGTCCCAGATTGGATTCAACGCGCTCGTCCGCCAGTAATCGGGCCAGAAAATCGCCCCCGACTCTTTATACTGCGGATACTCAAACAAGTACGTCGGATCCCGGAGCGGCAGGTTGTCATCGTCGAGCAGCAGCACCTCCTCAAAGGAGCTGTGCAGGAGAACCAGCGGCTTGATTGCAAACATGCGCGGGCCGACGTTCGTCTCGACCATCTCGATATCCTTGGCATACTCGAGCAGATCTTTCAGCATGACGTTCTTGTGGCCTGCGAGCCACCCGGCGTGCTCGAAGGGCAGACTCTCCGACGACAGGTGCCAGATTTCGACGGGGAGGTTGCACCCCATGTCGCGTAGCACTCTCAAAAGGACAGGAAGGTTGTTGATCCCCCTGGGACCGCAGGAGATTGCAATGCCCCTCCCGTGATATTTTCCCTCGGGATAGGGAGGTTTTTCCAACGCGACGGTCTGCCAGCGCTGAGTCAGCGCGCTCATATTGCGCCGGACCTCGGGCCAGATGGGAGACGAGTATTTGTTGAAGTAGCAATCCTCGTTTTTCTCAGGGAAGCATTCAAACGGCTCGTCTATAGGGATTGGAGCCTTTCGCCCCACGGCTGCATTTCCAGCACTCTTTGCATCTGCTTTATTGGGCAATGCCTGTGCATCCAGGAGCTGTGTGTACCAGACCAAAGCCGAAATGAGGTGGAGCAGAATGAATCTTTGTACAAACGAGCCCTTTACAGGGCTTTTTCGTGACATTGCTTCAGCGCAACTGCAAGCGTGCCTGTCCAATGATCTTCACTACCAGCATCGACCTATAATGTTGCGAGCTTGGAAGAAACCTAGCAGCAAAGCCGCCGGGTATTCGCGGGAGCCTTGCATCGATTCTTTTAGGGTTGTCACCTCCATTGCGACCAAGAAAGAGCCAACACCGACAGGCAAAAGACAACTTCACCCTCCCTCTCACGTGGTCACACCGCTTGCTAGCCCGCCATCTAAAACTTGAAGGTGAACTCCAAACCTCGCAAGCATGAATGATGCATGTTGCCCTCACAGAGCTTCCTGAATCCTTAGAGCGCTGCGGCACTTCAACTTCAAAGCCAGCATCCGTGCCGTAATTTGCGTGACTGATAGGTTCTTAACCCTGGCGCTCGTAACTGCAGCCGCAGCCACTCAGCTTGATTAGGCAACACTTCTTGTCAGAAACTTTTGGAAAAGCTCACTTTCCCTCGATCAACGACATGCCTGCAGAAATCACCGTCCGATGGATGCCTTAGTGAAGCTGGCTGCCCGTCATATGATGTCCTAAATCCTGGCGGCAATACCAATCATGACGCGTACGGCGTAAAGATGACGTCTGTCGCAGCCCGTACTGTGCAATGTCTAGGTAGGTACGTGCAGTGCGTTTCATGTGGCCATGTGGTCATGTTCATGTGGCCATGTGGCATGTGGTTGTGACTAGGTAGTGCTACCTTATTCGCCATCGTATACCTATGTAAGCGGAGCTCACGTCAGTCAAAGGTAAGGTCACGTCGACCATCATTTGGGGAAGATTACCGTAGGTAAAAAGACACGCCGGCCGCAAGCAGGCTGACCCGGGCAGCCGAGAAAGATCGGGAGTTGCGACTTCAACTGCCTGATCGCAGCACCTAGGCCGGCCAAGAAGCTTCCTAGCCGAAGCTGTGGATCGAAACTTGCCCGGGGCAGGCCGGGGCAGGCCGGGGCGCCTTCCATGTCGTCTCGAACCGGGTAATAAGCGAACCAGTCCGCCCCGTGGCCTCCGGGCGGCTTCTATACGCAGACTCTGCGGGCCGGAAGGTTGAAATTTCCTGCGATGCCTGCATGTCGTCTGTCGGCCAGGTAGGTACCTACCTAGAGGCTAGTAGGTTAGTACTTAGGAACCTACTACCAGTTCCTAAGTAGTAGTAGGTCCTCTCCGACTTTGAAATCAAACGTACGGTAGCTAACCCGAAGGCAAACCCGAAGCCTGAATGCTGCCTGATGCAAAACCATGAAGGCTGACGAGGAGATATGCACCGTTCGATGATTGCAATTTGTGCATCGGATGGTAAGAGCCTTGCCACTGCACAGTGCACACCTGGCCCGAGCTCTGGTCAAGCTAAATAGGTACGTTGCAGATCAGGCACCTTCCAGCAGCCCCCCCCGGGCTAGGGTCCCGATCTCCTTGTCCGCCCTCTGCAGGTGACGACTCGCGTAAGCCGCAGTGATTCTGTGACCAATATCTACGGACTACTCTACAAATCTGCGAAATCGACGGCTGCAAACTGGCGCATAGCTACCGCGCCGCAGCCAAGTCTGACAGTGAAGTCACGACTCACGAAGTTGAAAAGTCAAACACTCGGCTGAGTTGGAGCCCTGGCGCTGCATTGCCATTGCCTTCCATTGTTCGATTTTGGCATTGCTTTGGGCCAGTAAGATTACATCTTTGCATGAACAAAGCTCGCTTCAGTTTCGAATCCAAGAAAGGCGCACTAACTTCTAAGTCACATTTTCTGGTGCAGAACGAAGCGCAAATAGCTTGGACAGCATGGGTCTCGCTAGCAAGCTCAAGGCAAGTGGATACGGGGCCGCAGATGGCTCCATCCCAACCGCGCCCCCTTATCAGCCGCCTCCGCCCCCGCCAGGGTATCAGGGAACTCCTTATGGTCAGCCGCCGCAGAAGGTAGGGGCGTCCAGCGCTCCCTCTCCCGCAGCCCCCGGTTCTTCCCCCTATCCCCCACCCCCCGGCTCTTCTCCGTATCCCCCCCAGCCGGGCTCCTCTCCTTACCCTCAGGCCCCTGGCTCTTCCCCTTACCCCCCACCACCTGGGGCTTCCCCTTACCCCCCACCACCTGGGGCTTCTCCATATCCCCCGCCCGGTGGCTCCTCTGCCTATCCCCCCCCCGCCGGAGCTTCTCCTTACCCTCCACCGCCGGGGAGTTCACCGTACCCCCCTGCAGGACAGCAGCCAGGGAAACCCGCTCAACCGCAAGCAGGACAGTATGGTGCACAGCCAGGTGCGCCGTACTCAGGGCAGCCGCAGACTGTGGGGTCGCAAGGTAAGAAACAGCTTCTTGATTGCATAATTGAGTTCTGGTTTATCTACCTTTTTTGCTAGAAGCTCAAGAGGCCACATCAGTGCAGATGCCAAGTCTCTTCAACATGTTGCTAGGTTGGTTGTCATTGGATTGCGCTAGTGCAATGCTGTAAGAATGCAGTGAGTTGGTGTGCATGGAGTAGGAATGAGTTGTGGAGAATCTTGTTTCCGGAACAACCAGCTAGACAACTTGCATCGATACTCGTATTCTGTCCAGTTTCTGCTGTATTTGTGTCCTTGGTAATATAGCATCCGATCAATCAATGGCGTTTAGGAGTTGGCATTGAAGGAAGTGATGTCGACATGCAGCATTGTACAGGGAGATGTTCATATCGAGAGTTAAGGGTAAGCAGCATAGACAGACATCCGCTTGTCGAGTTCTCGGATGATCGTGGTTGAGATCTGGCGGCGATCACGCACACTTTACCACCTCACCACTCCCGGTCCACTCTCTAAAGATATCATTTCTCTAGCTTAGTGGCTGTGATCGAGACCTGAAGCAGTCTCTTCATTGTTGAATTGACTGGATACAACTGGTTTGGAATCGCTTCCTGACAAATCATAGACCCAATCCCAAGAACTGCAGAGGCACTGCATACCTGTTCATTACAATGCTGCGTCGCACACCGCATAACTACAGCTGTATCTAAACTGCGGGGATGCTCCGAACATAACCCTAAGAACAAACCTTCGCGGACTGGTCTAACCCCTAAACTAAACCCACTTGGCCCGAGGCACTGACCCATCTCAACCTACTTGTAGCTAATCCTGAAATTGATACCTCTGAATCTCACCCCACGTTGCATTCTTGGCAGGTGACGCAGGCGGGGTGCAGGCAAAGCTGCAGAGCATCGTGCAGACAAATGGTCTTCACCAGTTCTATCCGCCGCAGGCGATCCAGGCGCTAGCTCAGAGGATTGCGCAGACCGTCAACTTTGATCAGCTGGCAGCCAAGTGAGGACATCGAAGATCCCTTTTCGTGCATCCTCTTTCTTCTTTTGATTGCTTCTTCGTGTCTGTTTCGAGTGTCAGCCAGAGCTTTCTATCGCCAACAAAGAGTGGGTATGCTGATGCAAATCTTTTAGAGGTGATGAAGGTGTTAAAGGGCAGTTCTGAAATGCACCATTGGAGTATTGGGCTTGTGTGGAGCTTAGACATCCAGGGCGAGTGATTTCGTTTTAATCAGCCCTTCCACCATATCGTTGGTCAGTGAGATTGCTTTAAAAGTTTGTTTCACAGTTCTCGTTGCCTCTACGGCACAACACTGCTGCAAGCTTTGGACCACTCCCGATGATTCCCGATCTTTCTGGTAGGCACAGCTATCGTCAGCAAGTCAGCCGTGGAGTAGCTGTCGTTTGCCATTACCTGGCACCTCTACTCACTCCTACTCAAATTAATGGCCTGTATCTCAAACAGGCGCGCCTGTGTTTTGTTATTTGACTCGTCCTTCAAGGGTGTCCTCCACATCAGACTGTCGTCCTGCGCATGCTGGCACATATTCACTGGCTTTCCAGCACACTGGCTTCGCTTTATATGCAGAACTTTGTTCTCACAAACGTCTCACTTCTTTGTCGCGAGAAATTGAACCTAGATTACAGCCCATTCTCGCTTTCTCTTCCACTCGCTCGTTTCTCCTCACTTGAAGACAGCATGGACTCTCCGATCAATCTACTCCTTCTTAAAGCATCTACTCGCTCACCAATTTCTGCTCTCAGCAAGTCGTTGAATCTCCCCAACCGCCTCGTTCCTCCTCTCAGGTGGCGCATGCCCAAGGAGCTGGCCATCGACCTGGCGGGCCTGGGGCTTTACGACATCATCATTCTCGCCGACGACTCGTCCTCCATGTCTTTTGAAGAACAGGGCGAGCGCATCGACGACCTGAAGCTGATTCTCAACAAGGTCTCGGAGGTGGCGACGCTATTCGACCAGGACGGAATCCAGATCCGCTTCCTCAACTCGCAGGCGCAGGGGAACAACATAAGGTGAAGTCAGGGTTTTGTGAGATTCTGCCAGTCCTCGGCTCTCTCTCAATCCACGTCATGCTCTGGCCTTTGGACGCCAAACCGCCAGACTTGTCGTACGTGGGTGCTCTTTACTCCCGTTCATGCATCTCTCAGATTCGTTGTTAGGGCTGTTCCTTGGACGCAATTCTGCCAGATTCGCATCTCTCCGCAAAGTCGTCTGTCAAGGCCAACTCGTTTGGCGCTTTCAGATTCCACCTGGGTGCTGCATTCTCTGCGCCTCCATTAGACTCGTACCTCCTTTCGTACTCTTTCAGCATCTGGTCATTCTTACAAGACCGCGCAAGAAGGCGTTACATGTGCTGCCGAGACCCTACGGGCCTTTCTGTACTTCCTTAGTACTCGCCTACAGGAATCTTAAGAGGGCATACATGTCCCAAAGTTCCAATCGCTGACTTTTAGGCTGAGTCGTTTACTCGTTTCTCCCGTTTCTTACCAATCTTATTTTCGGAATTGGTAAATGAAAACTGGGCTTGCCTCCTCTGGTAACGGGCTCAGCACAAGAAAGCCTCGATTGGGCATTATTGTACCGGAGAAAGCTTCTGCGAGGAGTTCCTTGGAGCCTTGTCTCATCTCGAGCCACTCTCTGATTGATTCGTCATTCTTGCAGGACGGCTCAAGAGGCCGAGGCATGCGTTGCACAGACTCGTTTCCAGGGCCTGACCCCCCTCGCCGCGAGCATGGAGCGCAACATTTTGCAGCCCCTCGTGTTTGGCCCCGCACAGTCCGGACAGCTGCGAAAGCCCGTGCTAATTGTGACCATCACGGACGGGGAGCCGTCGGACAGTCCGAGAGACGCGATCCTGCAGGTCATCAAGAATGCACGCGCGCGGCTGGCGCAGTTTGGGCCCAAGCCGCTGGCGTTCCAGTTTGCGCAGGTGGGGGGGATTTTCAATCTTCAGGGGTGTCGCTTTCCTGGGCAGCTTGGTTTGGCAGGAGATGAGCGGATGAGTTTGAGACTGTCGCAGTACTTTCATGCAGACTTGGTGCCTCTGCTAGCAGAGTTAGTTGCTCTTTCAGCAAGGGAATTTTACAATCTTGCTCTGGGGGATTTAGGCGCTCAAATCCCTCCAAGAGCTGCTTATGTGAAATTGCTTCTCTTGTAGCTTTTGCTGCTTTCGTCACGGGAGGCTCAGTTCTTTTTCGAGATAGCAGCTGCATTCTGTTTGTGGAAGGGCCTGCGGCTGGTCGCTTCCTACAGTGGCCTCCTACAAAAGCGATAATCGAGATGGCAACCGAGTCGGTTTCCATCCTTGAAACGGAGTTCTTCCTTTGCCTGGTTACTTGCCTCTGCTCAATCGATCATTCACTGCCGACCAGGTTTGACATTTGCAACACGTTCAACAAGTCCCCTTCAGGCGTCCCACAAAGCACCACTTATCTGACTTTTCTACACTCTACAACCCTGCGATTGATTCGGCAAACTGTGTATCAATAGTCCAGACACTGACATGGTCCCCCGCTCGCTTATCTTCTTGCTTGCGCTGATTGGCAGGATTCTCAGCAACTTTAATAGTGCTAGGGATTTGATAGTAATAACGAGACACTGGTTGATAAGTATAAAGACTCAAAACCCAAAATGACTCGCTCCGCACCTAACCCAACCCTAACCCTCGTACTAACCCCACCCGTCATCGTCGAGTTCCTAATCACAGTTAGACTTTATTGCTGCTAAAGCTTTTCTGTCACTCGCAGGTTGGTCGTGACTCCCGAGCCCAAGCGTTCCTGGGTACGCTCGACAAGAACAGGGACGTGGGCGATCTCATTGACTGCACGTCATACTACGAGCTGGAAGCGGAGGAGTTCCGGAAGAAGGGCGTTGACATGACGGTCGAACTATGGTTGGTAAAGATGATGGTCGGAGCAATTGATCCGTCGTATGATGCGGAGGATGAGGGCTAGACGAGGTGGGCGTTGAAAGAAGGATACGGGCAGAGACTGGGTGTGCGAATCTGGGACAACGAAGTGGTTGGAATAGAGAGGACATTGGCGTAGAGAGGACATTGGCGAAGAATTGGGCGGCTATTTGGGAACTGTGAGGAAGAGTGAGTCTGTCAAATAGCGGGTCACTCGTGGAGGATGAATAAACACATAAGCAAGGGGGCAGCATCGTTTTCATGTTTTCCTTTGAACCTAGTACGCGTCATTTCTGAACATTCTTCGTTGTAGGGACAGTCCGTTCCTATCCTGTGTCTTCCTTTTAGATATTGCAAGGTCATGAGTAATAAAGAGAATAAGCTTGATACCAACTTAGCAATACAGTTGTTGCAGCTAAACAGGTTTCAAACCATAACAAAACAATGTATTTGACTACTTGTATCTGCTCTAACATGATGGCGGCTAGTCTCTCTGAAATGTAGAGAAAGGGCCTCCGGAAGTGCACTGATCAATCATGGGACAACCGTTGAACCTGACGGTCCTACCGCGCCGCATATTAAGCGGAACTGTGCGGATCTGCAGGCTCCCCGAAATATGGACTGTCACCTGGGCATCGTGTCAAAACACCTGTGCGATGGCGTCCGGACCTCCGGTTTTCTGAATTTCCTTGGTGGGGCTGGTGGCCGGTTCTCGGAGCTCCCTAGCGAAGAGTGGAGGGGGCTGGTGGCCGGTGCATGCGGTTGAGCATTTTCGACAGCATTTAAAACCCACAAAATGGTCGGAAAGTTTGCCTATAGATAACCGCTCAACCTCGTATACATGTACCAAACCCGGGTTGCCGGCCCCATGCGAGAAGCCGCACATGGGACAAGGCCACACCAACCGACCGGTCTGGGACGAGATGGTCAAACGGCGTTTACCTGACATTGAAGGGTCCAGCCGCATATGTGAACGGGTTATTGCCTTGTACGGCTCTGAGTCGCACACGAGCCCTTTGCAAGTACACTGGTTTGCATTCTAAACCTGGAGTGATTGATTGCAGGCCCCATCCTCGTATATCTATCTAATCTCAATTTATTCTGCGCCGGGGCTTGGGTACCCCTGGTGGCCGGTGTTTTTCGTGTCTTTTTCTGCTCGCACCCCCCTCCCTGGTGGCCGGTTTTTTTCCGGAGGTCCGGACGCCCTTGTACAGGTGTTTTGACACGACATGCCCTGTACACGAGTATAGTGCAGCTAGAACTGAAACTCGAGACTGAATCTCAGAGCATGTCGCGTCTGGCATTGCTTCAAACCGGTTCAATGATTCTATGCAATCATGATCAATTGCATGAAATATAGTATATCCTATAGGGCATGCAGATATATCATGACAATATCTCGTGAGGATCCTGAACTTTCAACGGGATCGTTCCGCAATTACGCTGCAAAAGCTATGCACACGCGCTCTCGCTGCTGCTGGCTGGGAGCGGCATGGCCGACTCCGAGGCTCAGTATATAGTAGTATGTACGCACTGATGCACACAACCACCGTCGCATGCATAAGCATGCATGATGACATTCATTCTATAGAGCTCATGATTCCAAGTCAAATGGGCTAGCTGTATAATATTTGCGCAGCATTCTAGCTGCATATACCGAGCTGACATCAACTGGCAACGTGCGTACCGAGCCTGTTGATCCAAAAAGCTCGATCGAATGACGCTCAATTTCAGCAATGGTCACAAATTGAAAAATTTTCAACACTTTTCAAGTTAAGTTTGCGAACAGAAACTCCGAGGCAGAAACGCGCGGCCTTTCACTCAGGCGAATGCACATTAAAGTTTGCCCTCCGCTTTGTATACTGACTGAAGGACGAACGTACAGGCGGAATTGAAGCAACGGCCGGACTGGCTTAAAACGCTCCCGGTGCCTGAACCAGACTTATATTAAGCAGACAGACTCTTGTGTCAGAAGTGAGTCAGGTCTCGCAGTCACGGTTGCACAATCCGAAACATTGGCTCAGATGTTTTGGCGTCGATTCATTGCCAGTGCGCACGCCCTCTTCCCATCTCGTGGATTGCCAGCCTCACAGAGCGGGGGAAGTGGTATTCGTCCAGCAGCGTCCGTGCTGCTGACCGGAACGGAATTCCGTCCGGAAGCTGCGGGTACCCTTCCAGCAGCTCCTCCAGATCGGCGCGGCTCTCAGCCTACGTACAGAATTGGCTGAGCGGTCAGGTTTGTAAAAGTTGCGCGTCAGCATGACGGGGTCAGCAATGATTAGCGTCACCGATCCACGGCATGTGGGACTCCGAAAGACGCCGTCACAGACAGTCCTTCCAAAGGAAGAGCACCTCAAATGTCTCACTGACACCCAACCAGACGCTCGTGTTGTCTGCCAGCGCAATGATCGCTTTTGGGGTCGATGTTAACGAACTTATCGATGCCAAGTGGATATAACTCGACTGCACGAGTGGTTCTATGAAGCGATTAGCGCCGAAAGGAGCATGTCTGAGTATAAGGCCGAGAGCGGTTGAAAACTTGCCCCCCTGAATCTTGATTATCTGAAATTGTTAGAAATGAGTATAAAAGCAAGCAGAATATGCATTCAAAAACTTGAAGCACTGCAAAAATTAAACGTCAGAAAAAGGTAACCTCTCTGAAAATTTAAGATTCTGACAGGCATCAAAGTAAGTGCTTAATGTTTGAGGTTTAAGGTAAGGTTGGAGTTGAGGGGTTAAGATTCAGGACCCACCGCCGTTACGGGATTACACAAGCCGTTCAGCAGTGCCACTGCTTTCTTTTCTTCCCGGACCTCGGTCGGTTCATGGGCGGCGCCGGCGCCTGTTCCGCACGTCCGCTGTTCCGTTCCGTTCACGCCTGCGGTGCCTGAGGATTCCCTCGAGAATCCTCCTATTTCCGCAGAAGCTCCAATCTTAGGAACGGCAGACTCTCCGTCTCGAGAAAGCTCATTCTGTTCTCCGCTAGACATTTCCAAGGGTGGGGCGACCATCGCAGCCGTCGCTTTGCTTGACGGGTCGCCCTCTCTTCCTTCTAAACCATCTTCAGGAAAGATCTTTGCAGCTCGACTCCTGCCTTCCATAGTTGCTTCTCGAAGCGTCACGCGATACCGGCTTGCGCAATCTAGCGCGCGATCCGAGGGCAAAGAAAAGAGGATGCTGGTGGCTTTTGGGAGGCAAATACAAGCCGGCAAGTCCATTCCTTCAACCCCTTCTTCCTCGTATTGCACGGCTGATCCCAGCTGCCCCAATGCGTCCTCTGCTCTGTCCGACGATTTTCTTTCGGAGGCCGTGGAACGAGCTTCCGCCGGAACGGCGGGGATCTCTTTTGATTTCGAAACCCCAAAGAGCTGGTCGTAGAACGCAGTCTCCGTTTCGGCGTTGGGAATCGGCTCCTTCAGAAACCCGCCCAAGCTCTCGACGGAGCTGTCCGAATCCCACCGGTCAGGAATGCTCTCGGACGTCCCAACTTCGCTCCCGTTCGAAGCGTCGAATAAGCTGCCGTACAACGGTCCAGAGTTCTTTTCGATCCCGCAATTTCCTCGATCCTTGTCCGCTCGTGTAACCCACTGCCGGGCCTTTAACCACGTCCTAACCTCCGGGCTTGCCGCTGCTAGCGTCAACGCCTGTAGAAACGTCCCCCTAAGGCCCAGATTCCCAACCGCCCCTCTAACCCCCCTTTCCAGGTTTGCTAAACCCCCCGTTTCGATCACGTATACCGCGGCCGCGCCGCCGCGGGCCGCCACGTGTCCCAAGCTCCATGCCGCGCCTCGTCGATCTCCCCCCCCAGATTCGAGCAACTTCGCCGCCGCGGTTCGCAACACGTGGCACGACTTCAGAACCTCCAAACCCTGCGCGCTCGCGGCAAGCGCGCCTAGAAAGTGCCGCGGCAAGCGTTCCTCCGAACTGGCTCCCTCAAACCCTGGGTTGAAGTCTGGGTCGCGAAGGGAGGTTTGGGCTGACGAGGGGTTTGGGGTTTGGCGCAGCAGGGTTTGGAAGATTGCGCGCTCGGCGAGGCGCGCGTACGCGGCCGCGCCGCCCGTGGAGTCGTTGTTCGTCCAACTCTGCAACGTGGTGGAAAACCAACGGGAGTCCTGCGAGAGAAAGTGCGAGTTTCTGCAAAACCAGTCAACCGGATTAGTATCGCTTGTGGTGACTCAATCCCGTCCAGCAACGGAGTCGAGAACCATTTGGAGCCCCTATGGAATCAACTTGCGATTCGAAAGGATATGCTACCGTCCTCATTCGCGTTTGTAATCTCTGCTTTGAAAACCCATGTCCTTACCACAATTTCAAAATCGACAGACGGTTTTGTTAAGCCCTTTGATCTCAACCCCACACTCTAATTTGAAACCTTCCCAGAATAGCATCCCCCCTCCGCTAAAAGTAACTTCGACGATCGAGTTCAGATCGAATGCATCTGCCTGACTCACCTTCAGAAACTCGAACCCTGCGTCCGACGCCAGCACCGCCAGGACCAGCGCGTCCCCCTCGACCAACAGCCCCTCGACACGTGGCACGAGAGACACTAAAAGCTCCGTGAAACCCTGCAGCCCCGCGCAGCCGCTCTCCAACGCGTCCGACGCCCGTTTCCGTACGCTCGCGTCGCCGTCCGAAAGTTGCGTCAGCAACCGCTGCATCAGCCAGCGCTCGAAAGGCGCGGCCGGGGCCGCGGCCGTGGCTGCCGCGTGCGACGGGCGCGCAGCCTCGAAGCGCGCGCGCAGGAGGCGCGCTGCGTGCGTTACGGCAAAGGCGCGCGCGGATGGGGAATGCGGGTTGGTCATGGCGGCGGTCAGAAGCTGCGACGAAAGTTTGTGGAGTCTGCAGAAGTCTTCTCTGTTTTGGAGAATGACGGACGAACTGAGTGACACCCCAGCTCAATAGCAAGGTATGCGTGTCTAATCATCGCTGAAACCAATCAAATCTTTGGGAAAATCGATGTCCCGAATGCGTAGCCGAAGACTGACTTCTTACTGTTCTTGGAACACGAGGTTCGAATCATCGTGCAGGCTTTGATGACTTTGTTACAAGTCACAGGCAGCGGCCAAAGGAGAACATGGAAGACACTCGGTCCTGAGATTGTGACATGTTCGGACATGGCACAACTTGGGAAAGCTGAAAGCAAGCACAGCAAGGCTTCTCCTTTAGATATGGATTCAAGATACTCGCTACCGGAAGGCAACGTGTCATCGCAATAACATCTGGTGCAGAGCATTGAGACTCAGACTCCAGTAAGAGCACGTTCTGAAAGTGTTTAGCTTGATTAGAAAAATCACCATTTCAACCATCAGGAGAAGATTCTGTTCGGACGTCCGGACTCTTACCTGTCTCTGGTCGCCGTCCGTTCCGAAATTGATGAGCTGGAGGAGCAGCTTCTGGAAAGAAAAGCTGCGGGAAGGAATCACAATCGAAGATTTTGAACAAACGGTCAGATGACACTTCGTCTCACCGCCAGCCATGGAAAAACAACGAAGACTTAGAGGTTCGAAGAAAGGCCGGCTTGATGCTTATGCACAGAGGGGCGCAAGCTCCTTTCAACTACTAGTCGACTCCGATGATCATTTTCTGTCACAAAGATTGATCTGATCATGCAATTAACCCCTTGTCTTGGGACGTACAGAACGGACGCTTTACCTTTTCTGGGATGCTGATAAATCCAGCCTCTCAACACACAAAATTAGATGCTCCAAAACTTTCCGTCTCTTTTTCCATCTACTAGATTGATCCAGTAATCGCGCCGGAGCCTCAAATTACTCTTCCTAATGTCCCTTTGACTACAGTTTCTGCCTCTCACCTCCCGTTCCCAGAAAGGAGCGCCTTCACACTGGCCAGAACGCCCGCCTTCTCTAGCAGGAGATTGCCCCGCTCGTTTCCCGTCAGTGACGTCAGCATCAGGGCCAGGAACTGAGGCGCCAGGGTTCTGCGGAGGTTTTCGCGGCTGAAGAGCGGCTTCGAATCGCGGCCGGTGTGCGCGAGCTCCGCGCGCAGTCCACTCGCGAGCGCTTCGAGGAGCTGCAAAAGGCGATATCAGAGTGAGAAAGTCCCAGATATCCCTGGACACGACGAGCAACAATGTAGCAATAGGAATCCATGAGGAAATCAATCTTCTTCGTGGTTTCAGACGAAGAAGCGGTTAAAGCTTGGAATCTGAAAAGGTCTGGATTTCGGCGTTGACGAGTTCTGTCGCAGGGTTCTACGTGCATACCAGACAGGACCTTGGGTTTTGGAATAATCGACGGAAGGCGTGTAAAAGACGAGTCTGAACGCGCTCCAATTTCTTCTGACGAAACATGTCCTATACGAATGTTTTGGAGCGGGGCTCGAAAGGTATTGAAAGTTAGGGAGAGAGCGATCTAGGAAGCAAGTATGGCATGAACATCCCCGCTGCCCTTTTTGTCTGTTCCAGTTGCAGCTCAACAGAGCACGATGCAGATCCGAAAGCTCTCGAGAAACAAGAGCAACTCTTTTCCTGACTTTTGGAAATCATTCGAAGCACGCCAACCGTCGACTTGTCTCATTTGGTACTCCTTCTGAAATTAGTCGAGTGTCCGTCTCTATTCCATGTTCGTTGAACGGAGCGTTTGAACGGCGAGCAACTCCCCTCGTTTACAGAGGGTTGCTCACAAACTGGATCTTACAGGTACTTGCTGCTGGACGAAGTGGTTTGAGCACTTATAAGGCCAACACGTAAAGAAGCCGATCGATTTGAGCAAATGGCCTGGCGAAAATGGTCATACCTTGCGAGTACCGCATAGCTTACAGAAAGTTCATCGCTTACCAGGCACTCCTGCTTGCTCTTCTTGCTCCCCCGCCCGCTCAGATACGCGCAGCCCTCGTCCGTCTCCAACAGTGCCGCTACTAGTTCTCGCCCGACATCCAAGCACCGCCCCGGTTCCTCCCCAGGGGAAAGCCCCGGGAGGCGCTTCGCAAAGAATCCGGTCAGCCGTTTCAGAAACTTACTGCCGTGAGAGAATTTTCCGGGACCGTTTCTCAACGGACCAGAGACTATGGTCCGGATGACGTCCCAATCCCACTTCAGCCACTCCTTCGACCGTTTTTCGACCACTCCCGAGGCTCTCATCAGCGTTTCCCGGTCTTCGGCGTCCCATTCTGGGACCGTAAAGCCGGCCGGGGGAGTCAACCGGGTGCTGTCCAGAGTGGAGATTGTGGCTTTGACGCCGATGCTGTCCAGGCCGGAGAAGGAGGCCGTTTCGGAGGCGTCGTCGAGCGGCTTCGTTGGGAGGCGGTATTGGGCGGGCAAAGAGTGAGCGGACCGCAAACCGCGGGTTTTCTGCAGAAGGTTTCGGTAACCGTCCGCGCTGTGGCGACCGGAGTCACTATGACCTAGGATCGGCCTCGAGGAAGTCATGCTCTCCTTTGAGCTGGAAAACGTTTCCAACCAGAGGAGCGAGGTTTCGTCTGCTATCCTTTTCTGGGTAGATTTTGATTTACCCAGACCGGCTTCTGTTTGGCTGATGACGTCGCCGACAAAGTCCACCGCAGTCTCCGAGCTTTCCCGCAACACGCTCGGCAGAAGCGCCGCCGACAATCTCTCCACGTGGCACAACAACCGCAGTGCCGTGTGTCCATTTGCCGCTGCTTTCTGTCTTCCGTTTTCCGCCGGATCGGAATCCGTTTGCAGGGTTAGGTCGTGGAGCGCGGACGGAAGACCCGCGGCGTTGATGGCGCATAAGAGGACAGAAAGGTACGTACCGACAGGAGTTTGGGCTGGGTTTAAGAGAAGGGTTTGGGAGGGGGAGGTTTGGAAGACGAGGCCGGCGAAAACTGCGAGGATGGAAGCTGCAAGACAAAGTAACAAAGCGTGTTCGGAACTGGGTCGCTCTAACTCTATCTTGAAAGCAAGGTCCGTTGAGTTCTGTTTCTTGTTGTCGCAAGGTGACTCAAACGCTCGAAGGCGGTAGGCCCCTAAACTTTGAAATAGGACGAGGGAACGAAAGGAACGCTTTTCCTTCTGAACCACGACGACGTACTTCTGACGTTCGAAAGACCCTCAATAGAAGCGACCAAAGGAAGGGTGGGACGTTTCTTTCCCTTTCTCAAAGGCAAAGCGGTTATCATGTATGTCTTTCAAACAGCGGTCGAGTGTGCTTTTCATGCAGGTCGAGTGTGCTTTTCATGGAGGCAACATTCTGCTGATCAGTTTCCAGATGGTTGAATGGCAGTCAAGCTATATTTAACAAGAACATTGCTCACGCATTAGCAACTTTGGTGCGCTCACCTTTCACAAGCTGGCTCTTGGTAACTCGCAGGGCCACCACCAAGTCTCCGAGCAGCGACCGGTTCGAATCCGTTCCGTCCGTTCCGTCCGTTCCGCCGTTCCGTTTTCCGGCTTCCGTTCCCCGTCTTCCGTCCCTCATCCCCCCGAGCAGAAACAGCCCGCTCCAGCTCCTCGCCACTGCCAGCAAGGCCTCTCCGCTCGCCCTCAGAGTCCGCTCTAGTTCCCTTTCCGCTCCCTTCTCACCGGAAATCCGCTTCGTCTCGATCGCGGCGTCCAGGAAGGGCGACACCAGCGGCGCCAGAACGCTCGAAGGGCCCTGTGAAGCGGCCTTGCGGCAGGCGGGGTCGCTCAAAAGGAGTGCGATCGCGGCCGCGATCGTTAGCCGCAGGGCCTCGCCATCCCCCGGGCACTCCTGGAGGCCACGCAAGAGTGCGGAAAGCCCTCGGCTTTGGGCGACCAGAAGCGCTCCCTCGTGCCCGGTTGATATTAACGCGATCAGAAGCCCGGTCGCTTCCCACTTCGGCCCGGGGGGTCTCTCCTCAGGCCTGCTTTGTACCCCCCAGACGTGGACAATTTCAGCGGCTTTTGGATTTGCGTTTCCTTTCTGCCGCGAAACCTCTGAACTCTTTCTGGTTGAGCCGAGCTCCGTTTCGGGGGGGTCACTTTGGAAGGACCCCTGCTTCGACCGACTGAGTGCTGGCGACCTTTCTCCCCCCTGGTGGTTGACACTGCCTTCACTGCTCCTCGCTGCTCTGCCCTCAGACCCGGCTTCAGTGTCAGTCCAATCACCCCTCCCTGAGCTTTTGACACTCGCATTCCGGCTCCTAGAGTCTTTTTCCTCTGACCAGTTGCCATTCGTGTCACTCCAAGCACTCCAGTGCCTGCTTTGAGACGACTCCGTCCCTTCTGACCCAGAAATCTGCTCTGCGCTGCCAGAACCATATAATCGGCTGGCTAACAGAGCCCCGTCTGTTGACCCGTTCCTAACCACGTCCGTATCTGCACGGCTAGCCGAAGTACTTCTCGCCGCCTCAGTCGCTGACGTGTCAGATGCTGACGTGTCACTTGCATAGCTTACGACGCTCAGTCCGCTACCCCCCCGGCTCCGAGACCCCTCTTCCAATCGGCTCCCAGTAGGAGACCCGTTGCGAGAGGCATGCTTGACACCAAAGCTTGATTCTCTTGACACTTTCATTGAAGGCCCTATTTCGTCCCAATCGTCGAACGCGTCCGGTGTCAATCGCTGTCCTGTCGCGTGTTCCACCGTCTCCGCAGCTTTTCGAGGCCCTGTTTCGGGGCTGGCGACATCCAAACAGCCCGTTCCAGAAGCCGAAGCCAATGCCACCACTGCGTTCAACAGGGCCTTCGGGAGATCGAGTCCAGAAGCTATAAGCTTCCTCACAACATACAGGGCCTCGTGACACTCCAGATCTCCACCAATGCCATCAATTGCCGCTACTAAAAGTCTGGTCATAAAGCAAGGGAGACCCGATTCTAGCTTGGTACCGGCGTCTATGCACAGCCCGAATGAGAACCAGCCCGCTGTTCGAACCCAGGCTAGGGGGGAGGACAGAAGGTTCTGGATTGGGAGGAGGGGAAGGGGTGAGACGGTAATGGGGACTGATTCTGAAGGAGGATAATGTGGACCCGGTTTCAGAACTAGGTGGTCTCCTTCACTAGAAGCACTAGAGACTGAGGACCTGTTTGCAAGATCCACCCTTGCATCTTTGCTGAGCCCCTGTGTCTGCGCGCTAAAACTTTGTGCACAATCTTGAGGCGCGTTGCTTTGCTCTCCACCCAAAGGGTTTCCAAGAGCAGCGCTGCTACTAACGAAGTTGGGGTCTGCAAAGAGCTCCCTGAGACTGACGTCTAGAGTTTCAAGCGCCTGGCGTGCTTCTGCTGCCTGGTCGGGGGAGAGCTCTGCAACAGTGTGGCTTGCCAGATCTGCACAGGCGTCTGCAGAACAGTGAAAATGTACGTTACATCAGCAGATGCGAGAAGGTTTTTTTGGCTGCTCAATGCGGGGTTTCATGACCTGCAGAGAGTCGCGGAAGCCAAAGGCAGCAAAGAAGCAATTAGATTATAACGTCCATTACATATAACACAAGTGATGTGTATTGCACACAAAGCACGAGATATGGAGCACTTGAGGATGTTGCTGACAGCTGATCAGTATATGACAGACTGTTGATCCTGGACATGTGGTGCGGTCAACTCACTACCTCAAATCAATTATCGGATTCTTGTTTTTGTGGATCTGCACCCTATCAAAGTAAGAGTTCTGCGAGTAGGACCCTGAAGGGGGTTCTGCCTTTTGTCCCAGTTGGAAACGGAGCAGCTGCATAGAACTTTAGCATTTCATGTCTGGCCTTGAAATCCTCCACCTTGCGCTTTTGGACCTGATTTTCAAACCAGAAAAAGACTCGACCTGGTACACACCATGCAGGGACTGCAAAACGATTAGAAGCTGTGAGAAGCTGCATTGCTATGAAGCATTGAAAAGGAATCCCACTTACATGCATTCTTGAGGTTTTTCCCTTGCAAACTTATTCTTACCTTGAAATTGCACCCACGTCGCACCACACTCCATCACGTCCGCCAACATTGTTGCGTGACTGGTTCCTAGCTGGTTGGCCTCCACGCTAAAGCTTTACACTACATCTTCTATTTAGGGGAGCTAGGGCTTCACTCAAGCGTCAGTGCTTTCGGAAGAGCTACCAAGGCAGTGTCAGAATAAGCAAGATCCGTCAATACGTCTTTGCTGGCCCCAGAGCCTTGAAGTGCAGCTCTTGCAGGACGGAAAAGAACTCGCAGCTAGCAGCAGCCATCTGCTGAGCCAATGACCATTGTCGCGACTTCATAAGAAAAAGCAAGGCTCCACATGTATATGCCGCTCACTACGTGCAGACATCTGATTACTTAGGTAAGCTTCTCATGCCTCTTGATCAGCATCAAAACAAGATATTGAGAAGAGGCTACGGATCACTCTGACGGAGGCGCTCAGACTCCGAGTCAGCGTGCTGTTGTTTCTTTGACTCCGCAACTTCAAGGGACAGTGGAAGACGAAGCGTCGTTTCGGCCAAGGTTGCCGGCTCAGTTCGAAAAGTCGTTGGAAATCGAACGTAACGCTGGACCTCGTTTCCAGGCTGTCGTTACAGACGACGACAGCTACTGCGCGCGCTCCAGTATGCAGGGTGATCCCCCTGAAGGCAAGCAGGGCCGGGTGCAATGGCATGAGATCGGATAGCTCAGCACGTCCTGCTACAGTCTATATGCTAGTAGCTAGCTCGAGCCTATGCAGTTGATATGAGTCTGTGGCGCCTCTCTTCATTTCCGAGCTCAACTTATTATGGCACGCATCCGAAGGCTAGGGGCGGGGTCCGCTAGGGGACTAACGACTCATGCGGCTACTAACTCCGAGTGATCGGGTATACCTACTTCCATGCTCAGTGGCATGTGAGCGGACGTTTGCCGCCTGCCAGGCGGCAATATGGGCAATATATATTTTCAATGTTCTTGAATCAGGCCATGATTGAACACCGAATATATGTTCATATGTTCAATCAGGCTGACTGAACACCAAAATTTCATAAAAATAACATACCGCGCAAATTTGTGCACTCATGGAGGACGGTAGTGAAACAAAGTCAGTGAGGAGCCCGGATCGATAAGGTCTTTTGTTCACACCATGCACTGCATGCATGCCCAGCTTTCACGTGAATGAGTAACCCGGCGAATACACTGTGTGAAAGACATATGCAACTAGATAGTGTTGGGCTTGACATACTTCTGTGCTCAAAGTTGCTGATATGGTTGTTTAGAGTAAGGCCTTTGTTCTCAAGACGATCTTCTCACCATGACCAAGCCGTTGCTCTAGATGCTTCTTAGACAAAACGAAGTTGGTGAAAAGGACGGTATAATAAAAAACAACAACAATCACCTAAAAAACCTTCCTTATCTTTATGTATACTATATCCATTTTCACCCCTCCTACATATCTTTCTCAAGGTGGCCTCAAACGACCTCAGAAAAGCCTTATCAAGCGGTTAGGCATTGACAAAAAGGGTCAACCAGTCTTTACTCAATATGCATTATCTATGCTTCATCCTCGGCATCATAAGAGTCGTCGAATGCTCCAACCATCATCTTCACCAACCACAGCTCGACAGTCATGTCAATCCCTTTCCGCTTGAACTCTTCTGCCTCTAGCTCGTAGTAGGATGTGCAGTCAATGACGTCGCCAATGTCTGCATTCTTGTCAAGCTTGGCCAGGAACGCCTGAGCGCGCTGATCTCGGCCGACCTGGACCGAATCAAGAAAGCAACTTGCTGAGTCACCTAGAAGTCCCGAGGCAGTAATGTCTCAAACCCCAAGGGGAAGGAAGTAGAGGCCGAGTCTTTCAAAGCTCGGAGATGCGTTGATTCACTGAACAGGGAACCTTTCTTAAGAACACGTTGCGCCGCTCGAGTGGCTTAGGCAAACTTCAAAATGGCTTCCCCAATCGCCCAATCAGCAAGAGGGGTTCGGACTTACACAGATGAGACCAGATGAAGTTGAAAGAGGCGGACTAGCTGAAAAGACGATAAAGGCAGGAGGTGGCATGCATAGAAGACGGTCAAACAACCAATGAATAAACGTACGAAATAGCAGGTGAGGTTAGCACTCACTTGGGCAAACTGGAACACGACGGCGCACTTCCCGTACTGTGGTGCCAGGCGCGCACGCGCATTGCGGATGACCTGTAGGATCGCATCTTTGGGACTGTCCGACGGCTCCCCGTCCGTGATGGTAATCACTAGAACGGGCTTGCGCAGCTGTCCGGACTGAGCGGGGCCGAACACGAGGGGCTGCAGCACGTTGCGCTCCATGCTTGCTGCTAGAGGAGTGAGCCCCTGGAATTGGGTCTTGGCAACACATGTGTTGGCTTCTTGCGCAGTCCTGCAGAGGATGAGGGAGGTTGCATCGGACCGCAGCTCGGGGAAATCAGTTTAACAAGTGGGGTCTTTTGAAAAAGTTGTGCACCAAGGGTGCAAAAGCAATCCCTGCTCTTCAACCTGCTATTTGTGATGCAGTGGATGATGGCCCCATGGCTGGAACATCAGTAATTGCTTGCCAAGATTGCATGTCAGACTGATAGCTCCACTAACAACATGCGTGCATAACTCAAGACCCTGCCAAAAGCTTCGTTTGCTGTACCAGTCAGTCAATCCAGTGGAGTTCTAACTCAAAAAGCTGGTTCTACACATACCTGATGTTGTTCCCCTGCGCCTGCGAGTTCAGGAAGCGGATCGTGATCCCGTCCTGATCAAACATCGTCGCAACCTCTGCGACTCGGTTGAGGATCATCTTGAGATCGTCAATGCGCTCGCCCTGTTCCTCAAACGACATGGAGGAAGAGTCGTCCGCCAGGATCACGATGTCAAACAGCGCCAAACCCGCCAGGTCAATGGCCAACTCTTTGGGCATACGCCACCTGCAAAGTCAAGTGTACAATTGAGTAACGGATTGCAGACCTACTGTACTACTAAAAAGTGCATTACAGAGTGAAATTGCTGTTTTGCTTTCACAAACAGCCCCTTGCTGTTACCACTCCTTCCAATGATGACTCATTCTCACCCCATCCGAGAATATTTCATAGGAAGCTGATCCAAAGCTGGATGTTTCCAAGGACCAGGCAATATAGACAATGGCAAGAGACCTCCTACAAAGCTAAGTCATGATGCGGGCCACAGGATTAGAAACTCCGGAAAGAAACAACAATTCAGCACAGCTTTTTTCATGTGACGGTATGTCATCATTTTTCAAAACTGGATTCTGGAAGCTGGTTCAAGCATAATCAATGTGGGAAATCCCCTATTTAGGTCCTCATGATAAACACAATTGCTGAGTCGCTTTTCAAAGGCTAATTTGTGGGGAATGTCAGGAGGTCACTGTGAAGGGAGACTTGAAGAGGACGATTGAGCAACTCAACCAATCCCTTCAGCTGAACGCGAACCTTGTGAAGTTGACACAGGGGTTTCAGATGAGGCCAGAGGTTGATCGACCACAGGAGGTTAACAGTGAATGAGAGACCGTGACAGATGGTCAACACCACTAGGTGATGTGCACTTCAATTCAAAAATAGTACTTGTCAAGGAGTCCACGCCGATCAACATATTGTACTGACATTTCATCAGATGTTGAAATCAATCTAGAAGCATCTCAAAAGATCCGAGCCAAACATTTAAGGGGCAACCAGAAAATAGCAACACCTTACTTGGATGCCAGTTGATCAAAGTTGACGGTCTGCGTAATCCTCTGGGCCAGCGCCTGGACGGCTTGTGGAGGATAGAAGCGGTCCAATTGGTTCTCACGCACGACGTGCTGCAGTTTGGCCTCAACCGCCCCAGCTGCACCTGCACAGAAAAGCATGAGGTCAGCATGAGACTGGCACACACAGGTGACGTAAAGTCTACAATGAAATATCTGAAGAATGGATCCCTGGAATCATTTGCATCATTAGAAAATTCAAGGTTAGTTTGCATCGCGATGTGCTTTGGGTGCATTTTGAATTGCAGAGTGCTTCAGCGTCTTTGAAGAGAACGCCGTAGCATTTATGGCAGCAGACTGGGCAGCAGACTGGTGTGATGCTCATCAACAGTGCCATCACCAATTTGAACAAAACGAAAGCCAATGACCACAATCAAGCAGAGAAAGCTCCCTTGCATTATTGTTTCTAGCATTTTGCAACAGCATTGACTAGCAAAGAAGGGGCACCGGTCAACTTCTATCCATGTAGTCAAATCTGACCTCAATAGGACCAAATTTTGGCTGGATTCAGCTCTTAATTGGGAAATGGTAGATGTTCTCTGCAGTGAAGTAGTCAACAAATGCATGCGATATTTGCAAAAGAACTCAAGGAGAAAAGGCCAGGAAGAACAAAACAAATGCATGCATGCATACATATCAGCCAGAATTGCATCCTAACCGTGGAAGCAAAGCTGCATTTCGCAAACAATGACTGCCTGCATTTGAACAGCATATCGTCAGGTACGGCACCTTGCATTCCACTTTGGGGGGGGTACTGGCTCTGCTGGCCCGGCGCCCCTGGATAACCCCCGGGAACTCCCTGGCCTGGAGCCGGAGGATAGCCATAACCTCCTGCAGGTGGTGGGTAGGGCGACGATCCAGGGGCAGGGGGGTAAGGCGAGGAGCCTCCAGGAGGTGGATAAGGAGAGCTGCCTCCCGGCGGAGGATACGGAGATGACCCCTGCTTGGGGGGAGCGCTACCGCCAGGTGGAGGGTATGGAGAAGCACCGGGAGGGGGTGGGTAAGGAGACGCGCCACCTGGGGGAGGATAGGGAGACGACCCTGAGGGAGGATAAGGGGATTGCCCTGGAGGAGGGGGATATGGGGATTGTCCCGAAGGGGGGGGGTATGGAGATGCACCCGGTTGCTGACCGTATGGGCCCGGGGCTGAGCCCTGCTGGGGATACGGTGCTGGGTACGGGGTTGCAGAAGCACCTCCCTGAGGCGGGGGAGCCCCGGCGGGAGCTCCGTAGCCTTCGGGACCTGTGTAACCCTGCGCTTTCAACTTGCTTGCAAGCCCCATTGCGAGTGCCTGCTACAAATTGCTTGTGATACTTAGAAGTCTGATCTTAGAGAGCTGTAGGCGCGAGCAGAACAAAATGGAAGGCAAAGAAAGCTCTCTTTGCTCAGTCTTCGCTGCGGATCCTGAAAATGCAGCGCTCTCCGGTTGATTACGTTGAAGTCCAGAAGTGGAACTTGAAGATGGAAGGGAAAAGGATGACACCTCGCGAGCTCACCTGGACTCTGCCTCAGGCTCTGGAATCTTTGAAGAGCGCACCCTGCAGTAGTCCCTCAGGCTCTCGTTCTGCATGTTGACTTTTCAAAAGCCCGTGCATCATGTGGTCATGTCATTGTTAAGATACCGGTACCGTAGGTACGCGGTACCTTCCGCCGAGACCCGGACGGTGACCTGGGTGGCGTACCGTGACATTATCGGTAGGTACGTACGGTATACCGTATAAAGGTACCTACCTGCGGTATTAATTAGGTATTACCCAGCGTTAAGATTGGTGTCCCCTCTCAGGTAAAAAGACACCCAATGGCCGGAATGGACCCCCAAAAGGGGTCGTCGGGGTGTCCGAAAGACACCCATTTGGCCAAGTCAGGGGGTCCCAAGGACACCCAATCGTCATACCAAGGTCCCAGTTTCAACCCCCAGCTACAGGGCAGGGGGCTAAATCCACTTCATAATCTCTGATATATACTGATTACTTTCCTGTTCCAACTTATCAGACCCTTTAACACTCAGCGGTCGAAGTGCTTTGGTGTCTTGTGACGGGCTACTATAGGTAGGTAGTCGGTACATTCCTATTTTGGGTACTGAAAAGATGTCCTGGGGCTAAAATTGGTGTGACCACTGGTTGAGGGGCATGATACAGGGCAAAGTGTGCACCGACGCAAGTTGGACGCCCAAAGGGGCCTTGAAAGACGTCCTCGCTAGGACACCCGGTGACACCCAATCAAGCACCCCGGGGTGTCCAAAAGACGCCCAATGACACACCCATGGGTGTCCCGGGACTCCCAATTCAAAAAGTTATGCTTAACACTGGTATTACCGTACCTATGTACCTCCCACGGTACGTACCTCTCGCTTCTCTGGCTGAAGAATGTCAATGATGCGAAAAGGTCAAAGAACGGAGATGCAAAAGGTTCACGCGCAAGGTGCGTTTGTATTTAATACAATTTGACACCCCGGGCACTCTTCTATCCTCGGTGACGGTCTACAACTCTTGGGTTAGGTAGCCGGACAACAACAAAGTGGTTTCTGAGGGTCAGCTCGATCACGGTGAAAGCTTCCGAGCTGACACTGTACCTACCGTAGACCGTACTGTCAGCTTCGGTTTTGGGGCTTCAGTGCCATTTGCTTGTTCAGAACCCCGTTTGGAAGTACTTCGATAACTCTCGTATGACCTAAGAGCCGTGTGACCTAAGATAGGCACCCGGGGGACGGGTGGGGTTGGTATGGTGGTTAGGGTGGGTTGGGGTGCGGAGCGGGTGACTATTTGGGTTAGGTGTTTTAGTTTGAAGTGCCCGGGTAAACTGTATCTTAGGTCACACGCCCGTTAGGTCACACGAGAGTTACCGGTATTTTGGAAGTTGATTTGAGAAAAGGTTACTGTTCGGTCATGTAGGAAGGCTGACTGCTAAGGTCGTCTCTACCCGAAGGAGCAGCATACAAGGTCGCTCGGTGCTTTTGTCTTGGATGACGCGTTCCCGCACTCGCGACGATGGGATTACCTACAATCTAGGACTATCGGCAATCTGACGGCCCACAGTGCCAGCCTAGGCAACACTTGGCTAGTAACACTTTTACAATTCCGTACTTTGTACCACTTGAGTCAAGGATACCTACCTATGTAACATGTATGCAACAGTCGTAAGAAGTTACAGTACCAAGGGCCTATTGAAAAGTCGGTACATCGGATGGTAACGTGTGTGGCGCAACAAGGTAACATCGTTACATGTCTCACATTCTGCGCGCGCACCAGTCTGAGGTCTTCTGAAAGCAAAGCACATGCGAAGCCTTGACGTACCTACTGCCGCATCCTGAGACAAGAAATTCTCATGTGGTGTACAGTGAAGACTATGATACGTGAGAACTCACTGGACATCGACCAGCTTTGAAGAAACAGGTTTGTTCTTTGAGGCGGGCTGAATATTTGCTAGAGCTAGCTGCTTGCAGCTCAGCTTGAAGCTTTGCGTGCTCCGCGCCATTCTCTAGCTTGCCAGGAGTCAGCCAGGATGGGCTGAATATTTCGAACGTCTTTTGAAGAAGAAAAGCAATCAGGTCGTGCTGGGCTGAAACCAAGGATATAAAGCACACCAGCAGACCATAATCCAAGGTGTTGAGTCGGTGAACTGCTCAGAATAAGGGGACGTGCTTCAGCTTGAGCAGGACTGCAAACAAAAAAGCACGTTGCTTTGGACATTCGCTGTACCGGGCATCATTTTCCTGGGCCTGACAGGAGCTGAAATACTTTTCTTAGGTTTAGGAGCAGCTGGAAACGAGCTCAAGTGCGGCGTAGCCAAACGTGGCAATGGCAGAGGACACCACTCTAAAGTTTGCAAAAATCGCAGAGTAAGTCTGTTGACAACGTGCTGCCTAGAGGATGCAAGAGGCACAAGAGGATGCAATCAGAGGCAACTGAGCTGTCATTTAGATATCCCCAGCTCGCTCAATGCTTCTTCTCAACGTTGCAAAACCGCATGCCTTTACACTATGAGAAACCGGCTGAAAGTGGTCTTCTTAGAGACCGGTGCCGCACCTGAGTCGCTTCTCTTTTGTTGGGCGGCCTGGGTTCTGAACAGAACAGACCTGTCTATCGTTTAGTTTCTTTCTGAACTGAAGGGGAGAAACAATGGCATCCGAACGCAGCTTCTCAAGAGAGTTGCATCTAGCTCGAATGCTTACATAAATAGAAAGTGCTCCGGCAAGCAGCACAGATGCATCATCATACTGCTTGAAAGAAGGTTTGTGGCTGATTGCTTGAAACTGACCGCAGGTCTGAGCGGAAGTCTGCGGCATTGCTGGAAATGAAGCAACGGTATGATAAGCTGGTGGAAGAAAACAAGCTCTTGCTGGAGGAAAGAGAGGCCAGCCAACAGGAGACGGTAAGCTGCAATGCAGCTGCTCCTTGAACCCAATAAAGCTATTTAGAGGTAATTGAAGAGTATCTCGAAGGAAACGAGTCAATTACGGTCGCCCCTTCCTTTTGTGTGTTCGCCAGTTACGCTTTTGTGACACAACCTGTTGAACGGCACCGCAGATCGTCGGATCAAGAGTTTTCTAAAACTTCGACCAACCCCGCAGCCATCTAACAACCATTTCGAACCTTGCATTTGTCTGGTCTCAGGAGAGAATTAGACAAATCTTACTTACTCACATGCAATGCCTCACATGCAAGGTACTAGCAGCACAGTGCCATTCATGCTTCTGGAGCAGTGCCAAATGGCCTCAGCATTGAGCCATCCCACCGTTAAATCTCGAAAACTCTTCAGATAGTCTGCGAGTTGTAAACGACTCCGACCAAAAGACAGACGACTCTCCGAAGCAGAACTAACCAGCCGCTGTTGCATGTTGCAGTACGAGGTGGCTGAGTACCTGAGAAAAGAACTGGCCAGAAAGAATGATCGTAACAAGGAGCTCGAGGCTCACCTAGAGGAGGTAAGAAAGTTACCATGAAAACACCACCACCAAAGCTAACGCAACCCGCTTCGCCGCAAATAAAAGGTGTTAGATACCTCGTGCCTATCTCCTTGGCGATCGTATGTATTGACGTCTCCGAACTCTTGTCAAGATGCAGAACGCATGGCGAGGCTTGATTCTTTTCTGCACGGAGGTGCCTCCTTGAAATCCTTCACCAGGTGGCATGACGTCAGCATGATGTCAGCTCGTTTCATGACACTCGCAGCAAGACCGGAGGCTCCAGCTCATCCGGCAAGAGTGCCAAGCGGAGTCGCAGCGCCAGTTGGATGCCACGACGCGCGAGTACGAAATCACTTTGCATGGGCTGAAGACAGAACTAGAGGTGTTCCAACTGGAAGCCGCAAAGGCGAGGCTTCGCCAGGCCAGGTAATTGAGAAATGGATGGGTCGTTCCCATGTATCAAACTGCAAATCAATATGCTCGCTGCTTACAAGACGAAGGTGCAGGCCACAGACTAGGAGAATGGATGCGTTCTGCTTACCGGAATGGAATGATTGACTGAGCTGTAGGGAAAGAGATGCAACTTTTCAGGGGAGTTTGAAAAGATAGAAAGAACGGCAAAGAGAACAGACCTCGAGGGTGATGAAGGCAGAGTTCGGGAACACAGGATGTGTCCTTTGCGGAAACCGCTTAGGAATGGGCTGTTAGTCCTTTCATTCCGGGAGGCAACCACGGGAGGTGCTTCTTGCCCTGGCCTTGCTCGAGAGCACAACAAAAAGCTACGCGTAAAAGTGGGCACAGACAGAGGGATTCGCTGACTGCTGCTTTGTCCCGATTTTCAATATTGAACAAAGGATCCTGCTTCATTCGTCGTTCATGACGTGTTTCAGATTGCTTCAACTTTCGGCTCTTTCGTGGCTCTTTGCGATTGGCAATCATCGTTCAGAATGTGAACCCGCTTTCTCATATGCTTCCACTGCCCATGTCGTTCCTTTCACGTTTGATTACCCAACTATACGGATACGCTGCCTTATCTTTCGCTCCGCCTGAGCTGACGCACCGGCTGACACTCTTCAGGAGCACGACGCCCCCGACAAATCCGGAAGAGGTTCCCAAGGACGACAAAGTGAGCGTGGAAGAGCTGGCGGCGCTGGAGCGGAAGTTTATAGAGCAGCAGGTGGCGCTGCGCAAGGAGTACGAGCAGCGCGTCGAGGAGCTCAAGCGCAAATTTGAGGAGGATGTGGACGAGAGGATGGTGCGAAATCAATCTGTTCTACCGTCTTTTCTTTCCTTGTCACACCCACTCACTCCGATGATTTGCTCGACCTAGTCCTGGGCCTTTTCTAAATCTTCCTCTTCTTTGCACACCGTACTCGCTTTCACGTCTTGCTCAATACGCTAGTGGGTCTTCTTGCCTGGCAATTATGTCTGCTTCGTTGCTCATCGAATCCGAGTTTCCTCATCTGTCGTCCACGTCTGTGTTGCTTGCTGTCTTTCTCGCTTAGAGTTGAAGTTGCCAAATCAGCGCCCGTGATCAAAGCGCATTGATTGAGGAGGATGTCGACGAGGAAATGGTGCAGACTCGCTTTCTTCTGTTTATTTGACTGGCTGATCAATGCGCTGCCTTGACTTCGGCGCTTCGTATTCCTTCAGAACTCTAGGGTAGCTCCAGGTTTGCGGTTCCGGGAAATATGATCAGACTACAAGCCGTTCGGCTGTTGGGCAGGCCGCAGATCAAAAGCTCCACTAGCGCCTTTTGAATCCGCCAGAGCTGTTAGACAGATTGAGGATTCTGCGAAGGTGCTGACGTTGACGTTGTTCTGTATCATTCAGCTGCAGAATGTTTTATCTCGAAGGAACCCTCTAATGGGGAGTAGAGCATTGTAGAAGTCTGTTCTAATACCGTCCCCCTAATAAGCGCACCGTCCTTATGATATCGTCAAAGCTGCGTCTGATTGTGGTTCCTTCAATCTGCAGGACTCTTCGGTTAAGCGCATGTTGCAAACCAACCAGCACATGAAGGACGAGCTTCAACTTCACAAAGAGGAAACGGCGCTGCTGCTGTGTAACAGAAGAACCTTCTTTTCCCGTCCATGCTTTCCATCCCTTCGCCACCCACGAAAGCTCTGATTAGCTTTTGCAGGACTCATCATTGAAGCGCACTTTATGAACCAATCAACGCATGTAAGGACGACATCCAGTTCGTACAGGCGAATCGGCGTCCCTTCAGCCTAAGAACGGCTCTCCTCCTCATTGAAATCCCTTCGAGCACCTTACCTGAAGCTTACGTACTTAGGACATAAAAAGTTCCGTCGTTTCGATCGCAGGACTCTTCGGTCAAGCGCATTTTGCAGACTAACCAGCGCATGAAGGACGAACTGCAACTGCATATGGAGGAAACGGCGTCGCTGCAGCGCGAAAACAGCGCGCTCGCGGGCGAGAACAAGCGGCTCGCGCGTGAGGTGGAGCTGCGCGCGCAGAGGGAGGCCGAGTTCGCGAAGCGGGGGAGCAAGCAAGCGCGGGACGTCAAGGAAACGACGGCGAAGGTGAGGCTCTGTAAATGTGCAAAGTGGAGGCTCAGGAGGCGCGAGGATTGAACCAATGAGCTGCTCAAAAGGATCTTGAATGAGCTGAGACAACGGTTATGTGGCGGTGTTGAGTTTGCAGCTCAACATAGGGCGTAAAACTAGGAGTAAAATAATGGAGGTTCTGTATAATTTCTGTTTTGTTGAGTGTTGCAAACAGAACAACACCCAAAACATTCATTGACGAGAAGGGTGGGTGCACGAAATAGCAGCTGAGCAGAATAGCAGCTGAGCGGAATATCAAGAATGCCAGGAGGACAATTGAAACGTTGAGGAACATCTTCTCAAGATGATGGCTTCTGTCGCTTGCAGAGACCTCAGAAGCACTGTCGTGTACGTTGAACCATGACAGCGGTTCCCGGGATCGAACAAGCGCTTAAGAAAGTTTTGGGTTGAGTAAGCTTGGGCCATGTCGTTCAGCAACACAATGCAAGCCCCCTGTTGCCATCTCCCTCTTTGCTCAAACTGAGCTAAACCGGAAAATAAGATAGCGAGTATCATTAGAGCAGGAATAGACTCTCACGGAATACTGGCATGGTTCCAAGTCGGAAGGGAAGGACAAACAAGGCAAAAATAGCTTAGCCTTGCGCATGTCTGTGCGATTCTCAGAAGGCGTCAGAAGCCAACTCAGGAGGCTTAAAAAAGTTCCGAAGATGGTAAGTCGCAACGGGCAGTGTACAGGAAAGAACCGAGCCTTCTGCGTGCTCGCATTGCCGCCCTTTAGAAGACATTGAAATTTGACTTCGTCTGCAGGTTCGGAGTCTCGAGAAGAGTTTGGGTCAAGTGGTGGGCGATTTTGAGATGGAGCGGCAGCGGTGGGAGGCGCGGCGACGCGAGGAGGCCGCGCAAACCAAGGTAGAAGCCGACGGGTTACGGCGGCTGGTCGCCCTCAAGACCAAGGAACTGAAGAACATCAGGAAACTGGCGCAGGTAAGTGGCAGAAACAGCGATCAAGAGGTTGCGGACAAGGCCTGGTTCTCTCTTTCTTATTTTTTGTCGCTTTTGGATAAGCCGGAAAACCAAGGTAGAAGCCGTCGGGTTCCGGCGACTGGTCGCCCTCATAACTAAGGAACTGAAGAATATTATAAATCTGGCGCAGGTAAGCGGCAGAAATGCGACCCGGAGATCGGATGCGGCTGCGGCTTGGTTCTGCGCTTCTGCTTCGTGACGCTTTCTGTTGAGCTGTAGCATTGCACTTTTACTTTAAGATACGCCGATATAGAATGCATTGCAGCAAGGAAAGCATCGAGAAGGAAGATGCACCGAATTTGCGGAATGTGGTTGAAACTTCAACTCGCGAAGACGTACAACGAGCTCGAACTGATTGAAGGTGGATTTTTTACATTGGTCAACCGGTTCGTCCACTTTCGACCTTCTTGCAAGATAGGATAAGGAGAACAAACGAGAGGGATTTCTTGCCTCTCATGAGATGCTCAAAAGACTCTGATTGAGATGGTGACATCATCCCCCTCCCCGCAGGACGTCATCCGGCAACGCGGTGACGTAGAGCACTTCCTCATCTCGTCCATTGAGTACGTCAAGGCGCAGATTGCCTTCGAGAAAATGGATGGCAAGGAGAACGGCGCCCCCGCGATCGCGGCCGCGTCAGCGCCTTCAAAACCCTCAAATACACCCTCCGTGCGAGTGCAAGATTCGACGAGCACGGTGGGCAGTAACGGGTCACACGGCGCTCAGAAAAGGAGCGGGTTAAAAGGGGCTAAGGGGCAAAGCCATGGGGAAATGGAAGTCAACAAGCTCCCGGATATTAGGCCACAGGTTCCGCTTCCGGTCGAGGCAGCGGAAAGCAGCGGCGGAATAAACGGGGGCTCCTCTTCAACCCGGGTGGCTTTAGAAGAGGAAGCAGAGTTACCGACGAATCGCAGCAACGAAGTTTCCGAGGGACTGTTGCGAGCGGTCGAGGATATGACGTCAGCGAAGCGGCGCTCGGAGGAGCCACGTGTCGCGTTCTCACAGGCTGCTTCCGACCGGTCCCACGGGCGCGTTTCGAACGTCGAAGAGGACGTAGCGGTCGCTGGCAAGAGCCTGGATCGACGGCGGAAGCCGCGGGTGGACATTTCGGAGCTGACGTGGGCGGACCGGGAGAAAGTTCTAAGGTTATTGTTTGCGAGGATAAACAGCGCGTATCAGCCATCGTATTTTGGGGCGCCGCCCCCGGTGGAGCAGGAAGACAGCCAGAGTTGGACACGTGGACCAACGAGCGTACTGGGCAGGCCGGATATGGTGTAGTGACGGTGTAACGGGCGGCCTGGTCATCGCCATTGTTATGACAGATCAGGCTATTCCACTTCATGGAAAGTCTCTGGCAACGGGCAAAGTTAATCCGGAACGATGCAGTGTGCACACTACGCTAGCATACGTCTTGCGAAGGCGAGGTTTGCGTCAAGGCGCGTGCTGTTGGATGTACAAAGCAAGATATCTGTTGCGTCCGATTGATTTTGAACGGAACGAGGACATTTCAAGCTGGGCCTGGCCGGGCGTGTGCGTATCCTCAGAATCAGGTCATAAACTTGTCTGCGGTCCATGGCTCAACGAATGACCATGAGAACGTGCAAACCAGTGACCGTGGCGCTGCAGAAGTGTATGCAGCGCCTGGCACGGTAATGAGATTAAAGCATCGCGGGCGTATGTATCTACCCATCAGGTCTAGCTGCACCGCGCTACAAGTCGTTACGTATTGCCAGCTAAACATCAACGTGCCGTCTGAACAATCTACTCAGTGCGCTCCAGTCAGGCCTGTATCTTCGAGTCTGGTCTGCCTTGCACAGTCAGTACCGTCGCACGCTTCTAGAGCTGGGGCTCTGACCCAACCGTCGTTTTCCTGTGTGCCCAGAATCGGCAGGATGTGTCAAAACAAAAGCTCGGGAACGCGGGCGACGCCCTCGCTCTAAATATACGAGAAGGTATCGCCAGCACATGCATGATAGAGCCGATCGCTTTTGCGGTTGGCAGGCCCGGAAACCCCGCCGGGTCGATCATCCCAGAGCGCGCGGGCTGGACCTTGGGGGCTCCCCCCATCGATCGACGGTTCCGACAAATATTACGTTTCCGGTGCCGGGGCCCGGGGCCGGGCGATCAGGCTCGAGCTTGCAAGCACGCGAGCGGCCCTTCACTAGCTGCATGACAGAAGCCTGCACTGATCAATGATGCAGTTCCGTGCAGCTAGCTAATCTAATTCATCCAATATGGACTCGATGAAGAGCCTGAACCGTCATAGGCCATACCAAGTCAATCAGCTAGAACTCCGCTGGCACAGTTCAAAGGACGGTGCCGGCAGAAGTAGCACTGCAGATTCAATGGAACAAGCCTAGCTGAAGACGTACAAGCAATGTTGCTGGAAATAGCCGCCACTGGCACGAGATTGCTTGATTCTTTCGTCGGGAATCAATTTATAAGCACCATGAGCTGGCAAATCACTTACGAGTGCAGTCCCTCGAGGGGGTATGCCTATAGCATTCAGTCGCAGTTGCAATGATGGTTCAATACAATTCGTGAAAGACGCGTACTGAAAACAAACACATGGAAGTACAAGTCGGCATGCAGCTAGCACAATTGGAAACTCTCTAGTTATGGTCCAGCGAGCAATAAAAGCAACCGTTCTGGCCAGCCTTCAATTCTGGCACACTTTACAAGCGTTTCGCTTGTCGTCCCACCCCTATCTCTTAAAGGTACTCTTCTGCTTATTTGTCTTCCTTTGCCTAACCCACCCAACCCCTACCTTCAAACACAACCGTTTTACCTGTGTCTATTCAGATTCCGAGTCGTCGGTCTCGTCAGCGAGTCCCGACCGCACGGGATCAAAATTATCCAACTCGTTCAACAGATCCAGTCCCAGATCAAACTCGCCTACCGCGTCCCTATGCTGCCCTAGCTTATGCTCCCGAGGGCTTGCCCCGACCGAAGAAAACAAGTGGGCGGCCGATGCATCTACAGAGTCGTACAATGAATTGCTATAAGACCTAGAGGGACCGCTGAATCCCTTCAAGTTCGGAGATAGCCCGAAGCTGCGGTTGTCTTCGTTTTTCTCCACCTGTTGGGGAATGGGCTCCCCTTTACCTGACACGTTTTCCACCTCGAGACTCGAGTAATTTGGCACAGCATCGATAGACTCTGCAAAGAGATTAGTAGGCAGTCAGCAATTAAAAAAAATCCACTTTGGCCTACTCTTCACACTTCTTCACAACACCCCGCCTGCGATGCAATGAACTTGGCGAATACGATGATGAGCTCCCACTTAGCAGCCAGGACCCTTCGATAAAACAAAAGCCAGAACAAAAGCTTCCCTTATTTACTGGTGGTTTGCAGGCGGCTTGGCAGTGTACACTCAAGCTGAAGATCCAAAAAGTTGGTCCCCTTTCAAACTCCTAGACCTGCACCTACTTCTTGTGAACCCCACAAAATGCTGTCAGCGACCGAAGAAAAGGACATCTGCCGGACTTGCTGCCTACCTGCTCTCATTGCAGCCTGCTGCGCTCCTTCCCTGTTCCGGGGACTCCCCCCTCCTTGTAAACCCTTTCCCATAACCTTCTTAACCCCTTGTCTCACAACGTCCTCAAACGCTGCTCGCTGCCCTCGTCGTGCACAATCTTCCGGGCCCCCACTGCTTTCAGATCCGCTGCCATGTTGGCCCTGGGGCCGGTTATGGCAAACCGCCAGATTAACCCTTAATCGTGACCCTCCTCCGAAGCGAGGCGAGCTCCTTCCTTCACTGTTTTTGGGAGACGCACTGCCATATCCCCAGTTTTCAGGAGCAACTCCGATCGCTATCCCTTCCCGAAGTTCGTCCTCAACCGAACCTCTAACTAGCGCCGGAAGCGTAGGCCCAGTGTCCCTAACCCCAGATCGATGACTAACCCGTTCTCCGACCACACCTTCGGCCTTCCCTGCTTCTAGCCGTTCGTCTGCGGACTCAGCCCCCCTTGCCCCCGTCCGGATACCGGTTTCCTTAACCCGCTCCTCAACCCCTGCCAATTTCTCACCCTCGCCCAGTTCCGCCGCTCCGTCCTCCCCCTGAAGCCCCCTCCCGCTAACCGTTTCCTTAACCTCGTCCGCTTCCTTTCCCAGCGCATGCCCATCTGACCCAGTTCTCTGAGCCGCGAACTCATCCGCCGGTTCCAAACCCAGATCCTTAACCCCGCCCGTAATCCCAATCTCTTCTCCCTCCACCTCCCCAACCTCCTCCAAGTCACCAAACTCGCTCGGAAACAAGGTCGAGAACAACCGGGGGACTCTACCGGTCTTCACCAGGTTGACGCTCCGTTTCTTCTTGGGGGGGCCCCCTTCGCCGAAGCCCAAGAATGGTCGCTTCTTCCACTGCGCTTTGGCTGCCAAAGGAGGAAAAGACCGCTTTTAGAGGCAGAAACTACATAACCTGGTGACGCCACTTCAATAGATGAACGCTGATTTGAAAGGGAAAGCAGACTAGAGCTACAGCTGGAGAAAGAGCCGCTCGCGCATTGCTCGAACTGGCCAATGCGTTTGAATTGCACGTTCTCAAAACGCAGTCGAGAAACCTGACCTAGTCTATAGCGTCTTCCGTAGTATCTACATGCAACCTACGCCAATTTTCGGGTCATGCGCCCGAGCACTCTCAAGTTTCTTAAGTTCAGTCTTACTGCAAGTCTTTCAGAGCAGTGTCCCCTCGCCAAGATAGTCCATTGCCGCGCTATCTCCTCGACTTTCGCTTGAAATCGAGTATGCCCACTTCAGATCTATGCACGGTTAGTAGATTACAGAGGCAAAGAACAGACCTCTTGCGGACTTCGCACCAGCTTATCAGGCCAGCACTCCAAACCCCTGAGCCTACAGATCCTATTTATATCACTCATTTGTAGGATCACACCCGACGGAGACAAATGAGACCCTTACCCGCATCTCTCCGGTTGAGAGCTTCCAGCTTCGCCAGCACGATCCGCTTCTCCTGATCAATCACTTCTTGGACCAGTGCCAGCTCCTTGGTGCTGTGTCGCATCAGAAGCCGCCCCAGCAGGATCTGCAAAAACGTACCGGAAAGCGATTGAGCACAAGAAAACCATTCACCTTATCTGCAGTCTCTAGTCTGAAATTCAGACCTGAAACAAACGTACACAAGTAAGCAAAGTGAATGAACAAAGGCTACTTTTTTACCGAAGACCTTGAGGAAGTCCTTAAGCAACGCTGTTGTTTTCACTCCAGGAGGGTTACTAATGAAGAATACCCGTTCCTTTCTACGTTGCAACCACGACCCAAATGGTCTCATGCAGAACCTCACCTCCGCTTCCTCCCGTCCCGTCGCGGCCACCGCTGCGACGGCCGCCGTAATGTCCACGCTGCAGAGGCTCTCCAGGTCTAGTTCCGGACACACCCTCTCCACCTGCGCCGATGGAGCGAGCATAAGCCAGATGGAACGAGCGGAAGCTATGATGAAACGAGCATACGCTTAATGCAATTCCGCCGCACTTTTAAAAAAGCGATGGCCCTGCTCATCTTGAACACCGGAATGGTCGAACCCGAAACCTTCATCTGATGAGAGTGCCAGACGGCTCACACCAAGATGCTCAACAATCATCATGCCCAAAGCTTCCAAGTGGAATCCACGCACATCGGGCTTTCAAGATTCTTAACCCGGGGTTGGCATCGTGTATGGAACGCAAGAAACCCACCTGCGCCAAGAGCTCCTCCTCGCTAGGCTCAGCTCCGCCCATGACCTCGAGAACCTTTAGATTTCCCCGATCGTCCTCGATATACTCCTTGTTGGCCACAAGCGTCTTGTACTTTTGCGCCTTCTCGATGCGCTTTTGAGACAGGAAATGTGGGTCCAACTCGTGAAGCGGTAGCTTGGCGCGCTTGGCAGGGGGAAGGTCGTACTGCAAAAGAAAGAGCGGAGGAAGTGAGAAGGAGCGTTCCAACGGAAGGTTTTGGTGACGGGATACAGATGGGGCGGGGGGGTGAACGGAGGTGGAAAAGGGGCCTATTGAAGGGGGGGCGAGCAGAATGAAGCATGTTTGCGGGGGAACTCAATGATACAGCCATTTTGAGGGAGAATGGGGAGGAGCACGATTTGGGCGTATGATTTTGGTCAGAGAGGCGGTGTCTTCTTCAGGTGACTCCTGTGAAAAGCCCCGTCAATGTTCTCATAGTTGAGTAGTCGTCTCTCCCCATTCTGCATGTGAGCTTTTTACGAACTTGTGGAGAAAGCTTCCCTTGGTCCAAGACAAACGGGCTGGCACCGCTGATTCAAAACCATTTGGTGGGCAGAACTGCGTCGCAGAGCTTTGGAAGAACGACTTTACATTGGACAACTTTGAGAAAGACAGAGATGACCAGAGCTGTCGGCTTTGAGCGATTTGTACAACGAAGCGGTCAGAGGTCTCAATCGGGCGCTCCTTCTTTATCAATGACAATGATAGATCTAAACACGTGCAACTGCTTAATATGTAAGGGGCGTGCTTCCTCGATACAATGCTGCGTCGCTTATCATAGATAGAGACAGTCTGCTGACCTCATCGCTGTCGTAATCGTCGTCATCCATCTGGAAAGAGAGGGCTGGCTTGCGTGCCGATGTGTACAGTTGGCCTATGATAGACTGCGAAGGTGAAACGGCCGGATCACAAATGTTAGTGCTACTTTTAAGCAGAAGAGGTAGGGTTTTTCAAAAGCATCAGCGGTTATGGCTGAGAGAGGCTTCGTCTCCCATTCCAGAATAACGACGACGATGTTCTAATGAGATGACCATTGGCGGGCTTGATTGCAATCGGTATCTCCGTTGAAGTTATGAAGAGCTCGAGGCGAGTTGCATGATTCTGTTCAAGAGTCGAAACGGAAGGGACGGGAGAACTCGCAAGAGATGTAAGGCAAGCCCACGGAAGGAAAAATAAATGGATCCCTCTAAGGGCGACGAGCTTTCGAAAAACTTTACCCGGTCCCCTGAAAACCAGAAAAAGCTTGTTCTTATTTGGAAGACAGCGAATCAATCACCATGACAACTGGCTCCTTTGTAAAGGTCAACCCACAAGGCGCTCATGCCTATGAACAACCCCGACGGATTATTGAAATGGACGCAAACCCTTGTCTGATAGAAATTCAAAAGAGGAGTTGGGAACCCACCCCAGCAGCCCCTCTTGCATCCTTGAGCGCTCTCTCCAGTCTCTTTGCAGCCAGGTTCTTCGTCTTCTTATGTACAAGCAGCCCGGTTGCGCCTAGGCCGTATGCGTCCATGCCCTTCCCCGCTAGAAACACGGCCTGCTTCTTCAGTTTTGCGCCCTTCACTTTGGCTTTTGGCCTCCTTCCTGCTGCATCAAGAATTTGGATTGAGCTGGGGTCAAAGTGGTATTGTGGGTCAGATCCTGGAGCGTCCATACCTTATCCTCCTTCCTGCTGTACCAGAACTGCCTCTTACAGTAGGGTCAAAGCGAAAAGTAGTAGGTCGAACGTTATTCCTTCTTCCTGCTGGACCAAAAGCCCACGTTGAGGAGGGTCAAAGCATGATGAAGACAGCTTATTGAGCCTTTTGATATCAAAGTTACAGCAGACCCAATTTGTAGGCCCTTCCTTTCTTGTGCCAGCTCCAGAGGAGAATCCTAATGAGAGTTGATATAAAGAGACCCAAATGCCGCTGTAAGCAGTGGCCGAACGCCCACAGAGCATCACAGTCACCTTTGGCGGACTAAGATTCAGGATGCTCGTTTGAGCCAAAGCACGAGCTTCTCGGGTGCACAGGCCGGTTGACAAGGTCACAGGGACCATGGAGTCTCTTCCATCGTTTCTATATCCATAGCTTGAATGTGCGTCACACATATCGTTAAACGCAGCTAAATACACCCCCGCACTATTGCTCCTTTTCGTGAGCATCATAGCAAGCCCGCGTGCGTGTGCGATATGATGGCAGAACGGGCTTCCTAATGACTTTACTGATCAAGGGGGTTTGCGGCCGTTCTTTATCCTACAAGCTATCTATTCATCTGTATGCATCATCTTGTTGAGTATCTGGTAGGCTAGAGTCGAATCATGCATGGGCCTTCGTCCACCCACCTTCTTTCGGCCTCTTGATACCCCCCGCGCCGGCCACCTTGACCCTACCCCCCTGCGGTGGCAGCGGATCAGATCCCTCGGGAGACGGGAACGCCTTCTTCCACTGCTTCTCATGCCCGTCCCAATTCCGCTGATGGTGTTCGCAATACTGCGGAAGACACGGTTCCAGGTTATAGAAGCTGAGTAAGAGCCAGACTATAGCAGCTGAGCAAGAGCCGACAAAGTGGTTTACCCAGGTGACAAAGAAGATAGGATTCGCTGAACCGTCCCGTTATACGGAACTCATCCACGATAGCCTTGCGGGTTGAAGTAGACATCTGGAGGACTCAAGGCTCAACTTTTGTTTGGCACCAAAAGCTGTTGCGCTGAAAGGGACACAGCTAGCCGCCTGAGAAAGCAGGGTTAACCCTCCAAAGACCTTTGCTACTCCTCGAACATTGGAGCGCTACCTATTGAGTTTATAACGGCGGGCCTAACCGCGACGACTTCCTAAATTTCCGAGTACTTGCAAAACGGACTTTTGCACTGAACACCCTGCCCCAACTTGGTCAGTTCTGGCCTTTGATGGAACGACTATGTCAAGTGCACTATATGCAGATTACGAAGGGCTTGGCACAATATTGACCTCTGCCTGACGGTTGAACGACCATCTCTGACGTGGACAGCTTCAAAATGCTTACCTGGTAGCCTGGCGCCTTCCTTAGTTTGCATCGCCAGCCCCTCCCGTTCGACTTCACACACCGGTCCCTTTCCGGCACGCTCAGCAGCTTCTGAGGCGTGCTCTTCGCGTCTGCCCTCTCGGCATTGCCCCCAAAGCCCCTCTCCTCATCCAAACCCACATCAGACCCCCCCGCATTCGTTTCGTCCCACCGACCCTCAAACTTTCTTTCTTCGTCCCCCCTCCCCGAACTTGGCCCCACGCTCCGCTCGTCGTCGCTGATGTCAGCGCTGACCCTGGCAAGGAATCCCAGATTGACCACTGGCCGGCGTTCCGTTCGCGTCCGAGTCCCTGTTGGGCTGACTTGACCCGGGTTCCACAACGGGGGGCTGAAGTCTCTGCCAGCTGACCCCCACGGTTGAGGAGAGGGAGAACCCCTGGGGCTTTCGGCACTTGGCGCACCCCCCCTGATGCGAAGGACCTCGGCCGCGACTTGGACGCTCGCACCCTGAAGGGACACGGAAGTAACCGCGAAACTCACAGGAGGGGGTTTGCTAGCCTCTGGAGGAACTTCCGCAGCACCATTCCGAACGACTGGCTCGACACCTGCTAGCGACTCCTGACCCTCCAAGCTCCGTGCACTTTCTACTATGCTTCTGTTGCTGGATCCAAGACCAGTTCCTTGGCTTTTTTCGGCTCCCTCCCTTTTTGCGGCGGCCCTCAACCCTCCCTGGTTTACCCCTAACCCTGGGTTTCCCACAGCAGTTTCCCCCTGGTTTCCAACCAACCCAAGGCTAACCTGCCCCCCGGTCTGAGCCCCGCCTCTCTCCTGAACGGCTTCTTCCCCTTCGGTCCTGATCCTTTTCCTCGACCCCTCCTCGACCGCCCCTTTTTCCTCACCATTTCCAACAGCCGCTGCGTTCCCCTCTTTTGCCGTAACCACTCCTTCTTTTCTCACCTCCAAACTGACCTCCTTTCCTTCCGGTGTCTTCTCAGCCCCAACCGTCTTTTTCAAACTTCCGTCCGCTCCCTTCTCACTCCCCCGCTGTTTCTTCTCATCTGAAAGGGCCTCAAGCGATCGGTACTGGAGCCGCGTTTCTTCCCCGGACTCCTTCAAGCGAACGGTGTACCAACCATTGAGGCCCTCATGCACAATGACCGCTTCCTTGCCCACGAAATGGGGGGGCGTGCGCTTGTTCCCCTTGACGCGCACGCGGTCGTGCAGCTTGTAGGGAAAGACGTACGCCTTCTGCTCAGGCTCCTGCAGAAAGGGTTATCTACTTAACCCTTGGGTTGATTAGCTCTGAAACCAATGGACAGTGGTTGTAAGGCTTGCTTGTGTAGACATGGCTTCTCCTTTCAAGCCAACCCAACCGTTGACAATCGTTTTTGTGCCAGGATACCAGAGGCAGGGCTTAGAGTCCATGTACTCGCACAAGAGGATGCGAAAGCCAGCACACACCCATTCTTGAAAGGGGGTTTGGAAGCAAGGATGGTGATGCATAAAGAAGAACAAGGATTTGAGAGGAAGGACCAATGACAAGTGCTACAAGCTCATGGATGTAGGAGCACTGCGGGCACATAGAGTAGTGCACTTGAAGCGGACTGGGTGCCTCCATATGGTTGCAACGAGGTTGAAGCCCTGAACACCCTTCGTTGCTCTGTCAGTAGACTTTCTTGCTTCTAGTTGGAAAGTGGTTATTGCAGTCCTCAAGCCACTTCTCACACATCGGTTCTGCTTACTCTGATGAAAGGCAGCGTCCCTCGGGCTGGGTCCCCGTCTCTGCCCCTCTTCAGCCCCAGGCTCTCTTCAGCTTGGAACGCGGCAGCTGCCGCCCTGACCGCCAGGTTAGGGATCAACCGTCCAGGGTCAATCGGAACCCCGCAAGCGCCGCACGTGCCCTGGGGAAAGAGTACCCAATGGTCAGGCTCATCTCAAGACTTGCTAATTATTCAAGAAGAGTATGTGAAAAATATCTGGCGATTGCGAACACTGAGGCTGGAAGCTTATTAAGGATCTAAGGAGTGGAAGACAAGAGGAGCTGGGGAGAAATGCTGAACAGATTGAAGCATTTGTTGTGCTATGTTCCTGCTGACAGGACAGGCGCTACTGATCCGCAGCACTTTGCAAATGGAGCCTAGCACCCAAGAAGACCAGAACGATCTAGAGACTGAATCTTCCATTGCTCCAAAGTTGCTGCATTGAGAACTTTACCCCTTCCCCAAGTTCAGTCCCGAGACCAGCTTCCTCAGAAAATGAAGCATTCCCCCTCCGACCGTATCGCCTGCTTCATCAGTGCTTCGCAAGCTCCTCAGCTAAGGTCTTCGCTGAGACTTCACATCCAAACGTCGAAACCAAGAGAAGGACAATCAAAGCTCAAATCACGTGGAACAACAGAGCTAAAATGATTGACACAAGCGAATTTCATCACTCCCGCAAGGAAGCTGAGGCCACCATCAGAGAAAGCATGCCACTAAAGAGCAGGATCAGTGGATCTCTCACCACAGCTAAGACTCTCTGAAGACTGGCCCCGCCAAATGTGTGGCCGCAATCTGATGTCACAGCATCCAACAGCAGGGTGCCACCTGTCCTGTCACTGAGAGCTGCTCTCAGGGGGTTGTTCACCATCTGGGGGGGCACATTCAGTGGTGTCTCTGGCCCCTGCTGGACAATGCTCTTGTAGGGGGGCACAATGTGGGGGAACTCCACCCCCTGCTGGAGTGTGCCGCTCTGGGGGCCCAGCATCTGTGGCATCTCAGGCCCCTGTTGGAGGATGCTCCTGGGCGAGATGGCGCCCTGCTTGTTACTTCCCTGTGGTTGCTTGCTTGGAGAGGGAACCCCCGGTACCACTACAGTGGCAGCTGACCTGCCTGGTTGGAAACTAGGAAGGGGCTGCAATTGTGACTGGGCGGACTGCATCCCTACGGAAGAAGCGAGCGGTGTGCGGGGCCCTTCCATGTGTTCTATCGCTTGTCCTAAATCCTTGCCTATGAGAAAACCCTAAATGTCATAACCAATCCCTGATGGCTCGTGGACTTCCTGCTGTCTCTCAATACACCTGCAAGTAGGTAAAGGCAGAGGTTCGCTCTCCTGGTACAGGTTCTTGGCAGCATCCTGCTTGCAATGCGAGGCTCTTACATAAGAATGAGTAACCTGCTTAAATGAGAAGAATAACGCTTGTGAAGTAGGCTTCAATTGCAGAGATGTGCACACAAGCTGCCTAATCACACCCTTTTCAAACCTTGACGCTAGGGACCAGATCAAGTTGTGCTTCAGAAGTGGTGAATCCAGCTTGTGAGGTCTTCCAAGCTGGCATGTTGCCCTCAGAAGAGACACGACACAATGCAATATGAAAAAACACAAAGTGGCTTGGTACAAGAGTCATCAAACAGCGTGGCGAAAGAGGTAAACTGGGTACATATAGGGATGGTCAAAGTACATGCATCAAGGACATCCAGAGCATAATTAGGCGGCCTGCAGCTGCTCAAAGAGAAGTCCCCAGAAAACGGTTTGGGAGCTTTGAGGTCCAAGTAGTGCCCTATTCCAGGCAATGCTGTCACTGTCACTCCCCAGCAAGTTGCTTGAAGTGCAAAAAGAGTGAAAAGAGCCTCCATTTTCATTGAGTGTGTAGTAAAAACCGATCTAACCACAGCTAGCAGACAGGGTTAGTGTGAACTTCTGATTGTAACACGAGCCAGAAGATTGCACCAAGCTCTACATACTACACTCCCACCTGGCACCGCTGATTAAATGTCCCTTGACTAATTTCGGTTTACCATCACCTATCCCAGCTTACCATCACCTATGTTCATGCTGTCCTGTCAAAGTCAGGTTCTGCTGAGCCTGCAGCATTCTGGACTCTCTTGTCCCTAGCACCCTTGGACAAGAAGTTCTACCATTCCCTCCTGCAATCCTTTGATACTTGCTATTATCAGTCGTGTAACCTTGTGACGCTATTTATAAAGCAATTTCTGTTTTGAAACACCGTGTAGCTTGAAAGCACCTAAACATGAATGAAGGCAATACCATATGCTCAAGGTCAATTGATTCCCATCCCAACTCGTGCTTTGCCCTTCAAAATGGTTGCTGCCAACAGGAAGTATCACACATTGTGCTAAAATCTAATAAAACCGTCTGAAGTTGCTCAGCAGCTGGATGAACGTGCTTAGCACGATCTGCATCAGAACCTGAGCCTTCTAATCTGAGGAGCTCAAACACCCAGACCAAGAAGGCCCGCAATCAAGGGCAAAGATGCGCTGTGTGCATCTGCGAACTGATGCCTTATACGATGCTCAAACTTGAAAAGATAAACAAGTCTCAAAAGAAGAAAATGCTAAAAAGTACCACCACACTCCCACATTGCGTCCAAACATTAGTGCAAGATCACTCCACAAGATGACCACTCGCAAGTTTCTCCTAAGCAAGCACTGGTAGATGTGAGAGGAAAACGGGGTGAGAGGCAGAATTTACCCTCACACAACCACTTGCAAAAAAGGGCTTGAAACAATACATGATTCAAAACTGGCAACAACACAGACTATAAATAGCAGAAGAAAGCCTTTGGTTCATGTGACAAGAAATACGGACTACATCTAAAGTTTTTGGAAGTGACACTGATGTCACAGGTGACCCTTTCAGAAATATAATCAGGAACAGTCCAGATCGATGAAAGAACACTCCCAACCTGCAGATTACAATTAGACCATATATCGACTCATATGCCATGTTCTTACTTCTGAGCGAATAAAAAGGGTAAAATGCAAAGAGGGACCCAAGAAAAGAACGTCAGCTCTTTGTGAAATCACATCTAGGCAGTGTGAGTAACTGGATATTTCCAATCGACCACGTGAAGATATACAAACGGAAGGACAAAGGGATCAAGGTCCGCTCCTCACCTGAACAGCTATGCTGGTGACTGCCCCCTTTCTCAAACTCTGTCTCATCCAAGACGGAGCACATCTACCATCATCCAAAGTCCTGCAACCCGTGTCTTCCCCAGCAAGCTCGACGATGATGCTCAGGTTAGAGGGGGTCAAATGAAAGCACCATCCTGGGCAGGCAAATGCTGAAACTAGCATCCCCTCTTTCAGCCCTGGCAACAGCTTGTAGGCTGTTGTAAGAAAGTCGCAGATCCTCCATTGTTCCTGTGCCACGCCCTCAAAACAGAATGTGGAGGTTTTCAATTTTCGCCCCTCCCCAGAGCCTGAGGTGAAGGCAGAAACCGCTGGTCGCCAGGCTTCATATCAGGGGTCGCCTGGTGTCCGGATTTCGATCTAACGGTCGCAAACGTCCAAATTCACTCTGGACTTTCAATCGGACGGCTGCTATCATGCAGCGCGCGTACCGTTGCTTTTCGGGTGGCAACAGAACCTGTAAGAAGCTCGTGGCCGTACGATCAAGCATGTGTATGATCCACGGTAGCGAAACGAAAGCTGTGCGCTTGTGTTGAACAGCTGTCACGTTTGTTCTCCGAACATGTAGCCGCATCCTGTTTCACCTGCGCATCTGCATTATGTTGCCAAAGCTTACGAAGCTGTCGCTCTCCTAGCTGGTCAGCACGGAGCCTGCCTTGGTTGGATAGTAGCTTGGTGTATCGAAATATTTCGATTAATGCATATTATTGATATTGGTCATCAAGGAGGATCCACAGAGGCTTCACTTCGAGTGCTCAAACTCAAGCCAGTGTTCAGATTCACAGACCAACGCAAGCTTCCAGTAAGCCAGCAGAACGTTCGGGTGACTCTGAAGTACTTCCGATCTGTCACAGATTTTAAGATTTTATTGGATCTGAACAGCATTGAATGAACGCTCATTGCACGTACTGCTGAGATCACCCTGAGAAGCTGGCCGCCTTTCAAAGTGCTGTTTGCATCAGTTTCTCTGAAGTGACGTACAAGAGATCAATCGCCACCTGGCGCCGGCATGCCCTTCTTTAAAATCCAACAATCAGAACAGATCTGGACTGGCCAAGACTGGGAGCGTGTAACAACTTTAGCATCTGTGTACGAAGACGTGCCTTTTGACAGGCTCTACAAAAGTTCTGGTCCACCGCCGGACGTACAAAGCGGGTACAAAGCTACCTCGACCCTAGTATTCAATCTGGCAACGCGAGAACGCGGTCGTGCTACGGGGCGTACTGGCACGTGACATTTGTGTTACTGTCGATTGCAATGTCGCCATCGTTTCAAACAGATTAAAGGATTTCTCAATTTCTTCCTCTGAAGGCCGTGTCGCTCCCGTGTCGCTGCGGAGAAACGCTTTCCGGATCAGCTACCGAGTAGCGGCTTCCGAGTCAGTATCCCCAACGTCTCAGACTATGGATCAGGAGATCAGAAAGGAACTAGTGCGTCGAACTCACTTCCCCTTGCTGCATGACAATATAATGAAGATTCATCGTCATGTACCTGAAGCGGTCTAGTGCAGAAATGCAAGGCCTCGGCTGGAGCATCTCCTTACGACGACTGACGAAGAAAGCAAAGGTCAAGGTCGCTGTAGGGCCGCACTACATTGACCATCCCGTTGTCAAAAAGCGCACTTTAACTAGGTACATTTCGGGGTCCCGAACTTTCCGCTGGCTGGGGCTGGCACCGTCCGATGAGTGCCACGTATAGGGACCGAGTCCAAGTCTGTCAGAATTGCACTTGTACACTGCGGCAGTACTTTCTCCGTCGAGTGTACTCGGAAAATTCAAGGTTACAAGAATTCACCGTCGGCAGGTTTATCCTAGCTGGCGGTACTAGCCGAAGGCTACCGCGCG